CCCCCGGGCGTGCCTCCCCGGAAAAAGTGCGTTCAGTCACTGAAATGCCAATAGATACACGACAGTCTTTGGCCTAGACGAAACATCACGTTTCAACGAAGACGGCGAGATCGTTGATGCAAAGACAGGAAAAGAAGTAAAGAGGGACAAAGACTATACTAGATGCTCTCCCCGCCCCATTCCCAAGTGCCTTGATGGCCTGCGCATTTCCACTGAAGCTGCAACTGGTTGCAGGTTCAACTTCTGCCTCGTCAATTACTATGCTTCTGGTTCAGATAGCATATCTTACCACAGTGACGATGAAAGATTTCTCGAACCTGAACCCGCCATCGCGTCTTTTTCCCTCGGGGCGAAGAGGGATTTTTTAATGAAGCACAAGCCGGTCATCCCGAACGGCAATGCGGAACCAACACCAGAGACGAAACCCATAAAATTACCACTCGCAAGTGGCGATATGATACTAATGAGAGGGAAGACGCAAGGAAACTGGCTGCATTCAATTCCCAAACGCACAGGAAAGAATGCTGAGGATGGAGGAAGGATCAACATCACATTCAGGAAGGCGATGGTGAAGGCTGGGACAGAAAACTATTATCATTATAACGTTGGCACCGGCCCCGTCTATAAGTGGGATAATAGTTCACGGGAGATGAAGCTGTTGACGTTTGACGGCCGCGGATAACTATCTTCCGAACCTCATCTGTGCGTTGGCGTAATTGTATAATGCCCGTAAAAATACCTGGTACCCAACCCCCTGATTATCTTGCACGTGAAAGATTTCAGTCAGTCGTAACTGCCAGGGGGGATAGCCGGATAGCTCCACCGTTGGTCCGAACAATACGAGGAGGTCGGGCTCGCCCATAACGCTTTCGGTAATTTCGGCGTCAACCAGGTCGATGCTGATGTCGTTTGATGAGATCTTGGATCGTTGAGACATTTCCGTGAGAGTTTTTGTGAGATCAACTAAGGAGTCTCGACCATCTTCAGCTGAAAGAAGAAGGACAGAGAGGTGCTGTAAAGGCGACCCTGATGACTCGCTTGATGATGTCTTTGAAGCCGACTCCATGGACGGTATGTGAGGTGCTCGTAGTGATAATGCCGGGTGGTCAGGTCCGAAATATGATGAGAGCTTCCTTGTTACTGCTCTATGTGTTGCAGGGACGTACCCTTTGAGTATGCCTTGTAGACGTTAGCACGACCCCAGTAAAAGGACATGTTACGGACCAGTCTGTTCATATACTGAAAGCACAGGTATCCCAACACAGGCACACCAAGCTGCAATCTCCGCAACCTCGTTCACAAGCGCCTCCAGACCTGCACCTCCCCTCCCACCATCCTCAAGCTTCAGGATAACACTTAAATGCTGCGGCAACCGTGACAATCCTTTAACATCCTTTTGAATGAGCTCGGGTGTTCGATGGTGGTAGTATAGAATGGCTAGAATCCGATCCTTCACCGCATGATATGCTTGCCGGAGCCGTATATACACGGAGAAAATCGTGTGGAGCAGAGCGTAGATAAGAGCGTGTAGTTGGGTTCGAAGGAACCTCCGGAGTCCCAATCGTGAATGTGAGCTGGGTTCCTCCAAACGGATGTTTCCTTCTTTGGAGCGTTTTGATGTGGGCGGCGTTGGGAGGTATGGCTGCGATCTTGTCAGTTCTTGGCTGCAAAGAATGTTCCGTCTGCTTACCGCTATAAGTTTCTCCCTCTCTGCCGGGGTGAGGAGCTTATGGTTTGCTTTTGCATCGCGGCGGTATATGTCGAGTTCCCGCGTTGCCGGAGGCATGGTCTTGGGCTCACCAAGCGGTGGTCTGCTTCAAAATATGTAAACGCGGGTTTGTTGATGTTGCATGTTTGATCCTAAAATCTTGGAAGGCTGTGCCACCGAGACGAGGCCACCGAAGTTCGGTTCCTGCCGAGCTTCACCGCATCTAAAGTGGAAAGCTTCGACGACTGTTACGTATGCCATGAGCGACCCGCATACCTCATCAAGCTGACAGATTACTCCCACGCGAGCAGATCAACGCGAATTCGAAATATCGCGGGTTTCGATGTAGCACAGGGTCCTTGAGGGCTCCTCAGAGTTATCAATGGCTTCTCTCGATGGCAACTCCATCCACAGCGGTACTACGAGGGCGTTATTCCCAAGGGGCCCTGGCTTTACTTTGGAGAACTTCTCAAATAAGGACTTCATTGTGAGGGACTTCATCGAGGAATTGTCTGAAAGCGCGGTTCCTTCACACAGACGTTCTGGGCCCGCGAATCAGGCATTTGATCCCAAGCCGCTGATCAGAACGTTTGAAAGTATGCACGCCAACTTCGTCTCATAACATCTACTAATTTTGCGAAGATGTTCTAGCCCAACTCGCAACGTTATCGGAAGAGCTCGGCGAACAGGAGACAGAGCTCCTCACGTCCGTACGGCGCGCCGAGATCCAACACGATCAAACGCTGGGCGAGCTGGGGAGGAAGCTGGATCAATCAATAGACTCGTTTGAGAGTCTCGACGTGTCCCTGAACAACCCAACCCAGAATGGCGTGAATGGAAACGACCGAAGCGGCCGGCACGATGGAGGGGGGAATATTGCGGTACAGATCGGAGAGAGGCTGGAGGAGTTGGATAAGCAAAGGAGGCGAGCGCTGGACGCCAGTTTCTTGATACAATGCTGGACCGAAGTCAGCGAGGCTGGCCAGCTCACGTCTTTGGAAGAGATGATACGGCGGCGGGGCGGTGGCAAAGACATGGTGCGATGCGCCATAATTGCAAGACAGCTTATGAGAATGAGCCAGCGACTCGACCCGTCATCCTGGGCCCAAACAAATGGCGCGAAGAAAACCAACGGCACTTTGAACGGCGTGACAGGAAATCGGGGTCACAATACGAGGGAGATTATAGAGAAGTTCTCGGAGACTTTAGAAAAGGACTTGCTCAAGCAGTTCGATGACAGTTATCGAAGACAAAACTTTGATGACATGTTAGAATGTGCCAAGGTGTTGCACGATTTCAACGGCGGAGCGAGTGTCGTGGCTTTATTCGTCAACCAACATCAGTTCTTCATTGATCGAAGTCAGTTGATCACCGACGAAGTTACCACAGACAATGAAACCTGGGAGCGATTAGCAGATCCCGATTCGGAACCGCCAGGAGTTGAGCCAAGTCTTCAGTCACTGATAGATGAGATCAAAGTCGTGATGCAAGATGAGTCCTTCATTATAAAACGGGCTTTCCCATACTACGAGGTTGTTTTGACTAAATTCATTCAAAGAATATTCCAGCAATCTATACAGCAACGGTTGGAGATGGTTTTGGAGAAGGCAGACAGTATCTCCTCCCTGGCATTTTTACGGTCATTGCACGCCTCGAGAAGCTATATCAACAATTTAATTGAAGATCTGAAGGCACATGGCTTGACAGAACACCCAGAAGCTTGTTCTGCTCAAACAGCTTTAAGTCTTGATCACCAGTTAGACGAGTTGTTCGTTCCGTATCTTGTTGGTAACTCATATATCGACAGGGAGCGGAAAAGTTTGGAGGAACTGTATTCTTCGCTGCTTTTCAAATTCACGATATATCATTCACGACGGAAGAGGGCACCTACTGGATTTATGGCCTCTCTTGCTCAACAAGGCACGCACCTCCTGTCGTCCGCCAAGGATACCTACATAGACCGGCTGGATTCTTCCGAACTAACCCCAACTCAAAAAGCCATGATGTTGAGAGTTGCTGGTGTGCGAGATTCGGATAAGAACAAGAACGAGATCGAAGTTGTGGACGAGGATGGTGTCCTGAGTATAGAAAATGCCAAGCGTATGCTCAAATGGCTGGCTGAAGGTGTCCGAAGAGCCCTAGAGCTAGATGGTAGCACTGATACCGCCAAGGATGTCCAGGCTCTTCTCAACCTCCTCCTGGTTAGCATGGGCCAGGTATATATCGAGACAGCCCTCGACGCCACAGCCGATCAAGCAGCTGCGCAAGAAACAGCAAGAACAGAGCCAGACCTCGCATACCTCCCATCCTTACGGACAGCCATCACTATAACAAATATTATGTCCCACTTCATCACAACTGTACTTTTCCGCCTTGCGGAATCAAATACAACAGTAAAACGAGCAATGGAAACACAAACGAAGTCGGCTATTGAAAGAATCGAGTCGAAGACCAGCACCGTCATGCGAAGCACTATCGCTGTAGCCCAAAACTGGATAACAAAATTACTAGCAGGCCAGAAGAAGCTGGATTTCCGGCCAAAGGATAGTGATCTGGATGGTGGACGTTCAGGATCAGGATACTTCGAAGCCTTGGCAACACCAACGTGTCTTTCTATCTGCACCTTTCTGAGTCGAATTGCGGCACTCTCTGCTATGGCTATTGACGGCCAAAATCTCGAAGTCTTTAGCTGCGAGCTCGCTCTCAGCGTCAGAGATCTATTGTTTGAGCATTTCAAGAAATTCCAGGTCAATGCCACGGGTGGCTTGATGGTCACCAAGGACATGTCCAGGTATGTGTCGACACTGAAAGAGTTACCATTGTCGAAGGAGGTTGAAGGGAGTGTGGAAGTCTTGAGCGAGATTGGGAATTTGTTCATAATTGGGCCGGAGGCTCTTCGTGAAAGGTCAAGGAACTTTCAACCGGGTGTTGTTGCCAAGAAACTCCAGAAGGCCGATTTCAGAGCCTTCATCACGAGGAGGGATGATGCCGGAAGTGCTGGGATTCAAAGTGTACTTGCAGGGTTATGATACCATTTTGTGGACTGGCTGTATGAAGGCGTGCGGATAGGCGGACAGGCTTACTACTCATTATTCAAGGGGTGGCAAATAATCCAAATAAATATCAATGTAGAAAGTACTCTTCGGATATATGAATATGAAATCAGACCTGTTAGAACAAGACCTTTGCAGCCATAGATAAAATCAGGAAATGTGGCTTCCTTCAATGGCTGGCAATGAACTATCACGATCCCCAAATCTGCAATCCGTTCCGGAGTTGTGATTTCTCTAAGTTCATGGATGTACAACCTTTACCCAATGCGCCTGGCAATGCTACGCCCCCATAATATTGTACATATTGTACACAACATCATCATCCCCGAAAGTGCTTTCCTACAGCCTCAAGCCCGTTAAGGGAGTTGGAATCCGAATCCCGCCATACAAGTCTTGTACTTCTCGATCGTCGTCGCGCAGTCTTTCTGGGGGTCTTTGGCATTGCTGAATAGCATGCATTCATCTCGGGCGGCCTTCTCCTCCTTGCATACGCAACAAGGCTACAATACCAATCAGCAATTGCACCTAGGTGGTTTCTATTTCTGCATACCTTGGGTTGGCTAGAAGTTTGGCCTGAGGGTTTGAGATCTGCTGTTCCGGCGATGGAAGCTATAAATCGTAAGCCACAGGCCATAGACATTCTTACCTAGAATACTTACGCATTGAAATTGGTTGAGAAGCCATTATATGTCCAGGATATGCGACCGGTAGAATATGTTATTAGACAATGAAAGATGTACAGTGGAAGATGTTGTATTTGTAAGGAATCGGGTCGGGTCACGACATCCAGAAGATATCACGGAATCGACCGAGAGTTTTTCCGTTCCGGCGCTAGTGTTTTCTTAGCTTTATTGACTTCCACCACACAAGCGCTTGCCCGCTTGCCCCACCATCAACAATCGCAAATCTGCACAAAGCCGTTCGTTCTGACCCTACCCCTCTTTCCATTTCTGACAGCAATCCTTTGCAAATATGGCGACGAACTCGAAGATCTTCACTTTAGAGGGCAAAGGCCTGAAACTTGATACTGCAGCTGATGTAGAGCCACATATCAAGGCCCTGAGGGAGATGGAGGATGTCGAGGAGGTTAGATTTTTAGGCAATACTTTGGGCGTAGAAGCTTGCAAGGTGATAGGAGAGGTGTTAGAGACCAAGAAGACCCTACAGGTAAGGCTCTATGCGCCTCGCCGATTTTCTCGATCTGCCGAAAGCTAATTTATATCTTCAAGATTGCCAACCTAGCCGACATATTTACAGGACGTTTGCTGAACGAAATCCCGCAAGCACTTTCCTCGCTCCTTACCGCTCTGCTGACCCTCCCAAAACTGCACACGGTCAACCTCAACGACAATGCGTTCGGACTCAACACCCAAGCACCTCTCGTTGCTTTCCTCTCCTCGCACGTTCCTCTGCAACACCTAATTCTAAACAACAACGGTCTAGGACCACACGCTGGGATTCTGATTGCAGACGCGCTCTCCGCCCTTCATGCCAGGAAAGAAGAGGCCCGAAAAGCTGGCAAAGAAGTACCAAACCTCGAAACCGTAATCTGCGGCCGGAATCGTCTGGAGAATGGAAGTATGACAGCCTGGGCGAAGGCGTTCAGTTTGCATACTGGAATCAAGACGATCAAGATGGTGCAGAATGGTATTCGACAGGAGGGTATTACGCATCTCCTCACCGAGGGGCTACGACATGCGAAGGGTATCCAGGTTTTGGATTTACAAGACAACACGTTTACCTTGATGGGTGCCAAGGCTTTGGCGAGTGTCACCCCTGGGTGGACCGAGATCCAAGAACTTGGTGTTGGCGATTCATTACTCAGTGCAAAGGGTGGACTGGCGGTTGCCGCTGCGCTTGCGAAGGGAGAGAACACGAAGCTTGAGATTTTGAGGTTGCAGTACAATGATATTACAGCCAAGGGATTAGAAGCCTTTTCAAAGGCGGCGAAGGATGCTTTGCCAGCTCTGAAGAAAATTGAGTTGAACGGCAACAAGTTTTCTGAGGAGGACCAGTCAGTCATGCTATTAAGGGAACTGCTGGAGGCACGCAAGGAGAAGTTTGCTGGAGAAGTAGTTGTGGAAGATGAGTGGGGTCTTGATAGCTTGAGTGATCTAGAGGAGGAGAGTGAGGAGGAAGAAGAAGAGGAAGAGGAAGAAGAGGCAGAAGAATTGAGAGAGAAGCTACTTGAGGAGGCCGAAGAAGCTCAGGAGGAGCCGGTGGCGCAGAAGAAGGATAAGGATGTGGATGAGCTTGCGGAGGAGTTGAATAAGGCGACTATCTGATTCTCTGATTCTTCCCTCCGATATGAGTAACGAGAGCGGCGAGGTATTGAGCCATGTTTCATGACATGTGGAGTCGGGAAGTGGACTGCGGAGTCCTTATGAGCATTTTATGCGGCTAGTCGGTGTCATAGCGCGCATAGAGACATAGATCAATGAGAAATACCCCTCCTTTCCTTTTCCTCTTCAAGGATTTTGTCCCACTTTTCGCGTCCTTGAATTCTTTGATCTGGCCGAACGGTCGAGGCTCTGAGACGTGAATTGCGGGGTTGGCTTAAGGTTCGCATGCAGCTAACTTTATTTTCAGCATACATATATCTTCAGAGCCGGAGATCATGGCGTGTCTTTCGCAGCTGCTTATCCCTGTGTAGGCTGATCAGGGATTCCTGTCTCACAGCAAATATATAGACTTAAAGGAGTATTTTTCAATATGAAAGTTAAGGAACTTTCAAGCAACGTTTCTCTGTTTCGTTGTATCCGTGTATCTCCCCTGAGGTATAGGAAGGCTTTAATGACTTGATTCAACGTGCAGGAGCAGCAAGACGACAACCCTACCGTCTTTGAGGCGTATGAGACCCTATATGGTTTATATAAAGCCCTGGAATCATTGAGTACGCCTTGTTCACACTTCTTCGAATTTGATTGCCATGCCGAGTACAGTGGATACTATATCTCTCAAATGACTTGCCTTAGAGCGCCTTCTCTATGTCAAGGAACGTAATAAATAACCACATACGGCCTTCAAATTCGTGATCAATCACCACATCCTAGCTTAAAGCACTCTATATGAGAGTTAAAACTGCCTATACTCTCCGTCTTTCTAGTATCGTATCCTCCAAGGGCCTTCCGCTTTCACATTCTTGGGCGTCTGGACCTCCATGAGTAGAGTGTACACGTGATGTGGTCTGCGGTAAGATATTCTGGGCACCGAAACAAACCTCGAGTGCAGAAACCACAACAACTGCATGAGATTCGAAAGCCACATACACCTTCACTCTTGTGACAACTTTGTGTCTAATGAAATGTCCCCTCCAAAAGAACAGAACTGCTCTTACATGATATTCACTGCCACAGTGTCATCAAGGGAAACTCTAATAAGCTTCCAGTGCTATATATAAACCCCCCTAAGACGGTCTCGTCGAAATGGCTTCGAAGCCGAACCTCAAGAGTCAATATTCATATCACAAGTAGGTTCGGCGATACCCAAATCTATTTCGGGCAGCATTGTCGTCCTAGCCACGAGGAAGTATCTTCAACAGTTTATTTCATCAGATAAATTGCTGTCCAGTCGCACGTCGCAGTCCAAGATATGTTTAAACTGGAGGAGATGCTTTACGCGCCCGATTTGCGATACTTGGCGCTGAACCTTCTCATTCGCCCAACCCATGCACTCAAGCGCCAACCACGAGCGCAACACCAATGTCCCCACGCGCCATTGGATCATTGAAGATCTAATTTTGTGTGCAAAGATTCTTCCGGGGTTATGGTTGGTTCGCAGACTGCTTGACCATACAACATCATTGGATATCGACAGCAGCCCTGCGCAATGGCATAACGGAGAGACGCTCGCCTGACTCTTTTGGCAATTCTCTCCACATGGTTCTGGGTAATCTTTGTAGATCAACCAATACTGTGGAACCAGGTTAAGACTGGAGTACGGAGTACACGTCCAATTGTGTGGCATTAGCGCTAACAAGTGGTAGCAAAACCAAGAGGGTAAGTATAAACATCGAACCGCCCAAAAGAAGCGTGAGCTACCTTCTCTTGTCAATCTCATTCTCGTCGTTGTTGCTGCTGTTGTCGCTTGCTTTCAAAAGTCTTCGTTGATCGAAGCATACTATCGTTTTATAATATTCCCTACAAAGGTACAAGCTTGACGCTGGCCGTCTACACCCGATTTCCTACGTTCTCGTGAATTAGGGAAGCAGCATTCATCATACGGCGTTCACTGGATCGACAAAATGGCCTCGTTAGATTTCTTACCGTCTACAACATACAGACCGCCGTCATCAAATGGGCAGGTTCCCAGGAAACGGCCGTTGCTTAATACAATCGTGGAAGAAAGTGAAGGATCTGTCGTCGGGTCAGATATTGAAAGAGGTAGAAACAGATCTCCCAAGAATAGGTCCCCTAAGTTTGAGACATTCCTCTCGCCCTTGAGCGACCATTTCCCGACACCTCGAGGAAAACACTTCATGGTGGCACCCATCCCTCCTTCTGAAACGTCTTCGGACTCCGAAAGCGATTCTCCCGCTCCCTCATCGGCGCCCTGGACAAGACAGAGCTACATGACCGACAATACCGAGTTCGATGATATATACGATGTATCTTCTGATGAAGATAATGGGAAGCAGAGTGCCATCACCCGCCAGAACAGCAAGAAAAGCACTCGACAAGCCAGGCGTTCTTCCACAGGATCTACTATCAGCAGGGAGTCACTTAGTCTTGTGATCCCAGGTGGAGATCCATGGCCTGGAGTTGCTGCGTTCAAGCTCCTAAGCTCTCCTGTACCCCCCACGCCCCCTCCGAAAGTGCCGATGTCCCCCGCGATTTTCTCATATCTACAATCACAAGAAGCACCGTCATGCTCTGCACCTCCATCTCTAGATGGCAGTTTGGATTCGGAGGAGCTGGCTGCTATATCGGCTCCACCAACGCCAGATATTGGGAATGACAGCGAAGATGATGATGGCTGGGGTGGAGTACAACTACAACCGGCCGCAATGGCAACTTTACAGGCGCTATCGGGTGGAGATGATCGCGAAGATATGGTCTTTGAACACCAGCCAGAAAGAGTCATTGAATTGACCGATAATAACTCACCCGTTCGGGAGATGCAGCAAAGTCCACCTCCACTTGTCACAAACATTCACAGAAACAATTCGGTTATTCTCTCCCCAGAGCAACAGCGATCATTGAGTGCCCTTACTAGACTCGATATACCATCACCTGGAGGCTTTTTCTCTGCTTTATCACCTGGTGCAAGACATACATGGCATCTTATACCAATTACCCCGGAGCCAGCTCCACCTTCATCGACTACTGCGGAGAGCTTTTACAAAACTCCCTGGAGTGACAATTCACACCCAGTCGAGCAGATCATCGAGGTCCCCGAAATGTCTGAGACGATGTCTGATGGGATTCCCACAGCTAGACCCCTAACCGCCCAGCTTCTTTCGGACTCCCTTCTTCGGCCGGAAATTCGACATGACAATTCGGACGAGACTGTTCGTCCAACTGAACCTGAGGACATAGTTGCTGATGAAATACTTGTGGATTATGAGCCTGGATACGCTCGTAAACTCGAAAATGTGGCAGTCGCTAACCTTGACCGCACTGGCATGTGGCTAGTGGCTCAGAACAACTTCCTTGCTGAACTCATCAATCCAACTGAAGCACGCGATGATGAAGCGGCTCTTCTCAAGCGCGTTGCCAGTGTGAAGAGCCAGAAAGAACAAGCAGAGGAGGCACCTCGTCGCAAGGTGGTCCGGTTCTCCGAAATCGCGGAGAAGAACGAAGGAAACGTTGCTTGCCCCAAGCCCAAGCTTGGTCGGCAAGAGTCAGCACATTATCGTGCCTTCCAACAGTTGATCGCACGCTCTCGTTATCGCGACACTTTTGTTCATCGCATTCCAAGATTCGAAGCTCTTCAATCCCAGCGTGTCTCGTTCCCTGCCGTCCATCGTGCACGACTTCTTGGCAAGTACCAGCTCAGCGTTGTCCCAATGAGCGCCAAGCGCCGCATGTCAGCTAATGTTGCCCGCGGCGATGAGATATCTCCTGAGAATCCAGAGAAGTTGAAACGCGACAAAGAAGCCGAAGCTCTCACTCAAATGACGCCCGCGACCTGGAATGTCATGGCTGTCAAGCTTCTTAACGGCGGCCGGTTGATCGCGGCCCCTGTTGCAAAACGTCTTGCTCGACTCTCATCCATGGGCCCCAAATTGGATGGGACACCGCGAGACCGTGCCAGGATTTTAGACCTCGGTGGCCAACCAACTTGCGACTGGGCATGGCATTGCGCTTCGGAGTACCCAAACACCAAAGTTTACACCGTAACGACGAAAGCCTTGCGCCAACTCTCCAACTCCAACATTCGAGGCCCGAGGAACCATCGCCAAGTTGCTGTAGAGCACCTGACCCGACTCCCCTTCGCGGATAATCAATTTGACCTCATTTCGGCACGCGAAATCTATACTATCTTGCGCGAAAATGGCGAGCACGGGCAGGACGAGTGGGAGACTTGCCTCAGGGAGTGTATGCGTATTCTCAAACCAGGCGGCTATCTTGAATTCTCCATCATGGATTCCGATATCGTCAACGCTGGCCCCTTGGGTCTTGCAAAGAGCGTGGAGTTTGGATTCAATCTCAAGACCCTCGGTTATGATCCGTTCCCCACGAAAGCTTGGCTAGGCAGACTCCGAAAGGCTGGGTTCGTGGGAATCAAGCGCGCATGGGTATTCTTGCCGATGGGAGCGAAGGTTGAGAACAAAGTGCAGAACAGAGATAGTATGGGCGTTGAAATCAAATTGGAATTAGAGGCTATTGTTAGTGGAAGTACCGAGAGCGCAGCAAGTGTGTGCGGCATCGTGGGAGGCTGGGCATGGGAGAAGTGGTTGTTGAGGTGCAAAGTTCAGACTGTAGGGGATGAGGCGAAGCTTGATGGGATCCAGGATATCATCGAGGAGGGGAGAGCCTGTGGTGCTGGGTGGAGGACTATTAGCGGCTGGACTAGGAAACCGGTTAAGATGTAAGTAAGGTTTTGGAGGGTTGGGATATGGGTGATTGCGAACTGGGCATGGCGTGGTTCCTTTTTTGAATTTTGGACAATTGATGCGTGTATGGGATCCTGAATGTATGATATACCCGGGTGATAGTTCAATATGAGCAGGAATTGCATGCCACTACCTACCTACCTACCTTTGCCTTACCTTATGTCAGGGGCGACGTTTGGTGTCATGTGATATATAATTTTGTTGCACGTCGTAACGTTGGCTTTCGTCCAAACTCCTCCAGAAAGACCTTGATACGCGAGACATAATTTTGTTGCACATCGTACTTCTGAACTGGAGCTTTCGTCCGAACTCCTCAAGAAGGTCTTGATCATGTGATCAGCGAGTAAATCTCGTGACTTGATTGATTTGATTACTCAGCATGTCTAGGTGAGCTCACTTCAAGTCTTCAACAGTATCAGTCTCATCTATCAGTAGTCTCATTACATTCTACAGTATATGTGTTTATTAGAGATGGCAATGATATTGATACTTAAGATAAGTTCCTTCCATATCAATACCAAGAGCCACAGATTTCTCTCCAAGCATTCAAGCAATAACACCCCCACCCCCATTTCTGGCTGGAATCCGACCATCATTATTCCCAAAACAGTTCTACGCTGTGCAGAACCCCCCCTTGCCCAAGAGAGCTTCGATATGAGGCCCTTCCAGATCCCGATATCTTCTACATTCCCATTCTTACTGAAAGGAATTATTCCTCATCTATGTTACAAGCTCCTATTGTACAGATCCCAAACACTCACACGTTGCTGTAGAACTCGGGTCTTGTTAGGGTATCCCCGCACCAAGTAAGGTAGGTAACCTTTGTAGGTAAAGCTGGCTTTGGGAGCGTTTATTTTTTAATTTTCGTAAGAATAATTGACGCTTTGATTTGTTTGGAGTTTTGTGTGTAATACATGCTTACGTCTGAATTGCTGGGTATAGGATCGGATTTTCAGTGTTTGTTAGTAACGTAGAGGCATTGAAAGCTCTATACGTTGCCTTATTATCATTGTATGATTGATCTCTCTTGCACCTCGGGAGTTGAGTGGGTGTTTTGATTTTAAATACTGCTTTCAACCTGTCTGTCAATGCCCTTTTCAGCCCCAATCCTCAACATGATTATAACAGCCCCTTTATTGACAGTGAGGGCGATTATACATTTACTCAAAAAGATTCCTGGTAAGAAGGTAGGGTTCGATTTGTTTTAAACCCTTTTCTTTAATTCCAATTCTGAGATAGAGAGGTAAGTAAGCCAATATATATACACACACATTCTACGCACCACCCAAGGGAAGAAAAGCCCCTATCCCACAAAGAAACCGCGCCCCTGAACATCCCTCCCTACACATTCTCCCTCTTCCTCAGACCAATCCAGCACTCAAGCGGTTTTCTCAAGAAGCCCTCGCGCGTCTCCAGGACCTCCTGATGCAGTTCGAACTCGTACCTATGGAAAGTAGTCGCGACGATCAGGGCCAGTTCCATCTCAGCGACGTTGCGACCGACGCAGCTGCGTGGCCCGTAGCTGAAAGGGATGAAGGCGTTCTTTTGCTCCTCGGTGAGGTGGTCCCAGCGGTCGGGGACGAAATCGTCAGCATCGTCGCCCCAGATCTCATGAGAGTGGTGAATGGTGTAGGCCGGGACGGAGAGCACGGTGTTGGGCGGGAAGTGATGGCCTAGGATGTGAATGTTGGAGGATGGGGGGACGATGCGGGGGAGGCCGAGGGAGGAGGTGCTGTGGATGCGAAGCGTCTCGTTGATCACATTTCTTAGGTAGGGGAGATCCTTGACCATGTCGTAGGTCGGGATGGCGGTGCCTTGCGGGATGGCGGCGTCGAGCTCCTTTTGGAGCCGGACGAGCACACCGGGGGTCTTGGTCACCCAGTACATGATGGCGCAGGAGGTGTTGGAGGTCGTGTCGGAGCCGGCGATGAGCTGGGTGAGCGCTTCGGCCGTGAGCTCGGAGCGGCCCAGCTTAGCTCCTGTCTCGTCTTTCCCTTCCATGAGTCGGGCCAGCAAGTCAACGCGTTCGGTGTCCTGCTTGCCATCCAGACGCTGAGATACGCGGGCCACTGCCATACCAGCTAGGTTCTCCACGGCGGCCACACCCTTGGAGAAGAATGGATCAGGGAGCCACTTGGCGTAGGGTATCAGGTTTGGGAGACAGCCCAATGTGCCTGAGACTTCCCCTCTACGATTCAGGACTTCGACTGCGGGTGCGTAGGTGATTGGCGAATCGGGGGTCATTTGGATTTCCGTGATATCCTTACCCTTCTCCAACATACCGAAGGGAGCACCGAACGCGAGATCCCCGATGATGTCAAATGCAAGATAATTGAACCAGTGTAGGCAGTCGAGCTTGACAAACCGGCCATGCCCGTTATTGCTGATGGCGTCCCATTGCCGCACGAAGGTCTGGAGGTTCTGGTTCATGTAGGTCTCGAACTGGCCGATGCTCTTAGTGGAGAAGGTATGGGAGATAGTCTTGCGTTTCCGCGTGTGCTCAGCACGATCCCTTGTATTGAAGAGACCACGCTCAATACTGACAAAGGCATCGTAATAATCACTGCCTACGTCAGCTCCCCAGCTTCAAAACCGGAGTGAGTATATATAGAGGCAACCCACGATTTCAAAAATCCATTTCCGTGGCCGTATATGATGGGGATGGCAGACAGATCCGCGACGCTGACATGGTTGGGCTGGATCCTCACAAGCTTCCCATACTTCTTGTGCGCCTCGTGCACACTCTTATATCTTTTGCCCTGCCGGCTCTGCAGCAACAGCCAGAGATTCGTGAACTTGGCTGCGAAGGGCCCGGGGATGTCCCGTATCCCTGTATTGGAAGTGAGGTAAGGGATGAGGAAGTAGAGCGCGAGCGCGACAGGGATCGTATAGGGCGAGATCAAGAAATCGAGGACAGCCATGGTGAAGCGCGAGAGAAGCTGTTGAAAAGGCGAAAAATCGAGGAGGTTCTCTCACTCAATCCAGAGCTGGTCGTCGCGAGTTGGGCCTTCTCCCTGAGACAGAAACTTGGCCATATAAGTAGGTAGACACGCTGGCTCGCCTCTGTTGTATTCATGTATCAAGTATCATGTATCTTATGCCGGCACCACAGGTCGGCTGTCAAGACACGCGGTGCATTTCCCCGCAGAGCGACAATGCGGAGGCGGAATGATGGAACAATGATGGCCCACATCACCCAACGTCCCCCACCAAAACCCCGGATCACGGCACCTGGCTCCAAGTACCAATCAACACCCTATCAGAAATCCCCTCTGCCCGGGGATGCCTCGGTGTTCGCTCTAGCGGACCGAGCTCGACGGCGACACGGTGGGGATTGCAGAAATTGATTTGATGGGAGACTTCCCTTCTTCAACAACCGTGGTTGTTGCTGGGGACCCCCCCGTGTCATCTCTTTTCACTCGGCCAATCCAGCCTGGGCGATTGAAGTTCCTGATTCCTAGGGTTCAGTGCGGTCGGGTATACGGTTAGGGAAGGTATATTCTTGACAATGGGTTGGTGTGGGAATGGTGCTTAATACAGGTGGATAGATGACTTTGCTCCATCACCTCCAAATATAATACCAGCCTCGGCATAAGGTATATTCAGAATATGCCGCTGTAGATTCGATGTTTACACATTATGCTACAACATCCTTACCAAGAGCCTGCCTCTCTATATGTCCTACTGCGAAAGAAGACTATTCTTAGATACCTACCTATAAGCTACCCTGCCAACCTTACCTACATACATTCCTTGCGTAATATTCTACCCTAGGTCCAATCATGCCAGCGGAAACCTCCCGCGAATAGTCCTGGAAGCGGTTCTATTGGCAATGACCTTCCCTGTCCTCAACCCTCGCGGCACCTCTCACGGCACTCACTCTAAATGCACTCTAGATGAATGGCAATTCTAGGGCAAAACAGAAGGGCATGATGGCATTTGCCTAAAACGTCAGATGGTAGGAACAGCCTTCTTGACTTGTTGGCAAGAGGCTAAGATATGTTTGAAAAGAATACCTGTTGAAACACTGATGTCTTTGTATTTCTGGTCATGTTCTCATGTCGGTATCTTGCCACAAGTAGCTCTTCTGATAGCCTTCTCCTGTCCCTCTGTGCATATCGACTGTAAAAGAGTCGTTTTGGGACTCGCTTAGTTCCTGAACAAGGGGGGGCTTCATAGGAGCACCAACACATCACGTGCCTAAGCCCCGCGAGTCCCAAGTTCGGTCACTTATCACAGTTTCCCTCTTCTCTTCTCGACTGCTTCTCTCAACTTGGAAATCACATCTGCGGGGTCCTTTGCCCCAAACACAGCACTCCCAGCCACAATCACGTTTGCTCCAGCGTCAGCAGCCTGGTCAATGGTTCCAGGTCCCAATCCACCATCGACCTCGATGTTCAGATCCGGGTATCGTTTTCTAAGTTCTGCGACCTTGGGCAGTTCGGATGCCATAAACTTCTGTCCACCAAATCCTGGATGAACCGTCATAACCAGAACCATCTAAGACCATCAGTATAAGCCCTCACACCCAGAGTACTAGCAGACTTACATCTGGACGGTCTTTCTCATCTGGACTCTCCAGAATGTCCCACAAAACATCAACCTTCGTCTCAGGCTTGATCGCAATCCCAGCCAACATGCCGCAGTCATGAATATATCTAATCATTTCCTTTGGATTCGTCTTCGATTCGCTCGTAGCCTCGGGGCTTTCGGCTGCCGTGCTAGAGATAGCGGCTTCATAGTGGAAACAATATAAATCGCATCCAGCCTTTTGGAACTCCTTGACCCATTTCTTTGGCTAAATTACAGCAGCCATCAGTCCAAGGTTCCTCTTCTATTTGATGAAATGCGGGACGGTACCTCTGCAATCATCATATGGCAGTCAAAAGTCCCCTTTCCGTGTTTGGTCGTCGGCTTCTGCACATGGCTTCGAATCTTGGTCACGACCGGTGCCCCGAATGTGATATTGGGCACGAAATGCCCATCCATTATGTCCACATGTAGCCACTGTATGATTCGGGGAGTCAGTAAATACTCAAGTGGGACGGCACAAGAGCGGGGTGAATTCGGGACTTGTCTCATCGTAAGATCCCAATATATCCCAGAAACAATGCAACAATCCCAGAAGAGGAAACGGGAATCCTTACATCAGCACCTTGCCCAATTGTGTCTGAACATGCTTTTCCCAGCGCTGCGAAGTCCGCGGAGAGAATGGAGGGTGCGATGATGGCAGATGGAGACATGGCGGGGGCGAGACTCGGAGAATTCTCAAGTGTCTATGGATTTCCAAAGATCTAGAAAGAATGTGCAACAGTCCAACTCGTAGTTGCGGAGAAATATCGAGTATGCGGGGTAGCTTTCAACAACTTGGCGGGATGTTTTTTCAGTTGACGCTGTCGTTGGTAAGGTAATAAGGCCCCAAAAGACTTATCTTATCTTAGCTTAGTTGCTTACTCACCCCTACGTAACTCGTCGGAGTATATATTACTCCCCGCGGAATATCTATTATTGCTCCGCGGGGTATTGGTATGGGTTGGATCCTACACATAGAACCCATTCCATGGGGTCCATTGCGCAGCCTAGCACTGATGTAAGTCTGTAGATTCCAGAGTGCTGTCACTGTACAGTGTTAAGCTACCTACCTTACTTGCCTTATATATAGCACCGAATCAGGGACGTCGCCTGTTACTTTTGGCGCGATGATCCCTTTTCATTGGTCCAATATCTGTAGAAGTCTAGAGTAGTAAAATAGTGAGTCCTCATCAACAAACAGCATAATCAACGGTCGCTTAGCTCAGTTGGTTAGAGCGTGGTGCTAATAACGCCAAGGTCGCGAGTTCGACCCTCGTAGTGACCATAATTCATTTCTTTTTTGTTTTTTAAAATTTTTACTTTTGACAGCCGGACTCGTCAGACACTCAAGTTCCCAATCGCCCGATCCTTAATGTACTTCAAAAAGCCCAGTAGAGGAATGTCATTTTTGCTTCTCCCTCTAATTTATATGGATTGTGCTGGCCACCCATATCTCAACCATCTTTGCCATTGTACAAGATGGAGTATCATTCCGTCTGTGATGCGGAAAATCACTCCCCGTGATCCCCTAGTACGGGATGGTACGCAAGACACCACCTACCTAGGTACTAGTGGAACATGAATACAGCCAGGAAGACGGTGACTACTGCCTAGCAGTATGGGTTGGACAACTAGCAGCTCAGTGTTGAAAAATTCTAATATTCGTATCTGGTTTTCTCTCACCCTGGAGGTCATTTAATGATAGACTTGATATATTCGTTAAGATCGTACAATTGCCAACCCGGGCGTGTATGTTTGAAGGGAACCAGGTCGAAAGCCGACTCATATGTCAAATGTGAGCGGCAACACAAAGCTCTATGCTATGCAACTCGTCCGAACAAGAGTGCCCGCCTCCTTTATCTGCTCAAGATCTCATGGTCTAGGTAGATAGCCAGCATCTCAATCCGAATCACTTTGCTCTGAATCCGGAAAGCCATTAAAGACTTCCTCTTCACTGCTCTCAAGCGAAACCATATTCTCCTCGCCATTTCCCTCCTCCTCGTCTCCATCTTCAAGATCACGAACACCGAACGCGCCTGCAATGTCCCATCTGTCACCCTCCGCTTTCTTACTTACGTACTTCACGAATTTCAAGATCCCGCTGTCCCGCAACACTATACTCATCTTATTCCAGCTCGCCGGCATCGAGAACAGGACATTGTCGTCATCAGGGTCTGAGGACGTTTTGTAGATTGCAGCGTCGCCGTTCGATGAGGAGTCGTCGTCGTCGCCAGCCATGTAGACTTCGTGCCCGCCGACGTCATCTGGTTCTTCTTCCGAGTTCTCAGTCGTTTCTTTCTTGTCATTGGACTCGGTCGATTTCTCAGAGGGCTTCCCATTGGGTTTCTTCTCCCCATTCTCCCCGTCCTCCCCTTCCTTCTCCTCTTTCTCCTCATCATCTTCATCCTCTGAGTCGGAGTCAACTCCCCAGCCACCCGTAGGCGTAAGTCCAAGGCTGATTTCCAATCTCGATTGCCCATCGTGACTAGTTGCGAGCGCATAATCTTGACCTTTGCGGAAGCGTCGGGCCAGGATATCGTAATTCTCGATCTCGCATTCGGTGGCTATTTCGAGCCAGCGGCGGAATTGACGGCTTGGTAGGAAGACTTCGAGCAGTTCCTGAATTGGATTCATTTCTGTAGTGTCGCTTGTGGTCTTCTCTGTGGATGGCTGTTGGTAAAGAAACCGGTGCTTGTGTGGTGGTTTGGCGACTTTCCACGAGGTGCTTTTTTCAATCTCGGCGCTGTCATCTGGTAAGGGGGCTGTTTCCTGTGCTTCGATGTACGAGCGGACTTTGTCGGCAAATTTTTTGGATAAGAGGCCATCGAGCGTAACACTTGATAGACCGAGGAAACGTTCCGAAACTTGTTCCAGGGTATCAGGAGTCAAATATGTCGGCGCCATGTATTTGAGCAAGAATTCTAGATCGGCCTCCTCAAGACCCTTTTCTTCATTCGGCTCCGTAGGAGCTTCAACAGTAACAGGCTGCTGTTGAGGGAAATCATACCGATCCGGATTGCCCTGGAGTTGCATCAAGCTGCTGTTTTTGCCCCACTTCTCCTCTGCACCCTCAACATACCCCTCCTCCCCGATCTGTGGAATATGATACCACCCACTGATCGCCATCCTAATTCGTCCTCCCTCTTTCTCCAACTCCTCCTTAGTGCTGGCATGATAAACCTCTTCCACATCATGGAAACTCTCGCCGGGCTGGACAGCAAAGAAACTCAACTGGTTCCAAGCCGGCGGAATCACTTTCGAAAAGTCTGGACTGGGGGTCTTGGTCTTTTCTCCTGTTTCATCCTCGAACGTTTTCGTAGGGTATAATCGAAGAGCACCACCCCATTCGGCTTTCCACGGTATGTCTGGGTCTGTGAGATAGAGGATGTAGCTGACGCGCCGACTCCCAATCACGTCGTCATGGCACAGCAAATGGCAACCAGGCGTGTAAACATTGATAGCCATATCCGTCTTCCTGCCACTTAACTCCCCAGACCCCGTAATCTCGGAGACATATTTCCGGAACGTCTCCGAGTACAGCGCATCCCTCAGTCTCAGGAGACTGGGCAGCTTTTCGAGCGCAGCATCCTCTAAGCCATCGAGATTGGCCAGATCACCCGATTGATGGATTTTATAAATGTCGGTTTCTTTGGGAGTGAAGTGCACGTTCTCGCGGATTTCATTGCGGACAGAGCGTAGAAGGGTGTCGTTGATCAAGGAGTTAATCACGCCATGCTTGTATGGTTCTGATTCCGCATACTCTGCTGTATATTTCTGCAAAACATCCTTGGCAAACAGTCCCTTACGGAAACTGTTCAACACCTCCTCTTCCGAGAGAACTATTTCCCACAAATGTTAGAATATACGTATTCGCCGGCGAAAATTGTTGCATACCCGTCTTTGCACGTTTCTTGAGAATACCCTTGCCATTGTGGCTATTGGTTTGTGATTCGGCTTTCCTCTTCATCTTGATACCTTGCGATGATATAAGAAATGAATGGGATGATAGTGTTTGCAAAGAGGTGGGCATCAGCTCGGCTCAGCTCCTTTCTATCCTTTTTTTCTTGGTGGAGCGAAAATCTGCCGCTCCTCACCGCCTGATCATTACCTAGCGCGTATGACCGCTGCCGAAGCGCTGTTTGGGATTCATGGGGTAAAGGGGTATGCGGCTGGATTGTCTCCGACTGGAACCTTGAAGCGTCACGCTATAAATTCCTTGCAGTAATATGTGCATAAGCGCTCTGAACTCTCTATGGCTGCTCACTCTTCTTCTATGCAATAGCCATGCATCGGGTTGCGAATATATTGCGCTCCTTAGTGTTGGCTACGTTGTCGGTCTATGTGACAATCTACCACCGGAGATACACAGCCTGACATCCAACTAGGACTCTAGGACCCTCCCGAAGATCCACCACTTTGTTGAAGAATCTTTTGAGTGGCAGATATGTGCTTGTCACGTGCACGTATGCTCCCGGAGGGGCGGAGGCGGGGACGAAGGGTCCAACTCACAATCCGTAAATCTAGAGGGCTTTGAAGCTTACGGCCTTGCTAAAGTATAATGGTTTTCTCAGAAGTAGTCTATTATCCTTTTTAACTACCTCGATCCGATGCCCGTAGATCATCACCTCCCAGGCTATAATCGAATGCTACGCCTCAAGTTCATAGCAACCACCAACGCCAGACCATGCCCATGCCCCACCCTCATAACTTCATCCCTTAGATACAAAACTCCAACTGAACCAGCCCCATTAACCCAAAGCATTACCTCTTGCCCCCCTTCCTAGTTCCCATCTTCTCAATCTTATCCTTCCCCGGCTGATACGGCGCCGCCACCCCCATATCTTCCCGTCTTCTCTGTCCCTCGCCACCAAATGCCAAGCTCCCATCCGGTTGTAATCTTTGTGGCATCCCTTCCGTAGGTCGTGCCTGCTGATCCTTATGCAATTTATCCAGGCTCTCCCCGACCACGGCATACTGCGTCCAATTTATTGGTGGACAACGGACGATATTCTGGGGTCTTGGAAGTTTCCCCCACTTTTCTGCCTTTTCTTTTCCCTTCCCTTCTCCCTCCAGCCCCTCCACTTTCTCTCCCTCTCCATCCTCATCCTCGGATGAATCGTCTTGCGACGGCGCGAAAAGGGAATCTGACTTGGTCGCAACCTCGCCTGCAGCCAGAGCTCTAGCAAAACCTTCGGGATCGTCCATCGCTTTCCCCTTTATCCGGTGCAAGGTCTGGATATCTGCCGTCGCATTGCGCGCCTGGATCTGCAAGATGCTAATTGCGGATTTTAGGGCGAGCGCATCGGGGTTCTCGTCTAGTTTTATTGGTACTGGTGGCGGCTGAGGGATCGCAGTCTGCGGAGGTTGAGAGTGAGTGTATGTTTGGCGTGGCGGCAAAGTGTTCTGGGTATGGGGGGAGGGATTCTGGGAGGGGCTTGTAGAGGTGGCGAGGCGCGCATGGCCCAGAGTCGGGGTTATTGGGGAGTATGGAGGCCGCACGGGCGAGGCAGAGCGGGAATGGGACTGGGATTGGGAGTGCGAGGTCGAGTTCGGCGACGTCGTGTGTGAAGGGGAGGTATCGACTGTCAGGCCGGGCATTTTGATGTTGGATTTGGGTTTGGATTTGCGAGGCATTGTGGAGCAGATCGGCCTGTGAATGGGACCCGGGGGGGTTGGCGGAGAATATTTGATCCGACAGGGGCGTTGATCTATCAATGAGCTGATAGACGATATCTTGCAGAGGATGCACCTTAAACTGTGGAAGACTTGGCATCAGCAAAACTCGATGTGAGGATGTTTGGGATGCTCACCAGTAAGATTACTCTGAGCAGATGAAGGGCACTGAATTGTTATGGAACTTCGCTTGGTTTGAGTGAAAGGGTTTTGCTCGCCACATTAGTCAGCGGATATCAGTCAGTCCTTTGACAACATCTGAGTCTGATAAATGCTGTTATGGTGGAGAGCACATCGAGGTGCGCAGAGTTCGAGATGGCAGTTAAGTGTGAGGTGAGGCTCTTCTTTGGCCCAGCCTAACCGTTCTGGAATGATAGGCGCAGCATGGCCATCTTAGCAGGCAGCAACCAGCCGCTACGAATGTCTTGTAACCCTCTCGTCAAATGGCTCCCCGTATCGTAGTTGTACAGATGATAGCAGGAAGTAGAAGCCATATACTGTTTTCCCACTTAAAAGAGATCTGAGTTGTCCAAAACAGAAGAATACATGTAGAAGTGGCAAAGGAAACACCAGGGCGCACAGAGTACTCGGTAAGCCTCAAGGTACAAAAAACATGGTTCCCCACAACGGACGCTATATTAGCGCCGGAGCGGATAAACTCATCGGATAGCTTAAATCAATTCAGTGAAACAGAGGTCGAGTGATGTCCTAGATGTTTCCGGGTCGTGTGAGCGACCTGGTCAAGTCACCCCTACGATTGATCATAACTGGGCATAACGTGAGGAACATCTGCAGTGGTGGGCCCGTCTAGGGCAGGTTGTGTGCCAGAAGAGGCAATGTATAAGCCCCAACGCCCGCTGCTACTGCGGGAATCCTGACTGATGGAGAATTCACAGATCGACTACCGACCTGCACGCTCATGTATTGCAAAGTAGCTATCTATCTGCGAAGACATTTGTGTCTTCTGCCATTCCTTAGCCCTGCGAGTCCATAACGACCCTTCATACATATTCCTGCGCCGGCGGCGAACCGTTAGGCCTCCCTTTTGTTTCCATACCTCCAGAGTAGCCGCGCCTGTTGGTCAGACATTGCCCGAGATATCTTGTTTTTTGAATAAATACATGGTGAGCTTGCAGGGGAATCGTGGTCTCGACCTAGCTGTCGATGCCTGATATCGATGAGTCGCTGCTAAGCTATTCATTCCCACAACAGGTTTTAGATGCCAAAACAAAGATCTTCCACTGCAACAACTCTGCTGGTACCACAACACCCCCTTAATTCTCCAGACAGTCTTCAAGATGGAGAAGATAGAGGAAGAACTTACTCAGCCAGGTATACATTCCTTCTCTTCCAGTCTTTCCTGTCCTCTTGATCGTTACTACAAAGGAAGATCAGCTTACACCGGTGATCTGGCAGCGACACAACAAGTCCTCGACCCTCGCCGACTTGGCAAGAATTCCTCGGATCTAAGTGACGAGGACTTAGCAGATATCTTCTGCATTATCCATCCTTCTTCGCTCCCTGCGATTCGAGCCGCTGCTCTGATCCATGAGCTCACCCCCGAGCATACAATCACTTCTGAAGGCAACGTGAACATTAGAGAAAAGGAAGTCAACCCACAAGACCCTGGTACGTTTGATCTTGCGGCTCAGGGATTGGTTTCATGCGATATCGTGCTTCGCCTTTCCGCCAAAACGAAGAACCCGGCTGGTGGCTTCCTATTTGGACGAAACCAGCAGCGATGTGACTTCGTTTTGGGCCGCGACGACCAAGTCAAGCGTGTGAGTAATATTCACTTCCGGATCTACATCAATGAATACGGCGTCATTATGCTACAAGACATGTCTACGAATGGCACCGCCGTTGATGGACACATGCTTCGCGCAAAAGAGAAAGAAAACGGCATGGAGTATCGGCACACCCTCGAACTTGGCTCTAGAATCACTCTCGCTATGACACCCCCCGAAGAGGACTTCAGATTCATTGTCCGGATTCCACGCCGGGATGAGGTCACTGAATTGGCCTACCAGCAAAACTTGACAAATTACTTCATGCGTATTCAGAATGCTCAGATAGAGAGAAAGGAACCTGCTATCAAAAACAGAGAACCGGTATGCAGCATGTCCTCTCCTTGCAATTCTCATGCTAATAGTTTGTAGCCCAATATCTTCGCATCACGAGATGTCGGCACCCCAAATTACTCGACGTCTTCTCTTGGTAGACACATTAGAGAGTGGAAGGGCGGCTCGAAGTACAACAAGGTTGGCACCATCGGCAAGGGCGCTTTTGCTGTTGTCTATAAAATTACGGACAAGTATGATGGGGTTCCATATGCTGCCAAAGAACTCGAGAAGCGACGCTTCATGAAGCATGGTGTCCTTGATCAAAAGGTTGATATGGAGATGAAGATCATGCGGAAGATCAAGCATGTAAGGCTACTACTACCTTTGTGCCCCAGGCGATCGCTAATCAGGCCCAGCCGAATATTGTTCAATACATTGAGCATGTTGACTGGGATGAGTATCTCTACATCATCATGGAGTACGTCCCCGGTGGAGACCTTGGCAGCTTGATCAACAAGTATGGTAGACTCCAAGAACTGGAAGTTAAATCAATGGCCACTCAGCTTCTCAGCGCTCTGAAGTATCTCCACGGACAGGGCATAACCCACCGGGATGTCAAACCGGACAACATCCTTATCCATAGTCACCGTCCCTTTCAGGTCAAGCTGACTGACTTTGGTCTGTCAAAGATGGTAGACAGTGAAGACACCTTCCTTCGGACATTCTGTGGAACTCTTCTCTATTGTGCTCCTGAGGTCTACTCGGAGTACCGTGAGTATGATCTGCAAGGTACAAGAACCCTCCGAGGTATCGACAAGAAGCTACTTCCACCACAGCGTTATGATCATGCAGTGGATGTCTGGTCTCTAGCTGGAGTGCTCTTCTTTACGCTGTGTGCAAGCCCTCCATATCCTGTAAAGAATGGGATTTCCTATCAGGAGCTTCTCCATATTATCATGACCAAGCCACTTGATATCAGACCCCTCCAGAAGGTTGATGTCTCGGAGAATGGAATTCGGTTCATTAGACACATGCTACATATTCGTCCTGAGCATCGAGCAACGATCCCTGAACTTGAGTCGGACGTCTGGATTACAGGTGCACCTCAGAGCATGGAGTCTATTGATGAGGAGGAAGTCGATCTGGTTCAGAGTGGTTCTGTTATCAATCCAGAACTTGAGGAAGGAGCATCTCAGTTGAGCATTCATGATCCTTGTGACAGTCAGATTGGTGAGCCTGAGGAAATCAGCGGAGTTAACCAGTATCGAGTCGAAATTCCCAACAGCTTCAATACGAGTGATGGAAATTCGAATGGTAACGAGAGTTCTGCCCTGACGCAGAATGCTGGAAACGGCAGACTATTTGGGGAGGTCGATACTTCTGCCTTGGGAAGTTCTGGCGCTATTCCTTCGAGCCTTCTCCCGGTTCCCACGGTGAATCATCGTGACGTCCGCTCTATGTCCACTATTTTCGGCGGATCAATAAACGCTCAGAGTGAGCCTGTCCATGATACATCGAGCATACAGCACGTTCAACAGCCACCTCCAGTCATGACAGTTACCATGGTATACCAGCCACTCCCGACTGAGGTTGAGAGACATGGTGATAGGGCTTCGAGTCTCATGGGTGCGGAGTCCATGGTTGGACATCTAAACATGCATTCTCCATCAGCTGCTTCGTCTCCTGCTGGGTCTCCCGCTGCGGATGCACCCACCACTGTCGCTTCACCCGCTCAAGAAGGCCTTAGTCTTCGACGACCTCACGAGGAGATGAGCTCTGACGACCGTAGTTGGCAACCTGCCGATCTACCAGCCAAGAGAGTACGCAAATCAATGCGAGAGATTGATATGCCGGCGCCCCAGCAGCTGTTCTGGGATCCCAAGGATAAATCTACTCACCACAACAATTACCCGCATATGACGTTGTCGGAGTTCAATACCTACCAGGAGCTTGCCAAGAGAAAGGGCGAGTTGTTCGAGCATGGCCATGCCACGTTTGATACAACAATGAACAGCTTCAGAGCCAGTCGAAGCCCATCTGTCGATCCCGAGGCTACTCGAGCGCAATCCGAACCGGTAAAGGAGGGTCGCCGCATGATGATGAAGCGTGATGAAAGAAAGCTTGGCGACGGTGTAATCGAGGCCTCTAAGACTCAGCATTCTGCCGCTAAGGATCAATCTCTACCAACAACCGCTCATGGGTCCAACCAGCCCAATACCCCCGAGACCAAATCATCCGACATCACAGCCGGCCACGGCGTTGTAGGCCACGACTTCCAACCACCCAAGCGTATCCTCGGAAAGCTTTTTGCCACACAGGACAGCTGCCTCCCTACCATCACCCTGAATATCGTCGAGACAGTCACGAGCTGGGGTCGCGGCTTCCAGAACACTAATCGCTACTCCAACCCCAACGAGATCCGCGTCCCTAAATACGCCTTCAAGATCTTCGCTTTCAAGCTCGACAACGAATGGGAATTCGCTCCCCCCGACCCCAACTTCAACACCAAAGGCCTATCCTTCTACATCTCCAGTAAAGCCTCGATGGGAATCACCATCAACGGCGTCAGCCTCCCCAGCAACGACCGCCAGAACCCCGAGACGCCGTCGAAGTACTGGGGCGAGCTCCGCCACGGCGACATTATCACCGTGTGGCAGCACGACATCGACAGAAAGCAGTTCACCCGCTTCCGCTTCGAGTGTTATCACGGGAATTCCAAGGACCCTCGCCCCGCCAGCGAACCCTTCTCTATCCTCCCCGAGGGCAAGATCCTGGATAAACTGGAGAAGTACTGCCGTAACCACGAGAAGGCTCTCTTGCAGAACACTCTCTCTCCTGGAGTTTAATCTGGCTCTCCTTCCCTGGTCTTTCTTAATCCAGACTCTGTTTACATCAGCAGCGCCTCTTCCCCATTTTCCTTTTTTTGTTTCCCCCCAAAAATTGAGATTGGCAGACAGATAGACAGGCAGAAAGAAGGGTTCTTCTCTCGATATCAGCCAGGATTGTAAGATCAGTTAGTTTTCTTTTCATCGCATACATACACATATTGGTGGGCGGGTGGGTTGTGGTTTTCCTATTGAAAAAAAGAAAAAACGGGGAGGAAGGGTGGGTTATGCATGCAGGAAGCGGAGTGGATATGGATGGCTATGGATGGATGAATGGATGGATGGATGGGATGACAGGAAAAAAGCTCAGATTGGATCGTCGTAGCTACGATGTAGATAGATAGTGCATGCATGCAGTGTAATGAGAGAAATTCCTTTGAATGAACCAAATACTGAGTGACCAAGGACATAAATACACTCTCATGCATTGAATCAATTACTAGGTAAGACTCTAGCCATCCGGATCAACCACGAATTTATATCCTACTACAATCAATCAATCAATCTTGCCAATCCCCAACAATCCCCTCATCGAATGTCCAGCGACCAGCCTCGTCAGCGCCGACCGGCAGCCTCGCATATATCACATAACCCCGAGGACCTGAGAGCTCGCTTCGTCGTCGTATCCCCCACCAATGCAATCAATCAATCAAATCATTTCAAATGCAGATGCAGAGAAGGTAAAAAATCAAACAAGCAATCAAGCAAGCAGGCGAGAAAAGCACGAGCTAAAAAAGGGGGGCGAAGCAATTAAATACAGCAACGGATTATGCGGGACGAGAAGAACGGGGATGGATATATATCGGACAATGGGCGATTCGCTATGCGGGCATGCACGAATTGAGGGGATTGTGGGCCATTTCTTCGGGGCGGAACAGGTATTTAGACATATATTGGTGGAAGAGTTTTAGATATTTCCATAGAAAAATCGAGATTAGGTTTTTTATTGGGGCGCCCGTGGAGAAGAGGGTGATTAAGGACGACCCCTGGATTAGAAGGTTTAGTTGACGGTGATGAGAGCAGCCAGCGCCAGGAAGACAAGGGCCAGAGGGCTGGCGAGGCCGTTGGCGGAGCTGGGGGCGCTGGTGGTGGTGCCTGCTGGGGCGGAGGTGGTGGTCTTGGAGGCGGATGAGGAGCCTGGGGATTGTTAATTCTTGGTTCTAATCCTGAGGGTCTGAGAAAGGGTCTCTTGACGAGATACATACTCGATGAGGTGGAGCTGCTAGAGCTGGAGCTGGCGCTGCTGCTGCTGCTGCTGCTAGAGCTGGAAGTGCTGCTTGCAGAGCTGCTAGTTGCGCTGGAGCTAGAGCTAGAGCTGGTGCTGCTGCTGGTGCTGGAAGGGGTGCTGGAGCTGGAAGAAGAGCTGGAGCTGGCGGAAGAAGAGCTTGGAGAGCTGGAAGGGGTGGAGGCGGAGGAGCTAGAGGCGGAGGTGGTAGTGGCGGAAGTGCTTGATGGGCCGGTGGAGCTGGAGGCAGCGGCGGAGGAGCTGGCGCTGGCACTGGCACTGGCGCTGGCGGTGGCGCCGACCAGCTGGAACTGGGCACCGTAGTTGGTGGTCACGGCATCCTGGATCTTGACTGCGTAGTCACCAGCGGGGAGGGTGGCAGAAGGAGTCCAGGTGTAGGCAGTACCAGTGAGACCAGCTACACAGAAAGTATGGTTAGCTCAGGTCTCCAGAGAGGGAGGGGGAGATCGCTCTTGTCGGGGAACGGGACAGGGGAAACATACTTCCGAGGGTCTCGAAGGGCTTCACGTTGTTGGGGTCGGTGTCGTCCAAAAGGATCAGAGAGACGGGACCAGTGTTGTCACCCCAGGTAATAACGAAGGGCTGGCCAACGGTGATGCCCGCGTAGGTGGTGACGGTGAGGTTGAGGGCGGCATTGGCACCTGCAACGGCGGCGGCAGCGACGAAGAGACGTGAGAACTGCATTTTGGAAGCGAGTTTGGATCTGCAGAGAGAGGAGAGAGTGTTAGCCGTCTCACGTCACTGTCAATCAATAAACAGGATGAACTGCAATGCAAGTTGACCCTGACGCTGATCGAGAGACAGACGCGACTCGGGTCGATCCGACGCGTTGAGGACTTGGGGATTTGGTGAGACTTACATGACGACTCGTGGGAGAGGAATAGCACAGAGATCGAAAAGAAACGAGCGAGCGTGCTTTCTTTGAATTAAAAGTTAATGGAGAGAGAAGGTCGAGAAGAGAGGAGAGGAGAGAGAAGAGAGAAGAGAGAAGAGGGGCAAAGAAAAAGAGAGGAAAACAGGGAAAAGGGAGAGCGAAAGGGAGAGAGCTGAGCTGCAAGGGAAGCCCGGAAGGCCTCAATCGCTCACTTACTGGATTGGGCCAATTCGTGCCTGTTTTAGTGAATCTAAATGGACGCCGGACACGAGAGCCATTTCACTGTTGTCTGGTTCGCCCAGGGGTAAGATTATACTAAGATTAGACTAAGATACCTTATGTATAAGGTAGCGCGCTCCAGCCACCGCCCCGCGCCCTTTAAGCAACGGCCGCCGGCTCGATGGGGCATAGCGGGGATAGCGGCTAGGCGGGATGGGGCTTGGTGTCTCGGCAAATTCAGGGGTTCCTGGGAAAAACTGGAATCCGATTTATACGGGGTCACGCCTTCCATTGGATCTTGAGCCAGGGAATACGAAGAGAGCGGTACAGAAGACACATTTACGGGACACATAATAATGTGGTATATTATGAGGTGATAATATGATATGATATGATATCTCTACCTGAGACCTTGAGTCGGAATTGGCTTTCAAGGGTCCATTTCCTTGCTGCGCGTCTCGAGACACCTCTGTGCGCAAAGGTGCAGATACCTTACCTTCCTTACATTACACTTTCAGGCTTCCGCTATCCAAGCATCTTATTACGTGATCATCCAGGTAAACTTAAGGTACGGAATAATTACAATCCCGCACATCGCGCTTCTCCGTCCCCTTTACGCCGTCTCCTCGCTGCTCCAGTAGTACCTCGGCTCTCCCGCTCTCTCGTATTCTGGAGCCACCGACGTCGCCTGCAGATCTGAACTTCGCTGTTCGGATTCTCTGAGCTTCGAACCCGAGTTTGCTCTCTCTCGTTATCTCATCCTCTGGAGACTGGCCCCCAGCTTTCAACTGCGGAGAATGTACAGTACAATACGAGGGAGACGCGTATCCCGGGGAAACAACAGGTTTCCACACATATAGCTTATATATATGGCTATGCCATGCAGAAGTATAAAGGCCTGTGCATTCCTTGCCCATGGAGTGGCTTGTCTTGAGGAGCCTTGCACTCGATCACGTGGCTCATCATCTCTTGCTCAGCAGTGAGCACCTTCTCTCTTCCACTCGTCTCCTTACAATCCAACTCATTCAACCGGGATTTTCGGTTTCGTCATAGACTCACAGCAAGATCCAGTAGATCTTCAGGACTCATTGGCTTCCGCCTCTTGTCCTACAATTACAATTACACTCAAACAGTCAAACCAATAGCCCATTGCTGACAATGCTAACTCCTGAGCGTGTCTGCACATACCGAGTACTCCGTGCTGCCTTACACACCTGAGACAGCTCCGGCTGTTCTTATTGGCTCTTTGGCTCTCAGCAGAGCACGCAGATGCCCCTGGCCAATCAGAGGTGAAGACGAAGCAGATGAACGGCAGCGAGGGGAAGAGGCTCACTCCCATCGAACAGTACTCTGCCAAAGCACGGAGTGCCAGGCACAATCAGATACAGTACCTGGCTAACAGTGCGAATCTCTGCCTGTTTCCGAAACGGCGAAACTTAATATTACACAGGGGACAAAACACATGACATCAGCTTAAATACAAAGTCCTCAACTCGGGGGAAACTTTTTCCTTTCCTTTCCTTTCGCTTTCAAGGGCGTCTTACCCGGAGCTCCCCTCCAAGCGTTAGGACGAAGTCAAGTCTGGACTTGAGGCTTGAGCCTATCCCTGCAGAAAGCCGCCCGGTACCTGCATATTCGATGCAGGCCTTGCATCGCGACAGACGGGTTAGAACGGCACAGAACACAACGAACAATGGACTGTTGACTGCTATCTCCCGTTACGACAATGTTCGAAAACCACCTCTCTCTCCGCCCCTCTTCTGCGGAATAACGATGAAAATACACAAGTCAAATCAACAATAATCATTCACTTTCTCAATCAAGCTGGTCGGAGCAATACTAGGGCCGCACTATATACACCATGCCCCGAGTCGGCATCTACCGCCCCCATGGCTCGGATGCGCGGTCGAGAACCAATGGTTGACCATCTCCGGGCAGGCCTACTACTCGGTAGTACTGTATCAGGCGTGATAGCGTCCGATCGAGTCCACCACTTCCTCCCTTTGTGCATGGGGTTGTCAGATGAACGGAAATTTGAACATCTATTTTGCGCTTTTAGGCGTCATGATAAAAGGTTCCGCCTGCCCACGGATGAAACCTTGTGCTCTCTCTTTTTGCCGCTCTTTTACGATTTCTCCTTGAACTTCTGTCCCTGCGAGATTCCTGTTCGTCATCGAACACGATAATTTAAAGAACATCAAGACGATATGTATCTCTCAACCTTTGTCCTCGCGGCTCTCGCGACCCTTACTGCGGCCCAGAACCCTTTCAACATGGACCCAATGCCCTCCAGCATCAAGGTCGGGACTCCCTTCAACATCACCTGGATGCCTTCTACCGGTACAGTCGATACCGTGACGCTGCTCCTCCGCCAAGGCGATCCCAATGCATTGAAGACAGTTGAGACCATTGCCGGTACGTCTCCCTCCTATTCCTACCACTTTCTTTCCTTCCATTCCCCCAAAGGACCTTTTTGACTCACAATCACCACAGAGAATATCCAAAACACCGGCTCTTACCTCTGGACCCCAAGCGCCCAACTCGTCAACGGCCCTCAGTACGCCTTCGAGATCATCGACAACGGAAACAAATACATTGACAACTACTCTGGCCAATTCTCCATCGATTCCCCAAACACCTCCTCCGCCCCCGCCGCCGCTAGCTCCACATCCAGCAGCGCAAGCAGTGCCGCAACATCCAGCAGTGCGAGCGCCAGCACAACCGACAGTTCCAGCACATCAGCAAGCTCTAGCACAACCGCTAGCTCCAGCTCGAGCTCGAGCTCAAGCGCATCCGGGTCCTCGAGCGTGAAGAGCACCCAGACGAAGGTCAACAGCAGCGCGAGCCAAACCAGCAGCGCAACATCCACCTCAAGCAAGGAGACCAGCAGCAGCAGCAGCTCAGCGACCCCTAGCGCGACGGGCCACTCGGCCGCCACCAAGATCAAGGTGTCCGGGGGACTCCTAGCGGTTGTGGGTGCGGGCATGGCGCTCCTGTGATGAAAGACGAAGAGCCCGCAAAGGCAAATGGCGTTTTTCGTTACCCAAGAATCATCATCAGCATCGTCTGGGGATCTGGGAGGTTTAGCATCAAACAAGGTTTAGCGAGCATGGGATTGAGCGTTCGTTGTATATATAAACCTATATTCTCTTTTAATCGCTCTAAATATTTCGAGGTCACGACAGCCTTATGTTATTATATTAGAGATCTATACACGCTCTGGTTTCTGGGGTTTTGGGAAAGGGGTTTGCAGAATACACAGGGTGGCTATTTATCTTCTACGTACCTTATATGTACAGTAGGCTCCAATGCACTAGACATTTGCAACCTTCTAAATGCATTATTTGCAACCTCTTTAAACATGAGAACTCCTCTTATCTATCAACGATCCTCAATCCTCAAAAGTGTAACTTCCAGAGCCCAGCTTAGTAATCGCGGCTATCACCAGCTGGCCCCACCATAAACCTTCGAGAATCGGGTCTCGCCCGCCGAGTCTGCCGCCGACGACAGCACCAAACGAGTGCAATCCAACCTTCAGCGCGCAATCTCCCATCATCCAATTCTCTCCTCCCCACTCGCACCAGCACACATCTACGAATCTCTCTCGCTCCCTATCCAAGATCTGAAACAGGATCTGAATACCGAGCACGATGTCTGATCCGCCAGTCGTCGACTTCGGCTCGCCGACTATCTTCTTCGACTCGCATCCTGAGGAACAGGAGTCGTATCTGTATTCGTATTGGTCGGCGCTGAAGAGTTCGTTGAAGATGTATGTGGCCTTTTCCTGATTACTGCTGTTGCTGCTTGCAGTTTGCTCTGCCTTGCACTTCTCCTGAAGTGGTTCATGGCATGTTTTTATCAAATCTTATTTATTTCATTTTTCTTTCTCCTTTCAAAGCCAATCCAAAATCGCGCTTTCTTTTTCCTCAATATCATTAAAAGATGGAAAAGAGATCAGGCAAGGAATAGGAAGGGGCAAGCAAGACAGGAGAGGAAGAGCAACACCGCTAACAAAAATATTCACGCACAGCGCGTTCACAGGCCAAGTACCAAAATTCCACCACCCCGGCACACTACGTATCATATGGTGGACGCACGACGGCAACCAAGGAATGAAAGATTACGAACTCCACGAGTACGCGCTCGTGCGGCGCAACTTCGACGTGCTGCTCGACCTCCCCGAAGTCCGCCGCGTGGTGATCATGGGCTACTCAGGGCAGAACCCGTATATCCTAGGCGACAAGAACCCATGGGTGGAGAAGTTCTCGCGGATGAATAAGGTGCGTAAGGGATGGGATGAGAGAAAGGACGTGAAAGAGGGGAATAAGGAAAGGATGAATGATAGTAAGGAGGGGAGAGTAGGCAAGTTGGTGGATATTAATGAGATTATTGAGAAGAATGATGAGATTGAGGAGCAGAAGAGGAGGGAGGAGGAGGAACGTATAGCGACGGAGACTGAGGGGCTGTTGAGTGGGGAGATGGTGTAGGCTTGGGATGGGAGCTTGTGGTTTGGAAAGGTGCGGATTGCGAATTACGATATCTGGCCATCATCCTCGCCGACAGACTTCCAGAGGGGGGCAGATGAGCGCACGTTGTTGCAATCAGCAGGGAAGCAGCCGACCGTCGATAGATCATCGAAACACTACCAAGGAAGGCGGAAAGGAGACAAAACGGCGAATTGAAGGATCTGCCACATCCCCTCCGGAACGAGCAATACATACAGGTACCAATCCACCCCCTTCCAAAGGCCAATCCCACCGACCATCAACCTCTCTCATCACCAAAATTACCACACCAGTCCAATCCGCTCTATATACCACGGACTCCCAATCCATTCTTCCCATCTCAGCACCTGAATTTTCCAGCGTCTTTGATATTTTAGTTTTTATCAATCAGGAATGAAGGATGGATGATGGATAGGAGTCATCTTTTGTTATTGTTATGTATGTAATGTAGTATGTATGTAAATATCTAGTCATCAGTTAATGGTTCGGATCTTATCCATCTTATTTATATCCCTTGTTTAAGGTATTTGGAAGACCGCTTCGCTTTTATTATTCAAGTATAAAAGGCGTTGCTTTTGTTGATTTTGTAGTTTTTGCGTCCCCGAGGAGTCACTCACTAAGGTAATTCCCCTTCTTCTTCTAGCAACACCAACTTTTTTTCAGTATGATGTTTATACCCAATAAACATCAAGATCGCAATTAAATCAAATTATTCAATTCAGACCTTGCTTTTATCACCACTCCATCTATCTCATACACCTTCTATACCTCCCCAGTAGTAGGTAGTAACAAATCCATAATTCCCACCACCCTACCCTACCCTACCTTACTAACTATCCCCAAATCGCCAAATTCGCCAACTCACGAATTCTCCTTTTCGAGCCAACATAGCTAAACGGCTGACCATATATGTTCATAAGCTCCAAAGTCAGCTCTGGCTCACGCTCGCCTGCTTTTCTCCAACGAGAGAGGATATGCAAAAGATTGCTTATTACGTTGGGAAAACTGGCTTGGTTCCTTGTGTGCAGCGAGCGAGCGAGGTGTTAGTAAAATTGAGATAAAGAACGAGGGGGGGGGGGGGAATGGGCAGGTATATACTTTCTCCAACCCTGCTGTCTATCAGGATCAACACATAAACAAATCCTCTCAACATACCCCACCCGTCGTCCTCCCCATTTCCCTCTAACCATCCGATCCAAATCGTCCAAGCACGACGACTGTATCCTCAGGCTGCGAAAATTCCTAGTTTCGAAAAATGTCTGGAATTCTAAGGATACGGTGGCGTAGCTAGACTTACGACGGTGATCTGAGGCTGCTACAATTAACTCTAGGATCATCTGGCGAATCTCGAGGGGTAGATGGATCCAGGAGGTCATGATGGGTAGGGTGTGTTGGGGTGGGGTGGGCCGATGAGGAAAGTTTGAGGAAATGGGTTTGATATCGAGGAGGTTTTTTTTGGATGTGCTGGGAAAAAATGAAGATGGATGAATGTGGTGGGAGCACTAGATACCTTACTCGACTACCTTAAGGAACTCGACCATGGAACGCTTCACTCTCGGCGGGAGGAGCCGTATTTGTATAGAGTGGAGAGATATGGCAGGAGAAAAGAAGGGGTAAGTAGGCTTTGGCTGTGCATGAGCTTCCGACTAGACATCTCAACTTCCTTCATCTGAAAAAAAGCAACCAAGACAGAACGTAAAAGTCCGTTGATTAATTTGACACATTCCTTTCTGTATTCATCTATCACTACATCCGCTCCCCCCCTCAAAACTCGAACTCGTTCCGGAAGCTCTCCACATCCATACCGACCACGACCCGATCCGCCAGATCCCGACGGCCCATCTGGCTGAAGACGCGCCGGAGCGTGTCGTACAGGTTCGTGCTCTGGTTCTGGCTGATCATGCGCTCCAGCTCGGCCTCGGAGACGTTGCCCTCGCCGCCGCCAAGGATGTCGCGAGCCTTCTCGCGGCCCTCGTTCGCGACGACTTCGTGCATGGCGAGGGCGCCCAGAAGGTGCGCCGCCGCCTCTTCGTAGCAGCCGATGTTGATGCAGCTCACGCCCAGGTTGTAGCGGGCGCGGACGAAGTTGGTGCGTAGCACCAAGGCCTTCTCGTACGCGGCGATGGCTTCTTCGCTCCGCCCGCTGTTGGCGAGGGTGGCGCCGAGTCGGTTCCAGAGGAGGTGCACTTGATCCCTTTGGTTGCTGGTCCCGGATTCGGTGCTGGCTAACGCGGCCGAGAAACAGTCGACTGCTTTGCCGTATTCCTCAGCGCCGTAGAAGAGAACCCCGAGGCCGACCTGCACGTCAGGATCCATGTGCTCACCATCGGGTGAAAGCTGGGCGGCGCGGATAAATAGGTCCGTGGTCTTCTCGTGCAGTTGATGTCGATCTGTGAAGCCCACATCGGCATCAGAGGTGAGCTCAGATGGGGAGACTATATTTGGGTATTTGACCGAGAGCCAGCGTTCGAGGGTGCGGTAGGCGGTACTATCGTAGCCTTCGTTTGTGTATGATACTGCTAATCCCATGAGAGCTGTGAGGTTGTTTGGATCCAACTTCAGAGCCTGTTCTAAAGCCCGTATGGCGGGAGCTTCTTTCTCGTTTTGTGCTTGTGCAGAGCCAAGTAACACCCACGCTTCGGTATGGTCAGGCTCCTTTTGTACTGCAGCTTCGAAGGCTAGAGCTGCGAGGGAGAGGTTGCCTCCCTCCTGCATTATCCGGACTCCTTCTTCGAAGGGATTACTGACATCCCGGAAGATATTGTCGGATTCAAACATGTACTCTCCTAATTGCGGATCTCGGAACGGCGACTGGTGAGTCCCTAAGCCATCAAATCCATCCCAGTGATCGAAATCACCCATGTGCATTCCCATACCTCCCGACATACTTTCATCGGATGCCATCGCCCTAGCAGCGGCAGTCTCAGCTTGTATGCCTCTCCAGATAGACTCGAAATCACCGAATTCATTGGTTTCGGATTCAAGGACTGACCTGTCCATTTCATTAAGCTCTGCCTCGGCGGCCACAGCTTCTTCCTGTTCCTTTCCCTGCAGATCGATCTGCTTGAACTGTTCTTCCCAATGTTCATCATCGAGCTCGATCATCTTCCCCTTCCCCTTGTCTTCCTGCTGGAAATTCTGGGGTCCTTGGAAGCTCGGCCGGTTCATCATCCCCATGCCCATACCGCCCATACCCATCATGCCCATTGGCATACCCATCGGTGATTGGTATCCGGAGTAGCCGCTCCCCATACTCTGCGCCATAGGGCTTGCCGTCCGAGGCGCACTCTGGTTCATCTGCTGGAATCGAGCGAAGTCGGCTGGGCTGAACGCCGCGCCCTTGGGGGCTTGAAACGCAGCCTCCATCATCCCTTGTGCTTCAACCCCCGGGTGGAATTCTTGCGCCCATGTATTTACGCCCGGCGATTGGGAACCTGCCCGCATCTGTGGATTGTGGTGCAGATCATGCTGCATCGCGAACGCCTCGGGGATCTGTCCGTTCTGTTGCATGAACTCATTCATCATCTATGGAAGCCATGCTGTTAGCCCTGCCACCCCGCCCTAGGAAAATACTGCATGCAGAAAGACATATTCGTCGAGAATGATACTTGGGGAACTAATTGGAACATACGTTATCCTGACTTCCACTCATGCCCATCCCGTTCGTACTCCGCATGCCCTGCATGTTACCGCCCGGTCCCCTCCCCACCAGTCGGTCTCTTTGTAAACTCTTGTCATCCTGGACATGTTTGGTGAATTGACTGAGAGGGTTCCCGGCCGTCGAACACTCCGCGCCACCTAGAAATGACATATTGAAGGGCTTCCAAAATTAAGTCGAGTGAGGATCCGACCGCTGATCGTCGAACGTTCGCCACTCGAGGCAGGTATGTCTAGCTGGAAAGAGAACAGATCTATGTACAAAGGTATGTGCCGTATTGTTGTACAAGAAGGGCATGTATATGACAACGGCGTCTCTTGCGTGTTGAAACTCATATGTTGTTGTGCTGTGTATGAGAGAGGTCGAATGGTCAAAATGTGGGGAAGTGTATTGGAAATCATCCCGAGCCTCGGGAAAATGCCGAGGTGCAAGTGGCCGAGAAGCACGGGCAACCTCCGCCGATCGTCAGCAAAAAGGGGGAAGGCGAATACTCCCCTCCATGATGTCAAAGCAACACAACAATTGTAGGATACCAGAAGGGTTCCAGAAGGCCTCTATTAATATCCGGCTATTTATGACAATATAAAAGAAACGTTTCCCGTGTACTTTGAGCTGAGTTATGTCTTCTGATCTTAATCATCGGTCTGCGCCGGCCCCAAAACCCAGATTTTACATGCTGCCAGAAATAGTGGATCTTAAGACAAGTTACAGAAAGGTGAGGTCTAAAAGAAGATGCCTCAGATATGCCCCGGCTTTTGGTACAATATCCACAACCACTAATAGGTCACAATACCCAACTCCTACATCATTACAGTCCATGTTGTTTAGAACCCACCCTCAGTCTGGCCTCCGTTCTGGCCTCCGTTGCGGGGGCCAGTACGGACCCTGTCCTTGGTGCCGCCAGTGCTGAAATCAACCCTCAACTTGCGACCATAAATCTCTCTCCCCATAAGAGCTTCTCGGCCCTTGGTGGCGCTCTCCACATCAACAAAGTCAGCGTGGGCGAAACCTCTTGGTTGGCCAGTACGTCTGTCAATCGCAACCCGGACATCGATGACATTTCGAATATCACGGAAGAGCTTGTTGAGATCAGCGTCGGACATCTCGAAGGCAAGGTTGCCAATGAACAGAGTCTTTGAAGGTGGGTTCTCTCGGACTTCGCGGACGGTCCTGGCCATGTAGTTTACAATCAGGCGACGGCCTTCTAGGACGGTTTGGTTCTTTGCCACAATGGCAGCATTGGCCGCCTCGATGGTCTCGAATTCGACATACCCAAATCTACAAAAGCGGTCAGTTGCAATGCTAGAAACCGGATGCAGAGACCTCTTACCCTTTGCTCAATCCCCTGGCATCGGTAGCGATGATTGTCGACTTGATGGGCCCAAATTGCTCAAATTCCCTCTCGAGATCCTTGGCAGTGACATCGAAGAGCAAGTTTCCAACGTAGATACCAGAGGTAGGTGTCAAGACGCGCGGGTTGTTTGAGCGTGGGTTGTTTGAGCGCGTGGTGTAGTTGTCCCTGCGATCATCATTATATCTATTTTGGCGTGGTGCTCTGGGGAAGCCGCTAGCAAGACCGCTAGTAGGCTCAGCACCTCGATCACCGCCATAAGTCTCTTGCGCTGGCTCGGTACTCTGTGCTAAGCTCTCCTCTGCATCCTTGGTATAAGTCGAAGTGGACTCGGCGGCGGAATCGATGGCTGATCGGATAGTACCGTGCTCTTCGGCATCGGCAGCTGCGACGGGTCGTGATTCGCTGTTGGCATTATCGCTGGCAAATCTTCTGAACACTGATGGGGAGATCGCGCTCTGGACTTTTGATTGGGCGAGGAAAGAGGGAGAGGAGGACTTGGAGACCACGGAGGTGGATGGGGATGCCGCAGCACGGAAAGCTGCGCGACGGATGAAATGCCTTCGACGGTGATTAGTTTTTGAACCATCGATCTCTCGCGCGGCAGTACGAAACTTACATGATTATGAACTGTGTAGGAATTGGAATGAGGTTGGGTTCTCGATGTCTTGTGAGGTGGTGATACTCTAGAAATTTATTATTTCCAGGAAGCTTTTTCACATACGGGGACGCAGCTAGCGCGGGGACTAACTGGTTCCGGCCCGTATGTCAGGTGCAACCGCGAAGCCGACCTCCTTTTCAAGGTACATCAATGCTCACATCTCCCAATTGCCAACGGAATCAAGCTGCTTTCTCCCAGAGTTTGTATGGCCATGGGCATATCTCAATCAATAGAAGATATCTGGCTTTTAATTCTCTCTCTACTGCCCCTAAAGTTTATCAACCTAGAAAATGCCTCTTCAGCCCCGTCAACAAGGCTGAGCAATAAGGCTTCAGATAATTGTCATCTACTTTTATACCTACCTAGACGCCTCCACGCTTCACAGAATCACCCGTTGCCTTCCGGAACTATTGTGCATTTGCATAGCTTTATCTGATAGCTTAATTTTGATTTAATTGCATGTTTTCTTTGCACGTAAGGTAGGTAAGGTACCTTAGGTATCCGAACACCTGTCCTCTCGAGTCAACCCAACTGGAGAACCGTCTATATCCCTCCCTCACCACATCCTGTCTCCTCTATGCCCAAGCATTCTTCAACAACTCTCGTCGCTGCTCCTCTCACAATACATGTCATCTTCCGTAATATCCTTGAGCGCCCTAGCCACCCAGAAAAAAGGCTGGAGGAAAAGGGGATAATACACAGCTCAAGGACCTAGAGCGCTCGGTATTTTTAGAGCTTTTGTATCACAGTCTCCTCCTGTAGGATAATCTCATCTAATTGTAGTCAGAGTAGCTGATTGGCTTCAATGATAACAGTCACTCTTAGCTACACGACAATCTCATCAGATTCACATGCAGCATGGTATGGAGTTCTATAGTATTGATTTCGTTCGCATGAGGATTCAAGTAGTAGTTATTCCACACCATCCGACATTTCATCACCAACCCATGAAGATCAGCTTTCTTGATGATGAGAAAAGGGACCGTATGCACATGCAGCCAAGGACAGAAGGCCCGGTGTCCAAACAAACCACATCTCGTTGGAATGCCAAGTAGCTGATCTACCACGACCCGTCACCACATCACCAACCAGTGAAGGTTAGCTCTCTCAAGGAGAAACAGAGACAGTATGCCTGTCCAACAAGGACAAAGGACCGGGTCCAAACAAACCACATCCAGAGCGAAGAAAAACCATGAACTCATTATCGCAGCAATGTCCCGTTCGTAAAAGAACAAGCAGTGTATGAGCATATCCGTAAGAAAGATGCCTCTCCCAGCCCAAAGACACCATCAGAGTCCAACAACCCGCCCCAAAGCTAGTAACTGAATACCATGCAATGAGAGATTCTGCCAAGCCAGTAACCCAAGTACCACGCAAGACGAAATCCAGAGATTGGAAGGAAAGACGGGGAAGAATCGAGGGCGGAGAGGCGGGTATATGTGTACAACGCCATAATTCAACCGTGATGCACGCCATGTAGCCATCCATCTTCACATTATCTCATTCCATTGGAATCCGTTGCATCCGAAAGAGGCATAAACATCAATCAGGAAAGGAGGATGTGAAATCCAGCCACGCCATATGCACCGCAAACTCCGCACTAAACACTTTTGTAATCTAGACAAACGCAAGGAAAATTTGTTGTATCGTGGAACGACTCGCGGTAGATGGAGAAGCTCAAAGGACATGGCCACCAGGGTGCGGTGTATGTGGTATCAAAAAACGAAAAGACCAGCCGAAGATGAAAAGAGACTATTCCAGACAGTGGGTGAAGGAAATGAAATCGAAAAGGCCACGTCGTTTGGTAGTAACACATATCACCAGCGAGTTCGATGCAGACGTAGGGAATGGAAGGGCCGAGCTCGAGCGTCGACGAATGTGTGATGCAGCAGCTCCAGATGCCGAAAAAGGGGCGTAACTCGCAGCAAGGAAAATCGTAATCCGACAAATAGTTGGACAAGATTCGAGGAGTTTAGAAGCGCGACTCATAGCCATTTTGAGGTGGATCATGGTACTGGATGCCATTCATCGAGTCGGGACCGCGCATATTGCCATTGAAGCGGAGGGGGGGTAACTGCTCAGCCGAGGGTCGAACAGCATACTGCTCTGGCACGCGGGACCGATCAAACTCCGCCGAGTACGAAGGTGGAGGATGGATGCCTTGGTTATTCATATGATGATGGCTTGTAGGATGTGAAGACGAGATAAGTGCCTTGTTCTGCTCACGGAGCTGAGCGTTCTCGAGCCGAATGGTATTATTCTCATGGCGCTGGGCCTCAAGCTCCTGCTTAGCCACTGCAAGCTGATGGTTGCTCTTGCGAAGCTCCTCGGAGAGTCGACCATACTCGTGAATGGCTGTAGATGTCAGCACGATCTCAATGAAATAAACAGGAAAAGACATATAAGGCTATTACTAGATTGGGGAGGAAACATGGAATACGTACCCTTGGTTAGGATCTCCCACTTGCTAGCCTTCGAGCCGCGCTCCTGGGGCATCATGTCGCGAAGGTTGTCGAACAGTTCCTTCATTTCAGTACGTCTCTTACGTTCTGCAAGCTTATGGCTCACGCGTAGTTCGGGGGTGCGACTATAGGGTTGCGAACCACCTGGGGATCCAGCGTCGCTCTGCAAATCCGTAACCTGCTTATGCTGCAGGGAGTGGTGGTGGTGGCTCGCAGGTTGAAATTCAGAGGAAGCGCGAGATAATCTCTGATACTCGGCTGGCATGCCATCTTCGAGACGTCGCTGGCCAGGCGGGAGGCGAGACTCGCTGGTGAATTGGGAACTCGCAATCGAGTCCGCCAAACTTGAGCGACGCGAATCCAGGAAGGACGTACCTTCACGGCTGACGCTTTCACCGGCAGGACGCGCCGCAGATGGCAGCCGCTGTACCACCTCCTCTGGGAAAGCCCAAGCCTGGCCCTTGGTCGGTTCAGGAGCACGAGCAATGTTTCCGAGCGCAGGACCACTGATGATAGGGGCCGTCCTCGGGAAGGTCTTGGGAGACGTAACGTCGTCCGGTAGGCGCTGATTGTTTGGCTGGTAACCGTTGGAGAATCGCGAGGCCGAGTTCCTCTCAGCATTGCCCGGGTTTCTCTGCTGTTGCAAGGTGGACTGGATCGAAGTCGTGGATTGGTTATTCGAGGCATATGGCGAGTTGGCCAATCTCAAATCACCAAAATTGTGATGCAATTGGCTATTGACACTCTCGCGGCGCGAATTGGATTCGCCGTTCATGGATTGGACCTCGCCAGACTGCCTATCGAGTCTGCGGATCATCTCTGTATCGGTGGTGGGAGAGACCATGTTTGCGAGGCTCATGCCCCCCGAGCCCGGCGACGGAAGGGGATGAGGGCCAACGCTGGTGTTGATTGGCGACGGGGTCTTGTCGATGGAAGATTGATAGCCGGAGAAGGGGGGTGTCAAGGCATTGGACTGCGTCGAGGTATCTGGGTTTCCGGTCAGCACCGAGGGTGGAATTCGCGACGCGCAGGTCGGGGAATGAATGCTTACGCTTGCTATCAACGGCCGAGTAGTAGGCAGAGTCGCGCTGCTGCTGCTCCTCCGGTCTATTTAGAACGCCTGCGAGGCCGGCAGGCACAGAGTTCGAGGCGGCCATGGTGGAATCGACTGCTCGAGTCTTGCTGATGTGAGGAGTTTTCCGAAGGAACGAGCGATAAGAAGGCGAAGGCTTCTAGAAGAAAGCGGCGCCCAGCTAAACGAGAGGAGTGTGCGCTGCCAGAAGGGTGATCCCGTACTCGACTGAGCCCCTACAGCCAGTGCACGTCTCAATTGGGTCGAGAGGGAGTGGTCACCGAGTTGTCAATGTCTATGAGAGGACGTAAGCTGAGGATTCGAAAGTTTGGGACCGGGAATTTGGATCCCGAGGGACGGGAGGCGGGGAGAGCGAGCAGACAAAAGGCCAAGAGCCAGTGCTCCTGGCTAGCCCTTGGTTCCGGAAACTTACTTGGGCTGGTCAAACTGAATGCCTTTCAGTAAGGACTTTGGTGGGAGAGGATGTGGTTGAAAGAGGATGGCCGGAGGGTGGATGTAGGAGGATGAAAGGCGCAAGAATGAAGGGGAAGGGGAAGGGGAAGGGAAAAAAGCGAAAGAAGTAGGCGGGAAGTTGTCTTGATGACTATCCTTCGAGGGATGTCCTTCCTGGCCGTCTTTTGTGGTGGTGATAGTGGTGGTCGTCCTTCGTGGTCGTCCTGGGGCGGGGGGCTTCGTCCTTCGCAGGGAGTGCCACTGAAGAGCCCGTTCACTCCACGCAACTTACAGCAGAGGCCGGATGACAAAGCAGTCGTCGCCCCTGAAGTCGTGAGCGTTATCGACTCGACTCGACCGGACGCAGGCTGACGGTTGACGGGCGCAGGACTCCTCTCTTCTGAAGGGCTAAAAAAGGGACGGGGGGGGGTTGGGGGTGAACAGAGGAGGTAGAAGGATGAAAGGGTAGAAGTATGGAGTATGGAGTGAAGTCAAGTCGAGTAGTCAAGTCGAGACGAGACGGCGACCTTGGACCGGGCGAGGAGAGACAGCGGGACGACTGGGGTGTGGGTTCAAGGGTTCAGGGAGGCGGGCCTCTCAAGAGTCAAGACTCAAGCCTCTTGAAGTCCATGTGTACTACTCGGGTCACTGGCCAGGGCTCGAGGAACGTGTGATTATTATTAATACTTCTACTGCAAGTGCCAGGGATGTCGTAGTCGGAGGTATTACCACAGTGTTATTCTTGTTGAAGCCTCTGCGCAGAGGCGCGTGGGTGCGGGAACAAGAGAGAGGACAAGCCTACAAGGGGGACCGGGGCCCTTCAACGAGGGAGCCAGAGAGAGACCGGGATCAACGAGCCAACCAGTCCTGTCCCACGACCACCACCTCTTTTCGCAGCAGGTGGTAGTAGTAGTATTACTGTAATCAGCTGCTGCTCCTGGGATGTTCAGATGTGTTATTATCGCTGTAATAATTCACAATGAATCCGTGTGCTCCTGTGGCTCTGCCTGTCTGAATCCTGCTAACCGGAAAAGGTCGCATCTTCAGCTCTTCGCCTCTTCTTTCACATCAGATCTTCTGCTCTCTTGAACCACTCTAGGCTCTACAGAGTTCCAACGTTACCTCGTTCCTCTGTACAATGAGTGCATGCTCCCATCCCGGGAACCTCTCGTAGATTCTACCGAGGACGCTTCGATGCAGCAGCAGCCGCCTTTACACGAAGCTGTCTGTCCAGTGCCCATCAGACGCTTAAGGCGCTTGATGCTCTGCCATGAGGCCCTCTGAGCATCAGATGCTGCATGGAAGTCCTCTGCATGTCCTCTGGTGTATCGATTGTCTACAGTATGTGTATGTGGCTCGAAGACTGTCCGGACGACGGTACCCGCTACGTAGGTGGCCTCTACCCGATGCTGCAAGAAACATGCATACATGCTCTGTACACACAACTCACTCGCCCACTTACCTGCATCATCCTCATCCTCTTCAATAGCAGAGGCCGGGAGCACCACAATTACTCGGCAGCAGCAAGCCCCTGCAGCTGTGTCCAACAGTTCATCGATCTCCCGCCCTGACTTGCAGCATCATCGCATGTGCCAGCGCGCGGAGAGAGCGCGCTCCCTGTGAGCACCCGTCTGCTGTCACCCCGCGCCACAGCGGATGACTGGGCCTCACGCCCGCGGACCTTACGAGGTGTAACTTAGCAAAATGCCGCGCTCTCCTGCTGCTAACGATGGCCGTGGCACAGCGGTCGGGAGCGAGAGATCGGAAACGGCACCTCCTCACCCTTCGCAAGCGGCGCGGAACTGCCTCGTCCACCGTCTATCTGCGCCCGTGTCGAGACCCAATGCATGTCTCGCCAGCCTACATGATCTTCGTGCGATGGGGCGGCTTCCCTCACGGCGTACGGCGTACAGACTACAGACTGGCGCGCAGGACGAGGAGCATTGGAGGCGTGCAGGTATGTGGCAGGTAAGTCCAGGGGGGCGTGGGGTCTCGAAGGTACGGAGTGGTAGAGGCATTGTGGGTGCTGAAGAAGTGCCGAGTTTTATGGAGTGATTCTTCTTGAATCCCTACACTTCGAAGTCCCAAGGCTCGGGAATCACATATGTACGGAGTACATGAGTAGTGCCTTTACTGGGACTGTGGTGAGAATACCCCGGAGTACTGTCGTGCTCCTGATACATCGCTACGATCTGACCTCGCCGCATACTGTTGGTAAGGTATGAATAACGAGATAGGATGATGCCCACATCCTCCGCTGATACACCTGCCTAGCTCTTAGGTAAAGCTTATCTGGTGCGACGGGGGAAGCTCGCTGATCGTCTGGACTCTGGAGGTCGAAGGTCGTGCTTTGTATACTATGTACTACCGCGACCACTCTCCTCGGCGTCCTCGTCCTCCTCGAGCCTCGTACCCGACAGCTTCTCACGGCTGCAGCGTTGGGAGTGGTAACACATACAGTGAGGAAGACGAGCACAGCATGCGCTTCTTCGATCGCCAAGCGGCTGGGTATTTGTATTTGCATTCCTCCGCACTGCAGTCAATGCACTCGATGCCTTCCCCTCCTCTGCAACAGTGACATCCGGTGTCGAAGAACGGCTCTCACGGGCCGAAGGGAGATCGGACGGCCCCCTTGATCTCCTCCTGTTGCAACTTGCAAGAGGCTTTGCAGTGTTCACTACGCCCATCACTCTTCGGCACCTCCAGTCGATACAAGCCCCAGCCCCTCCCCGACCCATGGAACCATGGGTAGAACATGGAGCCAAAAGGAATCCAGGACTGAACTTCCCCTTCAGGCCCAACCGCCATCCATTGCCATGCAACTCCTTCAACAGCGTGGTATTCGATTCTCCGCCATTATTCCTAGTAGTAGTAGACTAGTAGTAAAACGTGCCAGCCGTCGCCACGCCCGCCTCATCTGCCATCCCAGCTCGCCCCTAACGTTTCGTTTCGCTTCGTTTCCTTTTCTTTCCCAAGGTAAGTCGATGCGCCGTCTCGTAGCCACCTAACCCTAACACAGCCCATGCCCCGAGCAAGAACAACCGTAGAAGCCCGCAGCAGCAGAAACTAAACGCAAGTGCGAGATGGGACGACGCCCGCTGCAGGACATCCCAGCCTTAACCGCCCCGCCCTGAACGTGGGCGCGCGCGCGCGCGCGACTTAGCACTGTGGAATCGTGCTGCTGCTAACGGGCGCGCCGCCATATGATGCTGCTCCTGGTTCCTGGATAGAAATCTCCATCATCCCTCCCATCCCGTCCTGTAGAAAAGCCCGAAGCCTCATCGTCGTGCAACCGACAAAGAAAGTCTCGGGGTACGGTAGGGCGCAGCAGGCGATGGATGGACAGATCCAATGAAATACATCCACACTTCAACATCTGTACTCCCCTCTTCTGTCTTTGCTTTTGCTCTCAACGTCTGTATCCTGCTCTACCTATCCATCTATCTATCGATTGTTTTTGTTTATACGGGCCTCCTGTATTTCTTACCTATGCATACGGTACTACTGTAGGTACCTATTTACAGATATCTACCTACCACCGCCACCCATCTTCCTCATCCATTCAATTCATCATCCCCCTCTATACGCTGCCTCGCCGCCGATCCCCTCCTAAAAGCATCGGGCACGCCGTGTGAATTATTCGCCCCAGCCCTACCTGTTTAGTATTAGACCTAGATGTATAAGCCACAGCTAATTTACCTCCTTTTAATTCCTTTCTTAATAATAAAAAAACTTGGTAAATTTTGGTCTATATTATAAGGTAAGTAGAGGAAAATATAAGGTAGGTAGATTACAAGGGCCACATGCGTCCTGCTCGTGGCACACACGGCGTGGCGATCCTTAGCTTATGGAGTATAGAGTGCTGGTTGGATACCGGGATGTTGGGTCGCAAGTCGGAACATGCGCGCTTTGGCTTGTGATGTGTGGTTGAGGCGTGTATGGTATGTATGTATATGGTTTCTTTTTTTGCTTTCTGTTCTGTTCTGTTCCTTTCTTTTTGCGAGCAGGTGTTGAATGATACTGCTGTGTGAGTTGACGGAGTTGAGGGATGGATGATAAGGTAGGTGGGTGGACTGGCTGGTTGATGTGGATGGATGGATGTAGGTAGGTAAGGTAAGGTAAGGTAAGGTAAGGTGGGTAGGGTATACTATAGGTGGTACCTTCGGTAGATGGATGTACTTGAGGTCAGTACTTTAGGTATGTATGTGTGTATGTAGGTATCTAACACACGCACACCGCATACCTACACATACACATACATAGGTAGGTACATAAGCTACACATACACACATATATAACCAATACTCTCCTAACCTAACCTAACCCTATCATCTCTTACCTAGGTACTCTACCTACTCTACCTACTCTACCTACCTAGGTACTCTACTCCCTCTCCACCTCAATCTTCAACCCCTCACCCCCCCCCCCCCCCCCCGCGGCAAAAAGGCCACACATCCATAACCAAGCATCCTACCATCCAAAAAGAAAATCTCTAAATTTCTATCCTTCTCCTTTTTGCTCTCTTGTTCCTCTCTGGTCTTCTCTCGTGCAAAAACATATAGGCGGCTAGTTAGCCATTACCCAAGGTACCTACCCAGGTACCTGTTAAGCAAGGGCTGGGCTACTACCTTGGGATATTGCACTACATAACTCAGAGCTTTCTTTTTACTCTTCTTCTTTACATCTCATATTACAGTTCCTGTCTTGTAGCTTGACAGCTGTAAAGGTATAAAAGACCTAAAGGCTGTTCTAGTCCTAGCACTTTTACTCTGCTGTTTCGCCGTACTCTACCTACCTATTGACACTCTTTCCCGTCATCGTTTATAAAAATAAGCTTCTGTCGTTAATGAAAGCCAACAACACACATCTTGGTGCTGCTTGCCCGCCGAGATCCGGATTTCGGTCCTGGAAGTCTTACTGCAGGACGGTTGTAGCTTGGCTAGCTTCGCTATAATCTAAATCTCAAGTCTCAAATACCTACCTACCTTACCTATCAAAGCCAGATATACGCATTCTTATCCAAAGATCGATAGAATAGGAGAATAGGTTCTTTGTTTTTCATCCTACCCATCCTCCCTTCGCTAGCCTTTCAAGTAGAGAGGTCTAAGTACCTAGTTGATAGATCTGGAACTGGGTGGTTGTGTATATTGTAGTTACCTACCTAGCTGGTGAGAATAGGAAAGGAAAAGTAAGGAGTGCCTCAGGTGAGGCAAGTGTAGGGATCTGATGATAGGGGCGGGAGTAAGGAGAGGAGGGCGCTAGCTTTTGCTATGCTATGAGACGAAATGAAATGGAATGGAACGATATGAAATGAAATGACATGTAAGATGTACTATACACCTTGACCCTCCCGACTTTTCCCTTCGCCATCCCTCGCCATCCAACTCCAGCTAACATAACGAGACAATACAACTCACACATGCTGCCACCCATTCTGGAACAGGACCTGCATCTCATTAACCAGACACTCCACCCCGCCCTCCTGCCTTCCATGCCTCACCTCGCGGCCCTCCCTAACCCACCTCTCAACCCTCCGCTTTACCACCCGCTCCTCGCTCCACCGCCTCGCCCAGCCCGCCCACCTCGCCCGCCGATTCGCCCACACCCCAACCCACGCCTGCATCTTCGTCGGCCAGGGCGTCCGCCCACCCTCGGTCCCCGCATTCACCACATCGTACGTCGTCTTGTTGTACGCGACCCTGACGTCCGGGTTCAGCCAGACGCCAGCCTCGGCCGCGCCGCGCCGCCGCGCATCCGCGTGGATGAGACAGCACTCGCTGGCCTCGACGTGGTGGCGCGCCAGCGCGTCGTCGACCCCGCGGAACCGGAGCCCCTCATAGAAGGGCGCCGCGTCCAAGACCACCATGCCGTTCCAGCAGCTGCGGACGGGGACGGCGCTGCCGGCGCGTATGGCGGAGAGGGAATCCGACGTAAAGAAGTAGGGCCAGGAGTCTGTGGCGGTCTTGTGGCCTAGGGAGTCACGCAGCGCGAAGGTGTCGTAGTAGGTGTTGGGGGACTTGGAGAAGTCGAGGGCGCAGGCCGCGGCGTAGTGGCCGTTGTTGGTGGAGAGGAGGGTGGTTACGTCTTCGGTCTGGATGGATCGTTAGTTTTGCTGTGTGTCCGAGGGACAAGAGATGTCTTTGAGGGTGCAAAGCATCTCTGGAGGAGGGGAGGGAGGAGTCTATCACGTGATACTCCACTTCCCAGTAAAGGGGGAGGAGAGGGAGGGAGATGTAGGACTCACAGTAAACACAACATCGTTAATCCACAACACCTTCTCAAACCTAATATTCGGCTGCAATTCCATGAGCGGCTCCATCGCACGATTCCTCTGCTCGCTCAAAAATGGAATCCGTCTCTTCTCCCACCCCTCTGGCCCCCTTCCCGTAAAGATCCAGCCCTGCCTCCTCCCCTCCGCTGGAATACTCTCCAGTTCTTCGACCTGCGCGGACGCATCTTGACCCAACACAATCCTATTCCCTACCCCTAGCTTCTCCAATTCGAACTTCAGCTCATTCAAAGCGTCTTTCGTGCCGTCCTGAGAGCCAGACTCGATAATCGAGACGAATATATTGTGGACTCCGAGATCTTGGACCAGGACGAGGAGGGCCGGCATCCAGTACAGCCGGAGCATGTACTCTGAATTCCGGAAGATGGCGGCAAGGAGGATTTTCTCGTCGCCTAGTGGAGCGAAATCCGAGAGAGAGACCCGGTGCGGTGTGGGGACGGAGTTTATGATGAGGAAGCTGTCGAGGAGGAGGAATGCAGCGAGGAAGAGGAGGACGGTACGGGGTTGGAGCAGGCGCCTGGGGGCGCGGGGACGGGGACGGGTACGTCGGGCATACATCCTGGGAACAGAGTGCGTGAAAGCAGGATATCTACTGCTTCCTTATGGGGAGAAAATGACTGAGTTTGAATCCTGGACGCGTACTTTGTCAGGAACAGCTGGGCCTAGCCATATCATACGAGGCTGACACGGGTACTACGTCCGTACAGTCAGTCCCGGCTTCCTCTGGCGTCGCTTCTTCTCTTCAGATGTTTGTGCCAAAGAGCACTTATGTATCAAGATATCAAGATCCGGATCTATCTGGGTAGAGGATTGGGGGTGACGTCGGGCCAAAAGCCCAGCATCTACAGCAACAGCATTGAAAGGAGTTAAGACTGGGTTTGCGACCCCGAGGTGATGAAAGCCTTTTGTCGGGAGCCGATTGGTTGACGGGCGAGATCATGTGACCATAACCAGCCTCGCCGAGCCTCGTATGTGTCGTATTGATTTGGAGTGGCTTGAGTTGAGATTATCCGTAAGCTGGACTGGAGGCTCTTTGAATACGGGGTCTGGAGTTGTCTTTGGGTTATTGCTCTTCACAACGTGCAACAGATGTCCCAGCCTCGTCACGACAGCCTTGACCAGACATGGTTCTGACCAGCGCTCCACCTGAGCTCTCCTCACAAATAATACGCATAAAGAGGGGTGCAGATAGGATGTTGATGAGTACCTTAGCCGTTCCCATCGGTAAGGTAATGTACCTTTACCCTAGCATAAGGTGTATATACGGTACCTTATGTACCCGTCCCGGGTGTAGTCCGGGTACAGGAGCCCGTGGCGTGATAAGACCTTAGGCTTAGCGGCTTTAGGCGTTAGGCACTACCTCGGCTAGAGAATTAATCAGCCGCGGGGCTCTTTACAGGGGTCAAAAGTTTCCCGACTCTCCCCTCTCTGCCCCTCTCTGCCCCCCTTTCTGCCCCCCTTTGAGCCTCCCTCCCCGAACAGAACTCCCCTCCTTTAGCACCGGTCCCGTTGCTATACTATACTATCCTATGCCACCAATGCCACCAATGCCACCAATGCCACCCTACCAATACCACACGACCAGTGCCATACAACGGGTACCATCACTGCCACTGCCATTGCACTTCCCGACCATGTACCGTCGAATACCGTCCCTTCGCCGGCCGCCTGCACGCTGGCGCAAACTCCACTTGCTCGCACATCATTCGCACACTGACAAATCCAAGAGATACCGAGTAAACAAATATAAATATATCCCCATCGTCAGATCCTAAGGTAGGAGAGCTCCCCTCTTTCATACCCCTCAACTCCAAGACTCCAAATAGTAGTCTCTCCCGCACTCTTACCTACCTACGCTTACCACCCCCCCCCACCCCCACTGCCCACATCTCTACCCACCTACGCTCCTCATCCACAGCTTCCTCAAACACCACCACCCAACATGGCCAGCGAAAGCAAGCTCTTCCAGCCCCTGCGTGTCGGCAGTTTCGAGGTCCAAAACCGCATTGTCCTCGCTCCTCTGACCCGCTTCCGCGCCGATGCCTCTCACGTTCCCCTCCCTTTCGTCTCCGACTACTACTCGCAGCGCGGTTCCTCTCCCAGCACTCTGCTGATCAGCGAAGGCACCTTCATCTCGCCGCAGGCCGGCAGCTACGCCCATGCCCCTGGCATCTACAGCCCGGCGCAGATTGCTCAGTGGAAGAAGATCACCGACGACGTCCATTCCAAGGGCTCGTTTATCTTCTGTCAGTTGTGGGGTCTGGGCAGAACGACGGACCCCGCTGTCCTGAAGGAGGAGCTGGGGGACAAGGCGAGGGTCCTGAGCGCGAGCAATATCCCCTTCGAGGGCGGTGCTACGCCGACTGCCATGACCGAGGAGGAGATCTGGGAGTTCATTGGATACTACAAGCAGGCGGCGAAGAACGCCATCGAGGCTGGCTTCGATGGAGTTGAGATCCACAGCGCCAATGGCTACTTGATCGACCAGTTCCTGCAGGATGTTAGCAACCAGAGGACCGATGCCTGGGGAGGCAGCGTCGAGAAGAGAGCGAGATTCGGTCTGGAGATTGCCAAGGCCATCGTCGAGGCGATCGGTGCCGATAAGGTGGGCATCCGCGTGAGTCCATTCTCCGACTTCCAGGGAATGAAGATGAAGGACCCCGTGCCCCAATTCAGCTACTATGCGGAAGAACTGAAGAAGCTGAAACTGGCATACTTCCACGTCGTTGAAGCGAGAGTCAGCGCAAACGCCGACGTCGAAGGTCCTGTAACCGAGAGTATCGACTTCCTGATCGATATCTGGGGAAAGACGAGCCCGGTCATCGTTGCTGGTGGCTTCGTCACGGAGACAGCTTACAAGGCAGTGGATGAGAAATACAAAGACAAGGACATCTTGATCGCCTTTGGGAGATACTTCATCGCGAACCCAGATCTGGTGTTCCGGATTAAGAACCGCATCCCATTCACGCCGTATAACCGGGACCTCTTCTACAACAAGACTGAGGAGAAGGGATACACGACCTGGGAGTTCAGCAAGGAGTGGGAGGCGCAGGCAAAGTTGTAGATGGGAGTCTAGATACCAGAGCATAGACCGGCGAGGCTTGGATGACTTTGATATAGATAGATTGCTGCTGCTATAGACCTGAAATACCATAGACGTTGAAACAAGACTGTTGCAAGTAGCAATGCCCACCTCGCAACGTTAAGACTCGAGGTAGTTTGGTTTTAACTCGCCGCAGAAGGTTAGTGATAGAAGAAAAGCATGTTGTGTGAGACGAGTTAGACGGAGCTGTATTCAGGTTCTTTTGGCGTAATTCCCTGATGCTTCATTTTGCGAGTCTACCCTTTCTGGACACTGCCAATTGACGGCTCCCACCTCCAACATTTGACGCTCTCAACACCAAGTTTCCAAGTCAAACCATCTTCCATCCTCTCTCCCAAAGACAAATCGTTCGAATCTAAGTGGAGATAGACCTACCTACTGTATCTACCTTACCTATAGGTACTATTGAGATAGAACTCTTACCAGGTGACCAATATACACGTGACAAATGACCCGTACATTTCCTGACCAAATGGTAGGTAGGTAAGGGAGAACTAGAGAGGCCCTGATAATAAAAAATGGTTAGACTTATCTATTTCAAGCGCTCTGAAAGTGATTTACTTTAATTGTTAAGTTAACCCATGGGTGAGGTAGGGTATAGGTAGGTACCTTAGGTAGAGGCCTCAGGCTCACTGTTAGTATCACCAGCGGTATGGCCGGGAATGTCATCAACCAATCGATCGTCAGAAAGCAACATCCCTACAACAACCGCGCTCCTAAACATCACGTCTTACTGTAGAAGGCAGTAAAGTATGGCGAGACTAACACGGCTCGCTGCCAAACGCCTTCTTGATAACAAAGATGCGGACGTCGAAGTGAAACAACGGAAGAGAAGCCACCCTGTCAATAATAAAGCTACGGGGCCTGTTGGAGCTGCGATTGAAGAACCAAAAAGCAAGGTATGGATCCAGTTTTTCCTCTTTCAAGTCTTCTTATTTGTTCTTATCTACAACTGAGATATTTTCGGATTGGCGGCATTGCGTTTTCGTTTTGAGAATCCACAGATGGTTGTCTTACAAGATGATAGGATCCCCTTCGGAGGTTACCCAATATCTGTTGTGATATTATTTTAGGTTATTTGACCCCCATTGAGCTCATTCGATGCGGACATGTGAGCCGATTTTGGAGAGAGTACTTGCAATTGTCAACGAACCTCTCTCGCATCCGTGCTCACTTTCCCTATGCTTGGGAAACAGAGAACTGGGACCCTGGAGCTCCAGTATATAATCGATTTAAGTCATTATGTTAGTCAGGAACTCCATCCGCCAAGTGCAGTGTATTGCAGTGTATACCTGTTGCTAATAGCCCCAAAGGTTGGGAAAATCGTGCACTGGAGCGCGGCGAACCCACTGCAGTCTGGAAATATCGCAACACAGACTACTTTCGAATCGCCGGAGACTTTGTAGTTTCGGCCTTCGAGAATGATGATTCGATCCAGTGGCAGCATTTTACGCATACTGAAGGTGGCCGAGCGGCCAGCAAAGCGAAGACACTGGATCTTCATCGTGACATCTGGGGCCACAATCGAGTTTCGCTGTTGAATGTGGAGCTCAACCCGGACGGGTTCGTGTTTTTGAGGGCCAAAGTAGGGCCTAGTATCTACGCAACTTCACGCGTAACGGAGGAGCCTGCGTTATTTTGGTAACGCCCTTGATTTGTTGGGAATCTTGATTGAAGTGCTAAGAGGTTCAGTGACGTTGTCTACTCATTAACAGATGATAAATGTGTCTGGTCTAAAAAGTCTCCCACAGACAGGACATACAAACCACTATTGCTCGGAAAGGATCGAATGTACTTTGCCTGCAAAACTTCGAGCGGGCAATATGAACTGCTTGCGGTTGAGTTTCGAACCGATCGCTTGCTGTACCGGGTCCCTGGCTACTCTGCGAGGAGTCACTGTTATGATAATCATCGATTGCGAATTCTCCATGGTGCCCTTCAGTTAATCCAACTTGGCGATGAGGAGTTCCTTATACAACATGGCACTAGATCCTTGTTTGGTAACCGCTTTGGCTTTGCTAGAGATTTTGCCATCATCAATGGCGCCACTGGCCACGTGGTCCAAACATTCAGCTACAATGGGAATTTTGAAGAATTCTATGCCGTAGCAAAGCCGAAATCTTCTACTTTTGCAATGGTGGCTTTGCAACCTCTGCGCGCCCTGGAAGACCTTGCAGTGTTGCCTTTTCAAACTTTCTCGCAGGAAACCGACAAATCCTTCTCGAGAACAGCGATTCAGATACTGAGTTTTTCGGACAAGACTACCAGCATTTATCAAGTCCTCATCCATCCTTTCACACTCAAAGCATTCTGTGTTTCTAAAAGCGAGGGTCCTCGCGTTATGACTGTCGTTCCCAACAATGACCCCAAAAGTCGCAGCTTGGTGGATAAAGGTATAGGGGAATTACTGGTCCCCTTGCAACCCATCACAATCGACGAATACTACTCCGTTGCTGCAATGCATCATCCGCTGACTCTACCTCCAACTAACTCAAACAAAAGGCGAAAACTCAAGGTGCCGAATTGTCATGTTCTAGGTATGGCATTGGTAGATGAGCGTCGCATGTTATATATGAACGTAGACGCAGAACACGACTATTGCCTGTACCTGTTTGATTTCACTCCTCGGATGGTGGGGAAGGATGGCCCGTCAGGACAACAGGCTTGAGATGAACTAGCTGACTGGGGGGCGTTATGGCATATACCTTTGTAGTAATTAACTATTAGAGTAAAAAGGAACAACATATGAGCCGAGGCTGAGAAACAAGCATTCAGGATTGATCATGAGCCCCGCGTAACAGCTTTTTTTTTTGCACGTATCTAGCTTACAGAAATCTCTTAGGATACGTGAAAGTCCCACTACTAAACAAAACAGACCTAGTATTCTTCTAAGCTTAGTTCTTTTAACTGCTTTGCCAGATACGACGACATCGAGGGAGCTTCAAGGGGAAGAGGGGACGGTCATAAGTGCCTCGCTTAAAAAAGGGGGTAAGTTGCTAAGGTTCTTTGGAATCGGAGGATCGGGGTAGGCAGGGTGATGACGAGGTATAGTTGAAGGATTCGAGTATTGATAGGATTGCATGTCTGAGAGGATCGGGACTTGTAGTTTCCTTGAAAAACGCGTTGAAGAAACTTAATATTCGAGCAATCGGGGGCACGCGCCATTCGTTGTTTGCGTACCTATCGATGAGGTGGTGAGTTTGAGTGTCTCTAATATAGAAGAAGTAGGTAATGACAAAGCAGTGGAATCTTACTCGTCAAGCTTGATTATGTTTATTTCGTTGTTGTCTGAGCAGGGCTGAATTCTCTGGAGATCGATACAAAGGCTGGTGGGTGAAGCGAGGCGACCTTCAAATTCACCATTTCACCTTCACGCCAACATAAACTTCGCAACTCCAGATCCTCAAACCCATCTTAACCTTTACAAAACACCATCATTCGTCCAAGAGACCAACATCAGCTGAAACACAGATTCAAGCGCAACCATGGATGGTGATGACACGATTATGTCCGATGCTATTGGTATGCTCCCCCTTTACCGTGTACGGATCAAGGCAGTTTCTGAACTCAAGGGGGAAAAACCAGCTGCGGATCCCACAGCAATTAAGATTCCAAGTGTCATTATTGGGTCTGCGACAAAAGCCAGCGCTATCCATGAGATATGGACTCCGATCCCACAGTTCATGGCTCAGCTTGAGAAACTTAACCCACATATAGAATTCTCGCCCTCTATCCACAAGGAGATCTGGATTAAGGCTGTCATGAACCGGGAGAAGCTTCTTTTGAGATGGCAATGGGCAGAGAGTAAGGAAGAAGCAAAGAGACTTCTTGAAGGGGTGGTTGATTCTGTGGGTTTCTTATTCGGTGGATTTGTTTATCCAAATGCTGACATTCGTTTTGCAAAGATCCTTTGCCAAGGTCAAATGATGGAGATGGAATCAAAATCAGGACATGAGCAGCAAGGCGGTAGCTCTCATGCCGTCTTGAACAAAGCCACAGAACAGTCCCTTCAGTTGTTTGGACAGACTTTCTTCGTGCAGCAAGAGCCGAAAGAACTAGAGATCCAGCGAGCTCTACAGAACATACACCTCACAGCTAAGAAGTCAAAGAAGAAGGGAAAAGGGCACACAAATAAGGAACAACCAATTCTCTCCAAGAAAGCACGAGGCAAGCAAAAGGAGCAACAACATCAACATGAGCTTGGCGACCCATCCACCCCAAACAAAGAACAGAAGGGAAATAACGCGCCTGATGAAGACCAGATCATGGAAGACGCATACCAAGTCATGGAGCAAGGATTGGACTATTCTACACTTGATATACCCTGCAGTACACATGTTATGGCTCATACTTTCAACTTCGCCCACCAGATCTGGATCGCGCCAATGTGGTTCATCAAAGAACTTCAAAGGCTCAATCCCGACGTACAGTTTAAGCCGGCGGACTATGAAAACCTTTGGAAGCACGCTGTCGAGTCAAAGGAAGGGTTTATACTGGAATGGGGATTTGCTAAGAACAAAGAGCAGGCCGTGCAGATGATGGATGAGGCTTATAATCTTGTGAGTTCTCCAACCCTTTTGATCAACAGACACGCGCAAATACCAATAATCTATACAATCAGATTGATTCAACACTCATCCTCTTCTTTGACGAAACTCCAGAAGAGACGCAGCAGCGGAGAGTAGCAGGGTTTCAACGTAGTCTCGGAAACAAAGAACTCAAGCTTCCAGGAGCTCTTATCTCCTCAGCTCACAAAGCCAAAACAACAAAAATCTGGATATCAGCAGAGACCTTCGCGCGGAAACTCGATAAGTTGAACCCTGAGCTCGAGCTCACTCGTGCACAATATAAAATTGCTTGGGGCTTGGCTATCAAAAACCATAACAAATGGCTCGTCAGACATAAGATCGGACGCAATAAAGACGAGATCCAGAAGATAATCAAAGACGCGTCTGACTCCGTAAGTCTTCACCCGGGATCCATAAAATGAGGGCTGGCTGACGAACTGAACTACTGCTAGATCCGCCAGCAATCTTTCATGACCAAAGCAGAATTGAAAGCTCAAGAGACAAACCGACTGAGGGACAAATTGACGGAATCGCTCGTTAATAATAAAGAAAATAAAGCCAGGGAAACAGCGGACCAACTCGCAAGATTGACAGGCGAGAAGGTGTCTGATATCCTCACAGATCTTGCCCTCCCAACCCAAGTAAGCTCCCCACCTTCTCTCTCCCTCCATCCTTCCTTCCATCTAACCCGAGCCACTTCCCAGAACAAAACCCCCAAACCAAAAGGATCTCGTCAAATGCCCTCCCACCCCGCTCCCCCCAAAACCACATCCTCATCCCGTCTCAACCCCGCCACGAAACCTTTCATCCCCACCCAGCCAGCCGCCATGAATCCCAAACCGCGCAAGGGAGCAACGCCATATAACCGCGAAGGCGCGATCGTCGGCGGTTCAGCCCCGGCTCTCAGCACGAGCAGCAAAGGACATAAAATGCTGGAGAAGATGGGGTGGACGGCAGGCTCGGGATTAGGTAGGGAGGGGCGAGAGATGGGGAGGTTGGATCCCGTGGAGGTGGTGGTGAAGACTAGTAGGATGGGGGTGGGGATGATGCAGAATGTGGGGGGAGATGCACCTTTGGTGGGCAATGGTTCTTGGGAGGATGCTGGGATTGGGGGAGTAGATGCTGGAGCTGGTTCTTGGGGGTGGAACGATGGGGTGAAAAGTGCTGATGGTGATGGCGGGGTTGGTTGGATGACGGCGGAGGAGTGGAAACAGTTGTGGAGTGGAGCTAATGGTCTTTGAATGAAGATGAGTTGGTAGGGGTAGGAAGGGAGGGAAGGGGGGAGGGTTTGTGATTCTGGATGAAAAGTCACTGAGATGGATTGTTTAACTGGGTACTCTCTCGAATGACGGGAACACGGACAGACGATAAGTGAAAAGCGTAGTATTGAGAACCCATCATGGAAGAGACAAGATACCGCATTAAAAGGGTCGTGTTCATTGTGACCATGAGAAACTAGGTAGGGTATATGCAACAGAACGCTATGATCAGGAGGACTCACTTCGAACCCCACTCACATATACTATAAACCATTCACGCCATTAACAGTCCCCGTCGTCGTAGACTCTAGTCTAGCCACCAGCTTCTTAACGCTCGTCCACTCTTCATTCCTCGCACTATCCTTCCCTCCAATATCAGGTCCGACTTCAAAGACCGTAAGCGCACCATCAAGGCCGCCAACGGCTAGCCGTTTGCCTTCCGATTGCTCCCATGCGACTCGGTTCAGGCTCTTCGACATCATGCTTCTCGCATCCTTACGACCGCTAGGTTGCACCTTCGCAATCGGCACTTCTGTGTCAACAGTGATATCCCACACTTCCAAACCTCCTGCTCCGTCTACGACTGAAAATACGCCAGGCTTGACGGGCGACCACGCTGCATCATAGACCACGTCTTCACGGGTAAGATCAAGGACTGGGGCAACAGCGGCGTTCTCCCCTGATAAGCTGCCAGTTGTTGATGTCGCGGCTGGAGCGCGCACTCTCCACAATTTAACGCTCCAGTCTAAAGACGTAGTCAGGACTAGGTCTCCAAGATCGACGGGCCCGCGGGCGGGGTGGAAATCCATCGACATAACGGGCGCTGCATGGCCGCGGTAGCTGACCCGTTGATCTACGCCTGCTTTTGAGCCGGCACGATCGTATCGGTGGCAAGGGAAGATGGTCCCTTCTTCGGAACCGACAAGGAAGAATGTTGGGTCGGTTTGGGGGAAGGCCATGCAGGTCGGGCAGAGGTCTTCGGTCTTTGATGGCGGAGGTGTTGTTAAGGTGAGTAGTTCTTGTGGCTGTGCGAGCATGTCCACGGTCCAGCCACAGAGTACACCATCGGTAGAGCATGAGATGATGTTGTTTGCATTCTGGGTCCCGATTATATCGACGGAGTAAACTGGATGGGTGTGCCCAGCTCCAGTTAAAGGCGTCTTTTGGACTGGCGCCGATTTGGCTCGGGTATCCCACAAGAAGACTTGGCCGCTATAGGCACCTCCAACAATCAGGTTCGGGTGGAAAGGAGAAAACTTAGCAGCCAGCACATCTGATGGTGCATGGAAAACAAACTCTGGTCTGTCATGAAGATGCATATTCCATACCTGGACGAGTCCATCAGGATCGTGAGGTGCTGAAGGATTCTTTGTGTATCCTGCAAGTACGAGCTCAGGAAACTTAGGTGAGAAGTCGATAGCACTTATCATCCTTTTCTTTGACCATCGTTCATCATAGAATTGGGCCACTTCTTTCACTCGTCGTGGCCCTTTGCTGCCTCGAGTATTTCCATACTCATCATCATCGTCCTCAATTCCGTTTTCACCGCTGAGGGCATAATCTGCTAATATATCGTATTCCTGATCCAACGCCCTTTCAATGACCTTGCTAGATCTCTCAACGAAGTCCATAAACTCTTCAGATGATGTTACGGCATTGAGCTCCTCAGCTGTCAGGGCCCTTGCCGGAAAGTTTGCCGCAGCCGTAGTCTGGGAATCGGATATCAAGGGACCATCCACGGCAGCATTTTGAGCCGCTTTGAGCTCTTCCTCAATCTCCTTCCTTATATTTTGTCGAAGCTCTTCTTCCCTATCCCGTTCCCTTCTGCTTAATCGCTTTCCAGATGTCGACGTTGCCTGGGCCTCCCCATCATCCGAGTCCGAATCCGAGAATGCCTGAGCCCCTGATGTCTGAGTGCCCCATTCTGCTGTTGTTTGTACGCCTTTGCTGTAAGAGAAGACCTCCTTTACCGGCGAGGGTTGAAATTCGTAGATCGTTGACAAGGGGGCAGTGGAGAGAATTTGTGTCGAGATTGAAAGAGGATGAGAATGCCGGTTTGTTTGAGTTGCAGACTCGGAGTTTTCATTGCTGAGTTCTCCAGCGCTCACAACACTGGTTGGCCGACTCCCTTTACCAGCGGGGGAGCCTGCGCCCCCAGGACCCGTTGAGCCTGGCCTACTTCCCTCCCCAACAAGGTTCTTTATCAAATCATCTAACTTCTGGCGGTCTTGGTCGGCTCGTCCTGGTGACGGAGATACAAGCTGTGGCTAGTTAGGACAATCCCCTGAAAGGAGAAGAATCATACATCACTTGAACTCCCTACGCTCGCCCTGTTTGCGGAGACTTCTCGAGTACGAAGTTCTCTCTGCCGTTTCAGCTCTGCAAGCTTGGCTTTCTTCGCCAGGATCTCATCTTTTCTTGCTTGCATGCTAGCCATGCTTGCCCATGTCGTTGTGTACTGAGGTATGGCTCGAGACTGTCCGTGATTTGGAGGTACTAGCGGCGCAATGTGTCTGTGGAATCTCTATCGTCGACTCGACTGGGATAGAAAGAGACGGCCGTACCAATCGTATGGAGTGAGAGTGACGGATTCAGACACACAGTTAGTTGTATTTGCGCGTCGTCCAAACACCGCGTACTGTAAATGTGATCACGTGAAGCTTAGTCGCGGTGGAAAATCCCGGAACTGACCTCGAGATTTCTTCTCCAACCTCCCAAGAGCTTCTCAATATCCACGACGACCCACGTCCGCTGCCATCCTTGCGATAGCATCTCAATTGATACCAATTGCTGTATCGCACTCCACCCGATCATCCTCCTTCCGTCGACTCCGTGTCAAGGTCGACCGCCAACTGTCCAATGGCTTCGACGGGGCTTAACGTACGTTCGGTTTGTTTGCGCAACGGAGCTGCACGTTTCTATTCAATTGCAAAGCTGCCAGAAATTCTGGAGTCTTTCTGAAGCTATTTAGTGGCTAACTTTGCCCTGCTGCAGGTCGCCCGCTACTCAGCGCTGGGTTTCGGCATCATCTACGGACTCTACCACCAAGCACAACTCTCATCCGCTGCGAAGCTAGCTGCGTTAGACAGAGAATATCAACACAAGCAAAGCTTGATTGAGAAGGCGAAGGCGGAATACTCAAAAAAGAGCCAGCAATCGAACCCAAAGACGGGGAGTGGTACGTTTGACCCGTGTCTTCCTCTACATACTGCCGATCACCTACATCGGACACCTTCATGACGGTCAATGGGATATGAGGCTTGAGTGAGGGCACAGGTTTGGCAGTGCTGACTGTCTTGAAATAGTTGTATCAGACCCTGAAGATTCGCAATTCGATTTGGAGGCATTCTTGAACTCGGTTGCCGCGGAAAGCAAGTAGAGGGAGGGCCCGGCTAGGAATGTGAAGATGAGGCAAGATAGAAGGCACCAATTGGTGGAGCATATTGTGGTGGGTGATCTGGCCTACAGCGCGATGCCATTGCGGTTCATACAAAAGCCTTTAGACGTCACTTAGCATGGTTCTTGTACATTGTACTATAGTCCAAATCGACAGTTGGAACAAGCAGATGATGACTTCTCAAGAGATGGTGAAAGACAGCAGCATATCACCGGGCAACGCGATTCTTCTGTCTGGGGAAGCTGTATTCCCAGTTACTGATATCTCAGAGCAGAGACTGCAGGACGCTCTTGGGAAGACCGGCTACAGATCTACATCATGACAAAGTGCCAATTTTTGATTTCTCAGCGCCTGGGAGAGAGCATGAATTCCTGGCAGATACTCGTACCTTATTACTTATCTTTCGGCCTTGCAGAGCACGTCAAATGTGCCTGAGGCCAGAAGGCTTCGGTCGCGGATTAAAGTAACCCCCGGTACCTCTTGGCACTTGACGCGGAAGCTCGAGCGAACAGACAGATATACCCCAATTCCCGCATCAACTTGTCTTCTTCAACGGTGACGATGACGGGCACGACTGCTGATTCCCTTTTCAAGGGGAGTACGGCGAGGAATACTAGGGGCCTGTTAAGAATCACAATTTTGTGTTTAGTTGCAGCCGCCGCCATCGCTAGTCGTCTGTTCTCAGTTATTCGTACGTATGCCTCTTCTCAACTCGAAACGCTCCAACGCTGTCTTCTCTGCGCCAGCATTGACAATTCTGCTAATGTCCAAAAACTGGTCACTTCTGGGTCTCTAAGTGTGCTTCTGCTGACTTGACAATTATAGGTTTCGAGAGTATCATCCACGAATGTCAGTTTAAACCCCCTCACACCACGGAAGCTCCTCTTAGTTCCGATGTTTCACTTCCACCTCAGATATGGAAGTTTCGCTGAACTGACAAATATACAGTCGACCCGTGGTTTAACTTCCGAGCAACAAAATACCTTGTCACACATGGATTTTACGATTTCTGGGATTGGTTTGATGATCGAACATGGCACCCGCTTGGTCGAGTTACGGGAGGAACTCTGTATCCAGGTCTTATGGTGACCAGCGGTGCCATATACCATGCACTTCGAGCACTGACGATTCCGGTTGATATCCGAAATATTTGTGTGTTGCTTGCGCCGGGCTTCTCTGGATTAACAGCGTTCGCGACATACCTTTTCACGAACGAGATGTCCACATCTCCTTCGGCTGGCCTTCTCGCCGCTATTTTCATGGGAATTGCGCCGGGTTATATTTCACGATCAGTTGCTGGCAGCTACGATAACGAGGCGATTGCTATTTTCCTTCTGGTGTTCACTTTCTTCCTCTGGATTAAGGCTCTCAAGAATGGCTCGGCTTTCTGGGGCGCTCTCTGCGCCTTGTCCTATGGCTACATGGTTTCTGCTTGGGGTGGATATGTCTTCATTACCAATTTAATCCCTCTGCACGTTTTTGTGTTGATTTTGATGGGACGCTTCGGCCCGAGATTATACGTCAGTTACTGCACGTGGTATGCTCTTGGGACGTTGGCAAGCATGCAGATTCCTTTCGTTGGTTTCTTACCAATTCGCAGTAGCGAACATATGTCTGCTCTGGGTAAGCTTGATCAAGGTCTTTGTGGCAGAATGTAGCTCATTTCTCTCTAGGCATTTTCGGACTTCTCCAACTAGTCGGCGCTGTCGAATTCGTTCGTTCGGCTGTTCCAAGCAAGCAGTTCAAGAGTTTGGCCATTGGATTTGGGCTTACTGTTTTCGCCATTGCTTTCGCTGGGCTTGTTCTACTCACCGTAACTGGTGTGATCGCTCCCTGGACTGGTCGATTCTACTCTCTATGGGATACCGGATACGCCAAGATTCATATTCCTATCATCGCCTCAGTGTCGGAACATCAGCCAACAGCCTGGCCGGCATTTTTCTTTGATCTCAACCTCCTCATCTGGCTTTTCCCAGCCGGAGTCTACCTCTGCTTCCTCAAGCTGAATGACGAGCAAGTCTTTGTTGTCGTCTATGCTATCCTTGCCAGTTACTTCTCTGGTGTCATGGTCCGATTGATGCTTACTCTCACTCCTATTGTTTGTGTTGCTGCAGCATTGGCAGCATCACAAATCTTGGACACATACCTTACCATTAAGTCTCCCGAAGAACCTGGAAATATTGCTCCTACCGACGCATCTAGCAGCAAAAAGGCTACTAAACAAGAGGTCAAACAAGAGGGCATACGCGCTATGCGCGAACCTTTTGTTGGTATCTACACCCATTTCTCCAAATACTCTGTGGTTGGCGCCTTGTCTGTGTACCTCTTAGTCTTTGTCCTTCACTGCACCTGGGTCACTTCTAATGCTTATTCATCCCCCTCTGTTGTTTTGGCAAGCAGAATGCCAGATGGAAGTCAGCACATCATTGATGATTACAGAGAGGCATATCAATGGCTGCGCCAGAACACCCCAGAAGATGCCAAAATCATGTCTTGGTGGGATTACGGTTACCAAATTGGCGGCATGGCTGATAGACCAACACTCGTCGATAACAACACATGGAACAATACCCACATTGCCACCGTTGGAAAGGCTATGAGCTCTAAGGAAGAGGTCAGCTATCCAATCATGCGTCAACATGAGGTGGACTATGTCCTCGTTGTCTTCGGTGGTCTCCTTGGTTATTCTGGAGATGATATCAACAAGTTTCTGTGGATGGTCCGAATTGCTGAGGGCATTTGGCCTGACGAGGTGAAGGAGCGCAACTTCTTCACCGATAGGGGAGAGTACAGAGTGGATGATGGAGCCACTCAAACTATGAAGGACAGCTTGATGTAAGAGGCATTATTTTATCACATGGAATCGTAACTAATAATTTCCAGGTACAAGATGTCATACTATAACTACAACTCGCTTTTCCCCCCTGGACAGGCTCAGGATAGAGTACGTGGTGTTAGAATGCCAGAAGTTGGACCTGTCCTCAACACAGTAGAGGAGGCTTTCACGAGTGAGAACTGGATTATCCGAATCTACAAGGTCAAGGACCTTGATAACGTCGGCAGAGACCACGCATCGGCAGCGTCATTTGAAAGAGGAAACAAGAAGAAGAAGACAACAAAGAGGAGAGGCCCAAAAGTTTTAAGGACTGAATAAAATGGGAAGTCACGGCCCTTGTATCATATTTCATAAAAGTGTCTAGTAGAATGTACCTTATTCATATACTTGGCTGGCCTCGAGTGAGCTGTTGATACACAAGTCTGATAAGGTCTTCTGTAATGATGTGTGTTTAACAAGTGAGTTTACGTCTGGTTCCTCGATAGATAGAAGGTGAATAATGAAAGGGAGCTGTTACCGAATATTCTGCGTGTACAGTTGTTAGGCTGTAGTGGTTTTGGTCGTTCCTGGATTTACTAAAGGAAAATTCACTTTCCTTCCCTACCTGACGTATCGTCTGTTCGATCTAGTTACAATTTCGACTCAACTGTCAACTCTCGACAACACTCCCTTCACACTACGTGCTACGTGCTACTACTGTTGCTCTTCCATCCACTACGTGCTACTACTTTTGCTCTTTCATCCATACTTCTTCCGAATACAACAACGAAGTTATCCGCCGCAGCTAGACAGCTGCTTCATCAGGAGAACGAATGCTCACACTGTAAGTTAATGCCAACCTGAAGTTCCATCTGAACTCTATCGGCCCATCAACTCTACCTTCGATCTAACGTATCTCCTTTAGCTACGGACCTTCCCGCAGGAGGAGGGACTGTAACTCTAATATGGAGACATTCATTCCGGCCGGCAGGCCATACATTACAAAGGTCAATGGTCGACTTGTCATGGCACGAGGGAAGAGCGACAAAACTATCAAGGCTATTGCCCTTGCTGGAACTAGAGAGGTGACCAAGCCTAGAGAGGCTGCCATTGACTTCTTGGGGGAGGCCTTCGGAGTCAGAAGTAGGGTTGTACACAGACGAGCCCAGTCACTGGAAAGACCAGTACTGAACCCCTTGATGATCACTGGCTTGCCATATACTCCCCAGCAGTACCTCACATACTCGACTCCTCTTTCTCAACATGTCTTCTCAATGACGCCGAGTTTCATACAAACGCCACAGATCCAGCAACCAATCCAACAACCAGCCCAATATACGGCGGCACAACCCCAGCCAACCAGAGTGGATTTTGATCAGCTCAGGCTTATTGATGCTCACTATAAATCGATAAGTGGTGATAACGCCCCCAAGGAATCCTCAACCACCGTGAACAATAACCGCAAGGACGAAGGATTGAGTTCGAAGACCACGGTCCCAATCACAAAACATATCTGTGCAAACTGCAGAGAATTACGATCCAAGAGATATCATGCTGAACATCCTATCAAACCAGGAGATACCCCAACTCCAGAATTCTGTGCGAAATGTAGGAGAGACGCTAGCTCAACAGGCAGCTCGAGCAGCTCGAGCAGTGGAGGTCGAGGCAAGCATAGGAGCAAGAACAAGAAGAAGGCAAATAGAAAGAAACATCACAAGGTAGGTTTGTTTGGCAGTACTTTCTTGACTTGCGTTGACGCCAGATTAGAAGTCGAGCAAAAGTTTGAGTGAGGATGAATCGTCAGAATCACAAACATCCAAGACGCAGCAAAAGGTTCGACCTAAAAAGGTAAGGCTGCACGCACTTGCGAACTATTAACTTAGTACTGATATTGTGATAGAAGAAGATAGAGGTTGAGCCAATACCGCAGGATGATATCATTGTGGAAGAGGAACATTCAGAAGAACGACGTCCTCTCCACAAGAACGTGAGGATTCCCTGATATCCCTAGGTTTGTGGTTTAAACTGATTGAGTAATAGAAGAACAAGAAGACCAAAAGTTACCTGGAAGAAGATACAATCATCGTCGAGGAAGAACATTCTGAAGAAGAGAGTGCACCCAGAGGAAGGACCCGTCTGCGAATAGACGAATCCGAAATCTCAAGACGACCTCTGTCGCCATTAGTTGGTCACTCTATCATTGGAAGATCTCGATCAAGAGGTCGACAGGAGCGTGACAGCATACCAGAGAGCATACGACATAGACAGGTGCCCAAAGGAACCCATGGATCTCCTCATTCCTTCTACCGATATGTATCGGCACCCGAGTCCCGTCTTTACCCCGAGGAGGTGAATAGGAGTTATGGCAGACCAAGTCCTGTCCAGCATATGGAAGAAGCTATTCATGAGCCTGCCCGATATTCACAGGGACCTAGAAGACACGAAGGAACAGCTCCCCGTTCAACGATGGCCAATAAAGAGAACAGCTTTGAATCAAGCTCATCTCGTTCCCAACGATCTGCGCAGCGTCGTCGCTATGAGCGCTTACACCCAAATGACGGCATTGTACCTCCTTGGGAAGCTCCACACCCCATCCACCAGCGATCCGGAGACAACACGAGTTTCGCCGCTGAGGAATATGCATACAGTCCGGGAATGCCGTCCAACGTTGAAGGAGGACGCCGAGAGGACGAACACAACGATGGAGTTGATTTGAGACCTCGACGCAGAACCGAGAGGTTTCCAGCTGAAGATTATGCTCATTATGAAGGCGTCTGGGCAGAGGATAATATTTTTCAAGCCATGGAGGAGCCTATTCAAAGAGGTCCCAGTCAACAACAAACTACTTACCGTTATGATCGGCCACGAGACTCGGAATTGGGAGATTTTGAGGCTGGCGCAGGATATGCCTGGTCCTGTATGTCTTTCCATCCCCTTTTCTTTGTTACACTCTAATATTCACTAGACATGTCACCTTCTGATCGCCTCCCACGCGTTCCCACGCCCCCATCAACCCTTCACGACATTTGGTCATCACCATACACTATCAGCATCGACGACGACGAAGCAGCCCGTAGAATGTCCGAAGTACGAAAAGGCAACGCCGTACAAAGAGATTTCCCACGTCAACCGAGACAAAACCGAAGTAGAAGCAGATCTAATAATCATCGATCACCGTTTGTCCGAGAAGCTACGGATGGCGGAACCGAAAAGGTCTATGCCCCTTCGATACACTCAATGGAATCAGATCCATTCTATTGCAATATCGATACACTTATTAATGGTCTGGATAAGATAGAGAATCTGGTGGAAGCTGAAGCGAAACACGTTTCATTCCGGAGTAAGGACTCGGTGGAGGAGGTTGCGGAGGCCTGGACTGAGAGTGAGGGCAGAATGGTGAGTGGGAGGGGACATTGGAATACCGGAGGATGGAACTAAGCATAAGACTACAGTAAGGAAGTTCAATACTGTGAGATCGCTCTATTCGGAAGAAAGAAGATGCGAGTTGAGGCAGTGCAATTGTAAGCTAAATTCAAGGGGAATACCTGTCATACTTGAGCAGGATAATAGTCCAACTCTCCTAGTTTAGTTACTGGGCAATGCGAGACTCTTGAATTTTAGAGTGTTTAGGCAGTACTTCATGGGACTCAGCCTCATGCACGAGGCATACGGACGAGCAGTCATAGAGACCTTTATAAGCACTGACTAGGACTACTAATCATCCTTCATCACTATCGTCCACTAACTGCACTCCTTGAGGGGTTCACTCGTGAGCTCGCCCGCCTTGAGCCCCTGAATCCAGCTCCTTAATTGGAAGCGTTCCCAATACAATTCTGCCACGCCTAATCTACGTATAGCCTCTTTTATTGGTACGTTATAGGCCGCTTCCGAATTGCCTCACTTCTGGTCCTAGCTGGGCAAGAGAAGAGTGGGCCGATAGCCCAATCAATATGCCACCGTACCAGACAAAATCTCACAGAATCCGCGCTGTGGGAATTGGCGATACATGACACGTGAAGAAGTTTGAATTGGAATGGCCTTCCCATTAGTGGATTGGTACCTGTTTTTTTGTTGATCTAGTCAATGCAGGCATGCCACATCTTACATAGAGCCATCCACTTACCACTCAAACATTACATAGGTATCGTAGAGTGAGTTATATCCAGGCCTCCCTCCACTGATCTAAATCAGAGTTTCAAGGGCTTTGATCCAACCACGACTATGCGACATGCTACTTGACACCAATAAACGCAATACCCTCCCTGGCCTCGCGCACCGCTTTTTTCAAAGCTTGCTCTTCGACATCCGTCCACTTCACACTCAGCTGATCCCATTTCTTAATCTTGTACTCGCGCTTGAATTGCGCCTGCATGGCTTGCAAGCGACTCATTTCGCGCGGGTCGCCCGAGCCAGAATAAATTATGAACGCGGTACAGGGCGGGAGCGCATCGTGGATTTGCTTTAGTCGACGTACGAGGGATGTCGTTGCCTCGCTGATGGTCGTGTCTGGGGAGAGGGAAGAGAGGACAGGCGGTGGGAGAGTGTTGGTGGATGAGACGTGGAGAGGGTTGCTGGTTGCGGGATCAGTAGCGGTAATATCTTCGGGAATTGCAACGACAGGAAGTGTTGCTTCTAAGGCAGTGGCGGTGGCTTCGATTGCATCGCCGCCCTGTACCTCAGATGCTGTCGCGTCCCCTGTCTCCGTCTTAGGATCAGCTTTCTCATCCTTCGCAGCCTCTTCAGCAGCCATCAGCTTGTTGTTATTCCACCAGCCCTTCAACGCTTCTAACTCCCTCAATCTGCCAAATACAAAATCGACACCACCTCCAGGAATCTCCTTTCCATCAGGATCACCCTTCGTAGCGCGGATAACACCCTCCATCACTTCCTCGTCACTTTTACATCCAATGGAGAATGTGGCGGCCGCTCCGGCTCCTTTCTTTGGATCACCCCAGTCCACAGCTGCGCTCGACTTCCCATTCAAAGGACTGGGTATTGCCGAACCTCCTTGGTTCTTGTATTTCACCCCGGTTCTGGCAATACGCTTGAAGAAATTCTCTCCTTGCGCATCACTAGTTCCCCAGTCTTTCCCTTTCTCGCATTTCTGCTTCACAAGATCAAGACAAGTTCGAGCATCTTCAATGGAATCATGACCGGCTCCTGGACCGCTCGTACCGTGTCCTTTTTGGATTTCACGGTTCAGGTAACGCTGTGCAAGCCATTTCAATGATGATTTGAGGGGCGGGCCACGAGGGTGAGGGAAGATGATGGCTGTATCGATGATGTAGGGGTGGGTGAGTTTTAGGGCGGTGAGATCGGAGTTTAAGGAGTGACCAATTAGGATGGTACGGGGATGGAGAATTTCTAACAGCTTTTTCTGGATATCTGCCAATGTTGTAGTGACTTCCGCAAGCATTGTTTCTGTGATACCAGAATACCTAAGGGATGATCAGCTAAGCCCCAAGACAAGATATGAACACTTACATGGTCAGATAATCAATGATGGGATTGTCTGGCTTGACTAGCTCATCAAGGACGACTGTACCATCCCAGCTAACAAGACTAATGCGCGTGAGAGAAAATTCGTTGTCTCCTGTTTTGCACATCTCGCAATCCATGGCTAGAATATCTCTCCCAGCAGTTAAGCTACCACTCTCAATCTCACTTTCTGGCGGAGAGCCTTCATCGTAGTGCTTGACCAGTGTATCAACCCATCCATGGCTTTGTGAGACACCCGTTGAAAGTCTATGTTCCGCAAGGGCAGCCTTTTCGATATCAGTGTCGTATATAGCAGGGTGGAGTGTGTAGTCGTTCTCAAGTAATTCTTCCGCGGAATGAAGAAACTCAGTAATACGGGTCCGCGTGTTTTGCCAGCCCGCAGGTTCTCGGGCTTGCGACGCGCCCTTCTTGTTCTTTTTTGCATCCTTCTCTTCTTTAGATTTGGGCATTGGCGCTGTAAGCATTGCATGTAATGGGGAATGCATCCTTGCATACTTGTCGTCTCCTGGTGTCTTAACAGGCCACAGTTCTTCGAACATGTCTGCAAATGGCTTCATTCCAGCGGGCAACTTGTCTGATATGAGTTTGACAGGATAGTAATCATCTGGTGAAGAATAACCGCGATCTTTTCCTGAAGGCTTATTTTTGTTTGGGGTGGCCTCCGTATCTCCCAGCTTCCCCTCAACATCACCATCAGCCGCCACCATATCAAACATGGATTTCTCCAGACCCGGAACCATAAGAACGACGACCTTGCGAAACTGATTTCGATGTCGCACAGAGACGAATTGTGGCGCTGAAGCATCTGCCAATATGTATAACACCAAGGTTTGTATATCACTGATCTTTATCTGCGATTGTAGTCTTGAACTGGTCGAGAATGTGATCGCTGGATAATTGTTTGAATCCTTGTGGGGTATCTTCTTGGGCTTCTTCGTTGGCCGTCCATTCTCTACGGTTTGCCATTCTTGGGATTTATTCTCCTCCTCATTCTTTGGCGAACCCGACCCATTATTGCTGGACGATCTTGCAGATGTCAGACTGAATTCTGGGAGATCTGGCTGGCGAAGCAGCTGTAGCGTATTGGCCATACCGAATTGATTGGGAGGGCTTTCATCTCGGTCCTTGCGCTTCCTTTTGTTCTTGCTGGCGTCGGATGGTCGATGCTGATGGTTATCAACCGCATCATGGTCGCCGGAAGCCATGATAATTGAGGTTGTGCACGCTCACAGGGGCACAGAATGGAGGTTGGCTGGTACTGTAGAACTTCTTGTAGGAAATCTTCAAACCGCGCCTCGTCGTTAGCGAGAAGTGGGGCCAACCCCAATATAGACAAGGCTGCTGACAAGGCTGATGAGGCTCCGTAGTCGAACAGTCGAACAGGAAGCTCAGGGCCCTTTTTGGTGCTTAAGCTCAACAGTGTTATCTATTCATGCTAGCCTCAGCTCCCAGGAGCCGTCTATTCATTATTTATAACCAAGATAAGTCGATTCTGGAGCAGAAATCCATCGGCACAGCCAGCCAGCAAACCCTGCCAAGGATAAGCGCGAGAAGTCGCGTCGACGCGTTAAACATCCGCCGACATCTTCCCCATCTAAATCCAGAAGTAGGTGCGCATGATTGGGGATCACACCTCAATAGGTCCTAGTTCAAGTGAAATCAAAGCCACTAGCATAGCTGGATTTTAACAATCTGTTTTGAAGCTCAAGTCAAAGGCTCGCCGCCCAGAGCCGCCGCATCTGACCGGCAACATGGAAAACGTTATATGTTCTTGTTCCAACTGCAAGTCGGAGTTGGGGTGTTTTAGAAACTCCTGGAATGGGATTGGAAACACCTATTACAGCCCCGTGTATCCTCCAGCGTCAGTCATCAATGGATTCGAGGCCACGAGCAACATCTACAAAGCGACAGACAAGACCCAAATAGAAGGATCGTAGGTGATCCGAATCTCAGACGATAATTGAAATTTAAAGGCTAATGTGGTCCTATCAGTTACTTGCAAGATATGGTCTGCAAAAATTGCAAAGTAGTATTGGGATTACGATGTGAAAGTGCTCCTGAAGGACATCTCTTAAAGAAGCGAGTCATCCCCTGACTCTCACATCAGACTCAGAATTCATTACTGACGTAAAATAGAAACCAGCTCATATTGAGATTGTCTGAGATGTCGGTGACATCGGAGCGGACTGGCGAGGAGGCAGTTATTTCAGTGCAGAAAAAGTTTTCACTGACCCATCCTGGTGCAAAGAAGCCCCCAGCGGTGCGAAGGGCAGCTACCGTGCAACCAAGCCCTCGAGCTCAAACTCCTAGCTCTCTTGGCCAGGGACATATCGCCAAGGGTGCCATGTTACCTCCCCCAGTGGACGATAAGCTTCAACGAGAATTGGAGAAGTTCAAAGTATGGGCAACGGACGCTATCAAAGGTCAACAAAACGACATCGATCGGTTTGGTGGAGCCATTGACCGTATTGAGAGAGAGCTGAAGTCTTTCAAAGATTTCATGCAAGAAGTTCGTACCGAGCTTGCAGCTCATAGTCAATCGCAAGCGAGTCTAAAAGAGGAAGAGCTCCCAGTTCTTAAAGAAGAGTTTCATATGCTTCGGAATGAGCTTGCTGCCCATCGTCGATTCCAGGAGAGTTTAAAGGGGGAGGAACTTCCAGTTCTTCAAGAGGATCTGGATGCCCTTCGGACCGAGCTTGCTAAAACCCAGCAGTTGCAACATGAACTTAAACATGAAGATCTTGCAAGGGTTCGACAAAGCGTTAACGGGTTACGGCAGAACTTTGACTCGAGAGAGGAAAACATAAAATTGGCAGAAAAAGCTACCCGGTTAGCACAGGATAAACTGGAAACATTCACAGATGATGTCCGAAAAGCCAACAGCGCAGCCAACGAGGTCAATATATTGAGAGGAGAATTTGAACACCTGAGAGCACGGCTCTCGTCAATGGAAAACGCGGCACAGGAGGCCCTGGTTTTTCGAGAAGCCAACAGCAGAGCCAACGAAGTTGATGTATTGAAAGCAGAATTTGAACACCTGAAAGAGCGGTTCTCGTCCATGGAAAAGGCAGCACAGGAGGCTCTAGTTTCGCAAGCAGCCAAAGCCCCTGAGACAAGATCCGCCACCCGCCGTCATCCTTCAGATCAAGGGAATGTGGAGTTCCTAGGGAGTCAAGGCAAAGATTCTGGTTATGGAAACTCTCAGCCGTCAATAAGTAGACATCTCGTTCGACAGCCGTCGTATGAAGGAGAAGTGGAAGAACCATCTCTACCGAAGCGCAGGCATTCTCGACTGATGGACAATGACGAGGAGTCTCGTGAACGCCCTATCAAGAGGCCAAGGCACTCGACCAGACTAAAGCTTGCAAAAGATCATTCGGCGAATGGCACCACAGAGCCGTCACAAATCCAGCCCGAAACGCCACAATCTCCCATAATCATATCTTCGAATCACGGCACACCCTCACCTATTCTCAGCCATCACGACGTTCAGTATGAAGATGAGGCATCAAATTACCAGGATGGGGATGAAAACAGCAACCAGAATGATGATATGCAGTCTACTCCTAAGCAGCGACCTACTAATTCAGAGAATCTAGAAAGGAGAAAACCTGTTGCACATCCTAGAAGAGCATCTGGTTCAACCACCTCTTCTGCTAGCCAGCTTAAAGAAACTGCAGAGTCAACGCGAATAGACTCAACCTCTAAACTTTCCGCGGCAAAGAGGCTTCGACGACCAACCGCTAAGCCTGGCACACCCTCTTTGCCCAATATCTCTTCCGAGAACAAACCCCTTCCATCCACACCCATGGTTATAATTCGCAGCGTTATTGACCATTCAGTCCAAGATAAGCCTGCTTCAGACCCTGTACACAAGAACTCCAAGCCAAGCAGCGGCGTCGTCTCCACCCCAGCAGATAAAATAGAAGGAGGCTCATTTCAACAGGAGCTGAAAGGCTCAGCGCCCGTGAGCAAAGATCCCAAGATCCACTCGAGCACTCAATTATATCAAGCGAAAAGGACAGCGTCAGATAAGGAGAACAAGACGCCTGCGCGAGCCAGACAGTATACTCCTGATGAACTCAACACGACAGATGACGCTCTAATGAGTTCTACCCGGAAGCGTACATCAGATGGTGCGATAATCATGAAGCGTAGGATCTCCAGTAACGTCTTGATAAACTCAGCAGGTAAGATTGATAACCATTCTTATTGATCCGGGGGTCTCGCGCGCGAAAGATGTCGAGCAACTCGTCCCAGCGGACGACGAGACCGGTAATCTTTCAGCCCAATCCAGAGACCACCCAAGCGTATCCCACAACGCCCCCAGCCCTCCATATTTACAATGATCATCCCCCGCTCCATAAACAAATGAGCCCGCCCGCTAAGCCTAACTTCTAGCACCTGACACCCCGCTGCCCTCTATCGAAACCGACAGCCCATTGCAAACCGCCTTCCCACCGCTCTCCACACCCGCGACTGTGCCCACGAATGTGCTCGTGCCATCTACAGAAACCTCGAAGCAACGACCATCCGAGCAGGCGCGGACTTTCGGCTGCGATATCTGTGGGAAGTACTATAAATCCGCTGGGGACGTGAAGAGGGTAAGTGAACTCTTTCTTGCAATGCTTGCGTATATGTAAGTTTGATGGCTAAGGTTGTGTTTTTCTTGTTTCTCTGTAGCATAAGACACTTTCGGCGAGTTGTAGAAAGGGAGAGGGGGACGGAGATGGAGATGGACAGGGAGGTTCGAAAGGGGGCAAGGACGAGGCGAGGACTGAGGTGAGGGATGAGACGACGAGGAGGAAGTTGAGAGATAGGGAACGCTTGGCGGCGGAGATATTGGCGAGGGAGGGCTGAGCGATCGGAATTGTATATCGCGAATGTGTAGCTGTATCTACCTGCAGTACAGGCTCGGATTGTAACACGGTGTTTCTTCGCCGTATGGTTGGGTTGGATATGGGAGCATGCCGTTTTCCCTTGCCCTATGACCCCTATTCATACCCCTTTCCCTTTTCCTTCTATTTTTCCCTTCATAACAAGCTTTCATTTCCGAACCCCATCCAACGCAGAACCCGCCAAGTCCCTCAAGCCCTCAAAGATCTTCCTCGCATATTCCTTCCCATCACGGCGCTGGGCTTCCTCACCCACCCCCAAAACCCACGCATTGAGCGCACTCCCCACGCCGCCCCTCGTCCTCTGCACCGCCTCCACATCCGCCAACGCCTCCCTCACCTCCCTCCCAAAGCTCGTCTCCTCCCCATGACTCTTCCTCACCAGCTCCCTCACACAAAGCAGCAAGACCTGGTTCGCGGATATGAAATCCACGTCTCCGAGCTCCGGAACGTTCTGGAGCAGCTTGGCGATCGTGTACAGCCGGATGACCCGCACCGGGTGATGCGGCTGCGGGTACGTGTACACGTCGCTGTGGAGGTACAGATAGAGGAGGATGCGCAGCGCTTGCGTGTAGGTGCTCTGGTCGGAGAGGTAATGGAGGTAGAGCTCGTGCAGGACTTGCGGGTAGGGCGGCTGAGCGACCTGCTGGGTTCGTTGCAGGGGCTCGCAGGTGCGGAGGGCGGTCTGGAGGAGTGAGAATTGCTGGGCTGAAGAAATTGATGGATTGCGGCTGCGGGTCAGCAGGTCTTGGACTTTGGGGAGGATATCTGGGACTTTAGTGGCGGAGGCGTCAGAACATCGCGCTTGTGCGAAATTTCGGATTTCTTCTTGACTTATGAAGAGATCGAGAGGGGGGTAGGGAATCGATTGCGATTTCAGGAATGTGTGATAGGGTCCATCATCTTGTTCGCACTTCTCGCAATGGCATGTGAAGAAATAGCGGTCCTTCAGCTCGTGCCGTCTCTCTTCTCGTGTTTGCGTGGTGTCGATATATGAGACGAAAACCTGATCTCCTTTCTTGATTGGATCCAGGGTTCGCAACGTCAGCTGTCTCCCATCGAAAATGATTGTGGCGTTTGGAGTACATGAGTGATTCGCCAGGGAAACCACAGGTTCAAAGCATAGACCGATAGGAGTGCTATCTGCCAGCGTTACGCGGAATGCGTTGGTTGCCATCTAGTAATATATAAGTATGTAGACGTCCGAGATCTGAAAGACACATGACTTACTCGACAGAGCATATTGATCGCTGTTTCCATGCAGGTCTGGGGACTTTTTGTCCACTCCACAGCAGCTTTTGCTTGAAGAACAATTTCATCCCATCGTTTCTGTTTCTGCAGCTCTGCTACATGTCCTTCAAGCCCTGCCCAACGCGGATCTGGCGATGTTCCAATCTCCTTACGGAGAAGCAACTGTATCAAGCCCCGTACAGCTGTGGGTGCAATCTGCGGCAGCTTTCTATAGATCTTGCATTCCTCCTTATGAATCGCTTTCCACGCCGCTGCCTGGCAGGCGATCGAACAGTACTGCACGACCTTGCATCCAGTACATCTCTTCAGACCATTTTCGGACTCGAAAAGACATTCGGAGCAGACCCGATCCAAAGCCGCATTCTCGACTACTATTAGGAAAGGCTTTGCAATTCTGATAATTACCTCGCCCGCCTCTAAATCACGGGTTGCAGCGAGCCCATTTCCCAACTCGGGATATTTGACAACCTTCGTATTGTTGATATTCATCTTCTCTTTCACTCCACTTGATTGTTGAGACCGGGAAGGGAAAGGCCCAGAATATTCAGAGAAATCGGAGAAAATTGGAAACACAGGAACAGCTTAAAGACATATCCTACTTCTGATATCATAGTAGGTGTGGATTTTGAGAAGAGACGCGGACAGAAGTATGTTCTTTAATGCTATGTACACCCTTATTCGATTCGATTCTGGCACACCAAAAGTTGCCAGTGATTGGTTCTTTGCCGAGTGAAGTCTGACGTCGCGACCCCAATATTCAACCTCCTCGATGCAGTCCCTCATACACCTTTGCTGGGAGCAGTCTTATGCTTGGGAAGGTTTCATAGTTGGGCTATGAAAACTATCTGTCTAAACAATTCGCACCTCCCTCGCCGATGAGTTTACAAGAAGGCTTCACCATTAACCTTAAGAAATCTAATTAATGCTTTTACAAAAATCTGCATTTCATACGTACAGGCACAAACTTTATATACTATACGACTCCACTAAAGCACCTATGCTACAGCAGTGGGCTTAACCCCCACCATATTCCAGCCCAGAAACGGCAAAGAAAAATTACTTTCTCTAATAGACACGCTTGAAAGGAGGAACGGCCGCACACTCGTTCTCATCAAGTGTGTTAGCAACCACTGATCTGTATGTCAGGTCAACCTTTCCATGTGGCTGCTTTTGGAATGAGAGGGTGTGCTTCATCCACTCCTTGTCGTCTCTCTCGGGGTAGTCCTCTCGGGCGTGTGCGCCACGAGATTCCTTTCTCGCGGCGGCGGCGGTGGCAGTTTGTGTACTACATTCCAACGGTTAGATATGCAGGCTCTCATTTACAAGACAGAGGAATACTTACGCGCAAGTCAATAAGTTTCTCAGTTCCAGGGTCTCAACCAAGTCGGAGTTCCAGATCATGCTTCGGTCCTTGATACCAATGTCCTTGAAAGTTTGGTCGACTTCGTTGATCTTTCTGACACCCTCGTCCAAACTCTCTTGTGTTCGGAACACGCTGACATCAGTCTGCATGGTCTTCTGCATAGCGAGACGGACCTCGTGGGTGCTCTTTGGTCCATCGGAAGTTCTGATTTGGTCCAGAACGCTGATGGACTCAGCTCCAGCATCGGCGCTGATCTCCTTGTGGGGCATTCCGGGCTCGAAGTTGTCGCGGACAGTGTGCGAGACAGCACGACCGAAGACAATCAAGTCAAGGAGGGAGTTGGCTCCCAGACGGTTGGCACCGTGGACTGACACGCAAGCGGCTTCACCGCAAGCGAACAGACCTGGGACAACCTTGTCCTTACCCTCGCTATCAACAGTGAGGACCTCACCAGTGTACTTAGTAGGAATACCACCCATGTTGTAGTGGACGGTAGGAAGGACAGGGATGGGTTGCTTTGTGACATCGACACCGGAGAAAATAGAAGCGGTCTCAGAGATACCTGGGAGACGCTCGTGGAGGATCTCGGGAGGCAAGTGGCTGAGTTGGAGGTAGATGTGATCCTTGTCAGGACCAACACCACGACCTTCTCTGATCTCCATGGTCATTGATCGAGAAACGACGTCACGACTGGCCAAATCCTTGGCAGTTGGTGCGTATCGCTCCATGAATCGCTCACCCTCGGAGTTGAGGAGGTATCCACCCTCACCACGAGCACCCTCAGTGATCAAGCAACCAGCTCCGTAGATACCAGTGGGGTGGAATTGGACGAATTCGAGATCTTGGTTAGGGAGACCGGCACGGGCAACCATGGCCATTCCGTCACCAGTGCAAGTGTGTGCAGATGTGCAACTGAAGTATGCACGTCCGTAACCACCGGTAGCCAAGACAGTGTTGTGTGCGCGGAATCGGTGCAGAGTACCATCCTCTTGGTTGTAGGCGATGACACCCTTGCACTCTCCATCCTCCATGATCAGGTCAAGCGCAAAGTACTCGATGAAGTAGTTTGTGTTGTGTCGCAGAGACTGGCCGTAAAGTGTGTGAAGAAGAGCGTGTCCGGTTCTGTCAGCAGCAGCGCAGCATCGGTAGGCCTGTCCACCCTTTCCGTACTTTTGCGATTGGCCACCGAAAGCACGTTGGTAACTACGAACGTTAGCATAGCCAATACAACTCCCTCGATTGCATCTTACATCTTGCCGTCTTCTGTTCTTGAGAATGGGCAACCGTAGTTTTCCAACTCGATAACAGATTGGGGTGCCTCTCTCGTCATGTAGTGGATAGCATCTTGGTCTCCGAGCCAATCTGAACCCTTGACAGTGTCGTACATGTGCCATCTCCAATCATCCTCGTGCATGTTTCCCAAAGCAGCATTGATACCTCCTTGTGCGGCAACAGTGTGACTTCGGGTTGGGAAGAGCTTAGATATACAGGCAGTGTTGAAACCAGCCTCGGCAAGACCGAAGGCAGCTCTCAGACCAGCACCACCAGCGCCGACAACGATCGCATCGTATTCATGGTCCTGCGATATTCATCAGCTCTGTGTCCCCATCCAAGCCGGATTGTCCGAGTTACATACGATGACGGGGTATTTGTTGCTAACAAATGGTGACGCTTCCTTTGCTCGGAGGGGCGCGTGTGTTATGATTCGGGCTAAGGGAGTCAGCCAGAAGTCCCTGATTGAGATTCAATTGAATGGGTGAAATACCTGCAGGTCTAGTTGAAGAGAAGGCTCTCGTCTGGCTCTTCAATGCCTTCGAAAACTGCACGAGAGCTGGTTAGCACTGTTTACCCGCATTTCACGCCGAGGTTTTCACGTGTATGATTGAGGAGGGGGGCTTCCACATACCGAAGGGCCAGCAGCAAACCGTCGCATGGCGAATGAAGACATACTGGGAAGGATTGCACCAGAATGGCAGAAGGAGGGAGAGGAGATTGGGGGATGTGAATTTGAAAGCAAGTCTGGATCGATAAACTGATGTCGACGATTCGAAATGCTACTGCGGTACGCTTCCGAGCGGCGAATGGACCAATCATGATGTCGCTCATATTTGCTTACGAACTTCCCTGTGCCGAGCAGGAGCCGAAGCTTCAGGTGCGCTTCCGGGAAATCGCGGTCATATTTTGGGGGCCTCAGGCAGCAATATTATTATATCCATCAATCAGCTGGGAGCGGGAAGAGCCGGTTGGATTGATAAAGGGCGTCAAGGCTATTATACAGCTACATCATATCCCCATCCCCCTTTGCCCGTACTACCTACTCTCACCCCCTTGCTCGGCTTCCAGATGCTTAGGAGAAAAGTAAGAAAAGAAGAAGTCTTCTCTAGATCCAAGGTTTCCAATTTACTTTTATACTGTTGCGAAAGACCTGCCCATCACTATAGCAAATTAGGCTCTTGAGTATGACTTTCCTGACATCCTCCCATCCGAAGAACATAAAGCCAGTGCTCCATTTCAAGAATATCCCATTGTCCAACCCCGTTTGCATCTGCTTCTACCGTTGTTGCTCTCTCCATAGTAAGTAAACCGCCCTACTACATCCTCGGTATTACAAGCCCCAAGAGCAAAGCCACGGTCTCATACTTCGACGCGAGCAACCCACAAACCACAAGACCCACTATCCCCATAAACCCAGCTCGGGACCCGTTGCAGATGAGTCTAATAGAGTGTATATACCAGACCGTCAGAAATGTAGCTATGGCCAAGTGGTCTGAGCATAGCGTAAGAGTAGCCATGAATGCGTAGCAGCAGGTGCCCAGTGCAAGTATGATCACCTTCACCCGTTTCAGGAAAGGGGTGAGAAGGATCGCAAGTCTCTGTTTATGCTCCTCTGTGAGGAATGGTTTCGGGGTATCCTGATCTCGTGGCGGAGCAGCAACGTATGGGAAATACACGGGTCCAGCGTCTAGCTCCACTGGCTCTTGCTGTGGCATTGGTTCTTGCTGTTGTCTTGGCTCGGGCTGTGGCTCTGGCTCTCGCTCCCAGGCATTCAGCTCTGAGGAATGCTTAAGCAAGAGTCTCGGCTGCCACAGTTTCCCATACCGCTCATCAATCTTGAATGGCCAGGGCTGCGGCCGGATGTCGAGGATTTTGCGATACGAAGCCTGATGTTGCTTCCTCATACGCTCGCTATACTCAGGGCCGAGCGAGTCGTCCGAGAAATAGTTCTCATCGCCAAGCTCGAGCTCTCTATTCTCGGTATCCGAGTCATCGCCGAAATGTTCCCTGTTGATTTCTCGGGCTTCGTCGTCGGGGAGGTAGCAGTGATTCGCTGCTAGGCGGAAGAGCTCATTCGATTGTACCATCTCTTGACCTTCAGAATGGCCCGGTGGTCTGGGACGAAGAAGTTCAAAATCTTTCATGACTTCAAGCTCCATTTCCGCAATTGCAAGATTGATTCGTAGCACTTTATCCATTGACAGCGTAACGTAGTCTGGATCCACAATGGCGATGTTCTGGTCTGAGGCAGTTTTCCATCCCTGTCGATCCATGACTCCGTTCGCAATATGGGTTGCCATGTTCCTGGATCTCGTTTTAATGTCGCCCTGTTCTTCCAGCAATAGTTCACCCTCGCAACGAGACACCTCTGTCAAGGTCCATGGAATACACAGAAGTACGTGCGTCAGGCGGGTATATTCAGTTTCGTAATAAGTCATCGATAGGCCAGGCGAAATTGTAAGAGTAAACATATGGGCCATATAACGCTGGATCTAAAGCGTGTCAGTAACTGAATCACAACCCTCAATTTGGGTTATATCTTACCTTCTGTTTCGATAGATTGTCCTCATCTAGTAACTCCAGTGGCTCCTGAAGTTGACTTTGCAAGTTCCTCAAAATTTCTGCTTGTGTGGGCATTGGTGATTCCGATACATGATTGATGAACATACTGGCTTCTTCAGCTGCAGCCTCTCGTGCGTCGCCTTTTACGTGGAACTCAATCATACGCAAGATCTCCTCTGGTAATATGCTGACTCTCTCATCGCTTCCATCTCCCCTTGGAACGATCCAACAATCTCTGAAGGCGTCCATAGTTCTGTACCAAAGACGATGGAATTTGTAACCACGCAAGAATGACTCAAGAGTTATAGGGACAGCCCATATCAGCTGAGCTGCTGTTCTTCCCTCGACTAGCCAGGGAGCTTCCTCGATAAAGCGCAAAATGTCTAGGTCCGTATTGGACATATTGACCGTAACAACTGGAAAGTACTAAGATGACTGAATGAAGGGATGGAGTTATATCTGAGGTTCAAGCCTTATTTAAAATCAAAACCAAAGATTGGGAAAGAGCTACGGAGAGAATCAAGCAGCTGACTACCAATATCTTCCTTCATCTTCGACATGTAGAAAAGTATTTAAATGCACTTGTTTCTTTGTAGAAAAGGATTCGAGCCAAAGCATTAAGGGGAATGTCAGCAATGCAGAATCTTTGATCATGTTGACGGAAACGGAACTCCGGAATCCACAAATTTGGCAGAGAGATAAAGTCAAGCAAGCCCATATGTCTAATTGTGGATCCGAAAACTTTAAGGCTCAAAAGAAGTGGTCGGCAACTTGGAATAAATATTCCCTCTGTCGAGAGAATAAGGGAATTGAAATGTGATACATCCAGACCATCGTCTTCCAAAACTCATGATCGAGTTTGCGAGGACCGAAAACAGGATTATCAAAGAAGACCAAAAAAAGAACCCTAGAAATAATCAATCAGCGAGAGCTGGGGTCCACCTTTGAAAAGGCAGGTATGAGATGGCTGCACTTCAAATCATAGGTCTATGTTCGACACTCTAAAAGCCTCTTTGTGTCTCTCAACAGCATACGCCACCTTCACAAGCAAGATTTCCAATCCGGCGACTACCGCCGTATAAAGAGGAATGTAATGTTATTCATACTCGTTCGTACCTCATCAGTCTATCATAACCCATGCCGTGCATTGCCTAACCCATAGGCAAGCATTCCCCATCAGGCGACCTCTATGAAGTTGTGGCCCGTTCGTCCCAATCCTACCCCTTCCTTTCCATTTTACCAGTTGCCAAAGAAATAAAAACTTCAATCCGTCTCCCATCCCTTGCCACCACTTAAAGTCTACTCAGCGAGGACCATCCTCAACATACTCAAAAAGCTATCTCGCAATTTCTCCACCTCAGCCACTTCTGGTTTCGTCGGTTCACCCGCTGTCCGTCGGAGACGATCTTGCCTTCTCGCTCTCCTCTTCCTCTCGGCCGCGATCGGATGCAAATCATCATCGCTATCGTTCTCATCATCCTCACTGCTATCCTTCTCATAATTCATATCCTGCAAATCCATCTGGTCTACCCCAAAATCGGTGCTTCTAAACTGCATCTGCCCCGGTAGCGCCTCCACGCCCATAGAGCCACCGCCTTCTGCAGCCATCTTCTGCCGGGTTTTATCTTGGTGCCATTTTTTGCGCGCCTCTTGCCAGGAAATCAAGGCGTCAATTTCCGATATGGCTTTATCTTTGTCTATCTGCCCGACCGATAAAGCGCCCTCAAACAGGGCGTTCATATCTAGTTTTCCGCCTTTGGGGCCTTTACGTAGGAACTCGAGGATCCCTTCTATCCAGGCCATGAGTTGGGTGAATAGCCCATTGTCATGCGTGTGGACCTCGTGGACAAATTTGTAGAAATTGTGTTCGTGGCGCTGGCACAAGTCGATAAAAGCTTGCACGGTCTGGTTGGGGTCGGCGGTGACATCTTGGTCACGGCATGTTTCGACTACCTGAATTTTGAAGTTAGTCCAGAAGCACGGCTGTTAATAGAAAGTAGTACGTACTTGAATCATATCGTCGACAAAGACGGAAAAGTCTGTGAGACTATTGTAGACGTTTGCCGATTTGTAGACGCGGACCAGTGGCTCGTAGAAGATGGTAAACAAGTCCTTCAACAGCTGGAGAGTGACAGGCTCCTCGATCATGCTAAGCATCATAGCCTTATCCCGTTGCCTTGTATACAGCTTCAAAAGCTGCTTCATGTATGAAAATAACTGGGCGCCTTGCTTCATTTCCTCATCCACATTATCCACAGCATTATTCCACGCAACATATGCATTGAAAATTTTGCCTATTTGCTGCGAGTTTAGTGGAGGTTCAATGAGCTCGGATCGAAGAATGACCACAATCAAATCCACATCATCAGTTGTTGACTCCTTTCTGATCTGATTTTTGATGTCTTCCGGACCATCGGTGAACTTCTTTAGTTTTTGGCAAAAGACAGGTTCTCCAATCTTTGCTACAAGGGCATCGATGGATCTCTGGAAGCTCCGGATGCCATCGTTCAAGGTCATAGAGAATATCCGTTGCATAAGCGATCTGGCACCAAATGGTTGGGCTAGGAATATATCTAAAATGCTGGACATAACAGCAGCAGGGTTGGCAATCCGAATTGCGTTCTTCATGATTGTATATGGAACCATCGAATGAATTTTCTTCGCCTGTGCAAAGAGCTCGGGCGAATTGTCCTCTGCCAGGAAAAGATGGTAAATGGTCGCAGCAACTTCGATACGAAGCCATTCGGCGAATTTCTGATACTGCACGCTGAGATCCTGAATCGTTGGCTTTTCCTTGATCTCCTTGAACAATTTAGTGAGGCCGTTAGTCTCAACGATATCACGCCGGAATCTGCAGATTGTCAGGGCTCGGATTTTTTGGTCTCAAGGAACGGACATACTCCTCCATGTAGACATCCAGCTCTGCAGCACGCTTCCTCGCGATTTCATAGAATCTCTTTTGTTCTTCAACTCTCTTTTCATCCATGGATTTTCGCCGTGAAATATCTTCCACATCTTCATCCTTGAGCGTGATTGGTTGCAAGGTCAAGAAATCTTGAATAGCTCTTGTATGTGCAATTTGGGTGTTGCTGAGAAGGCTGCGGAGGAAGGCTCGTAATGATATCCGCTGATTTTCACGCCATAACGTAACAGACTAGACGTGAATTAGCTTGGTATCTTCTCTCAGCTTTTTAAAGGGGTCGGACCTCTCCTTCAGATTTTTGAGCGGCAGGGAGACGTGGCTTTAGGCCATCCGTGGAGGATCGGGGTGAGATTCTCCCCACTGAACTAGCCGATATAGATCTGCGATGATCTTTGAAAGTTAGCATATATGTTAAAGGTTAGATCAATAAGTTCTCTTACCTCGAACGGACAAGTTCTTCATAGATGATTCAGCTCCCGCGGTGCCCATGGTCGAAACGGAAGACATAGATGATGCGTCATCATCATTGCCTCCCATTACCCCACTGATCAGATTCGAGGCCGTAGAGCTTTGCTTGTTCTTCTTTGGCATCGGAGGGAGGACCTTGCCTGCCAATTCCGTCCGTAAACGTTTGTGAAGTCTATTAAAATCCCCATATCGTCTCCCAACAAAGAACTCCAGCTCCCCCTTTCTCTTGACCCGTAAAACGAATTCCTAATTCAGCTATTAGCACATAGTCTCGCAAGTTATTAGATCAGTTAGACTTACAGCATGTTTGTGGTATCTAATGTTTCTCTTTACCATTGTAGTCCTGACGCCCGCCACGTTAACATCCCAACCATTCATGTAATGCCCCTCTGGTATCGTCGAAAGAACCCCCTGATCAATCGCCCCCGAATCCACAACCTCCATTTCCGAAAAGCGTATTCGTTCCTCATATCCAGAAGCCGTTGGGATCCCCGAAACCATCATCAACTCCACGAGTTTCTGGCATTTTAAAGACAATTTCTTGCGCTTCGTCTCCTCAAGTCTATCTTCCGAGGAAGAGATGTGTTTATTGGCAAAGGATTCGAGAAACTACAGAATAAGTTAAAAACTAGCCACTTTTGAAGTGACGCGTACGTACCACTTGCAGCTTGTCTTGCCAGAATTCCTTCTCCTTCGCCTTGTCCAAGAAAGGGAACTCTCGGATATGATGGACGAAGAGATACCGCAGGATTGGTAGGTCGGAATCGAGTGGGGAAACTTCACCGAAATCAGATTTAAAGGGAGCGCCGAATCTTCGCAATGCGGTTGGGGAGTTCAGCTCCGTAATCTCGTATTTGACTTGTTGGGAGATAAGCTCGCGCTTTAGGTCTGCGGATTGTCAGTCTTAACGGCTTAATATCAAATAGAGCTCTGAGATATACAGTGTTCTTGCTTCCCCGTGAGGATGCGACTATGTGAGTTCTCCGTGTCCGTTGGTTTGGGAGGCGCAACAGTGCTGCTTTCTGATATCTGCAAGCCATTTTCTGCCATGATTCCAGACAGCCTTGTTCGGAAGCGTGGCGTTCGTTGTATAACGCCTGGTGAACTGTCCCAAGAGTCGTTGGTGATATGTCCAGCAAAAGCCGCAGGAAATTTCACCAAGAAGCCAGATCGAGTTGAGGCTGGCAAATCCTACCTACACGAGCTTGAGCTTGCTCCGCCCACCTATTAGCGGGGTAATGCTTGACGACGTCCCCTGACCAACGGCAGCTGGAATCGAAAGAGATGCACGGAGTAGGAGACAGAGGGAGAGGAGGAGGAGGAGGAGGTAAGATAAGATCGTGGACCCTGAGTTGCAGGGCGCGGCAGGTAAGGCCGCACGACTCGACTGGTTTGGTGCAGTAAGGTAAATTTTGGGGTGGCCGTCGTGATAATCGTCATTGGCGCCTGCGTGCTCTTCCTTCTCTCACCGTATTCGTATTTCCCTCAAACGGCAGGCCCCCGCACAGCCACGCGGCCGCTAGTGCGCGCCACCCCCAAGCTCAGAAGTCAGGGCACTCCTCAGGTACCGCCACAGCACCGGAATATAAATATATCAAGGCATTTATAAATATAGAAGCGTCTATATGCCCGGGGAACTCGCGGTTCTTGTTCCTTTTTGAAGAGCAGTTTCATGGGATAAGAATACTGCTATAGAAGTCTACAAATACAAGCTCTTGAGTCTGTCATAAGCCATGGAGCAATGGCCAGTCAGGGGCAGTCACTACCTTAGGGAGCTTCTGGCCATTGGACAAGGCGGCTAGAAGTCCTCTCTGCTTCTCAGTTCGATTAGTATTCAATCTTCAATAGCTAATCTGAACAATGTATTCGTGTCTCCCTGGATATCCGGGTAACTGTAACCCATCACATTCATCGGGTCATCGTAAGGAAAGATTCATAGCTCATCCAACAGTCGTAATCTTGGGTCCTCATCCAATCCTTCCTGTTCCGTACCCCCATCCCGCATCTTCTTCAATGAATCCGCAGCATTCCTCTTCAAGCTCCAAGTCCCGTTGCGGATCTTCTCCAGCAGCTCAGGTGATGCTATCATAATGTCTGAGACATTCATCCCTTTCAGCGCGCCCGGCTCTTGGGTTCTCACAGGCGTATACTGAAAGATCGAGAACGCAATGAAGATCGCCGCGGCAATGGACATGACCACCCAAAGCACCCTAAATCTTTTCCGCGCCCTGTCCTGCCACTCCTCTTCCGCCTTTTCCCACCCCTCGACTCGTTCCCGCACCACGTCGACCCTAGCTGTTAGAGCCCTGATCCTCCCCCTACCCGCCTTAACGCGCTCTCCCAGGCCCTCAATCTGCTTCTGCTGACCCTCAAACTCTTGGAATCCAGCCAAAGAACCCTCGACCTCCTCCACTACCTTACTAGCTTCCACCTTAAACTCCTCATTCAGCGACCTCGTCATCTTCGCCAGCTCCTGCAGACTCGTAATCATGCCTTGCAGCACGCTTAGCTTCTCTAGCACTGAATAATATGTATTATCCAGCCTCCTCGTTGTGTTATTTGACAGCGTATTCAGGTCCATTAACGCATTGCGCAGCTCCCTATACGCATCCATCCTTAGCTCAAATTCGACAATGAAAAATGATGGGTGGGGATGACAAACGAAGATCTCAGAATTCCCCTCTCCTTCTCCTCCCTCACTTCAATTTCCTTGACATTCTTCCGCTCGGCCTTCCAGCTCAGCAGCATGCCTTCTAATTCTGGACTCGTGCCCAGAACGCTCGCTCGCCGGCTAGGGTTCTGGCTGTGTATGGGCGTTACGCCCTCGCTTTTTGACCCGTCCATCTCCGCACCCATGAGTGAGGCGCTAGACCGTGGGTTTGAATGCGCGGAGTGTGTGTCTTTCGCGTGATGCCGGTGGATATGGTGATGGTGGTGATGTGACCGGTGTAGCTTTGGGAACGAACTGGGTTCGGTTATGGAGGGGTTGGATTGGTTCTTGGAGCGAGGAGAGGGAGGTGACTTAGTAGAAGATGCCGGGGCATCTGACAGTTGGGATGACATTGTGTGAAGCGTCCTGGGAGGGTTGGTTGTTTGGTTATGATGATGTCGAAGTACCACTATCGTAGAAGCTTGTAGGGTGAGCCGAAGGACCAGATGTGCAACTATCACATGCTACCTTATCAAAGCACTCTGAACGAGCCCATGCAGTTTCCCATACAATTTCCTATACTGTTCAAAGCATTCGAGAATAGGTTTCTTTTCATATCCTAATTAAGCCTTTGACTCGGACCCTTGTCTTTGCGACGGATCTTTTGTCATCCCAACTGTGAGGTCCTTCAACCTTTCACTCGTAGCCTCGTCACGCACGTATACTCTGCCGCGAATCCCTCCTGCAAACCAATGGCAAGAACAATACCTTCCTCAGTTATCCTTTTCAGGGTAGATTGTGGAAATGCCTCCAAATTGTGAATGATTTTCGCCCACCCACCGAGCCACTCCTAACGCCGCTTTCCCAGTCACACGTCCGCTACGCATACTCCCACCACTACCCTCTCAAGACTTCAGCATCTTATTCCTCTTCTCCTTTCTCTTCAACCTCTCTACCCGCTTCCTATGCATCGTTTCCGCCAATTTCTCATATCTCGCCTTCTCCTCTTTCGCGGCCCGTTTCTCCTTGATAGCCTGTATCCTCCTCTGTTCAATCATCAGTCCCTGAACTACCAAACAGAATATTTCTGCATAGACAAGACGACGAACCTGTCTCTCAGCTTCCTTCTCTTCCTTCATTTCCTTCTCGCGAGCCTTTACCGCTTCCATGGCTTTCCTTTCTTCAAGTCGTTTTGCATAGCTGGAATTGCCTGCTTTAGGTCGGAATGCGGATTTGGGTTCGTGCCATTGCATTCCTGGTTATTATCGTTAGGATTGGATGTTGAAATTGAGAATATGGAGAATTTTCGAGGTTAGACTTGCCGTTCTTTCGCATGCCCAGCGGCTTGACAGCTGCGCTTTGGGATGCAATCTTGGGGGCTGCTACTTCCGTAGACATTCTTGGATGCCGATGCAAAATTTATTAGCGCCTGAGAAGATACAGAACGGATCTTGTGCTTTGTGCAGGTCGTGAAGGAGGGTAGCTTTTTGCTTATCGGCTGGAGCAAAAAAGTTGCGAATCGATAAAAGACTTTTGGCGGGGATTATGTCCGACGCTAGCCCAAGTAATAAACTATATCAAAAGGTGGCGTGAACGTATTAAATTCACCCAAATAAGACTGCAGCTCCCTTTTGATACATCGAAAATTGGAAATTCTGGATATTTCAACGCTGAAAGAAGGAGATATATTGGTGATCTGTTAATAGTGTACATATAATTAAGATATCGGAAGCCTCAGACCTCCCACCAAAAGCACAATGAAACTCCTCCTATCCTATCCTTGAAGCTCCTCCGTTTACCGTCCCAAACTTCAGACTACTTACGTTATTATCGACCATCATTTTACTTCTCATCAACAAATTTAGTATCGGTAGTCTTAGTGCTAGGCGGGGAATCGACTTCCTTGCCCTTAGTGTCCCAGTCATTCAAATATCCGACGCCTGCGCTCAAATATGTCGCAAAGCCCAGCCATCCAAGGTAAGGAACCATGGCCCAACCGGCGATAGGGTCAACTTTTCCCCAGATGTAAGTCAGGTAGCCGGCAACCCCGGTCAACGCAACAATATCGACAGTGGCTTCAATGGGACGCTTGGCGACGAAGAAGAGCGGCATCCAGAGGAGGTTCAACCTGGATGGTCTCGTGTTAGTATTTCATTGTTAGGACATCACAGGAGATGTGAACACATGATCCTTGTCCACGGCTTCCACGCAAATGATTTCGAGAATGGACATACCCCAGTTGGATAGTGTATAGAGTAGCGCCTTGTTTTGTCAAGAGATGCTGTTCGGTCGAGGACAGTGGGTGCATGCCGGTCGAATAGGCGCGATGGGCTGCATATCCCATCAGACCATAAAGAATGGTCCAGACTGGCCCAAAGGCCTGGGGTGGTGGGCGGAAGGGAGGCTGCTTAAGTGCCATATAGCTCTTCTGTGTATCCGTCGCTGCGTGGAAGTTAGCCGCTATAGGAAGACTCCCGTACAAGACCAAGGGTCCACTAGAGGAAGAAGCAGCCAAGCAGATACATACGCCGGGAGCTGAACCCAACTGCCGTGCCCACCGCAACGGGGAGCAGGATTGAAGCTGCAGGTTGGGCGAAGACTGCCGCTGGCAGCGTGAGAGCGGGTATGAAGGTTGTCATGGTTTCGGACTATAGGTTGGCGCTGTCAGTGAACGGATGGACCATAGAGAAGCTGTGTTTTAGAAGAGATAAAATCACTTCGATCCTCCTCCTAGGACAGGAGTTCGGGTTGAATACAGGATGGCTTTGTTGAAGTTGAATCCTGAGGGCCCCGCTCGATGACGTCGTTCACAGACGAGAGCTTCGAGAGCTTCGACCACTTCAAAGCTCGACAGGGGAGACAGAAACAAACAGCAGAGATGGGAAGGGGTGTCTCCTCACTTCTTGGCGTCTCAGGTTGGAGATTTGATGCTTGCAGAAGAGGGAGACGGAAACGGAGGGGCGAGAGCGAGAGGGAGGGGGAAGCTGAAGATGGAATATCGTATCGGATCGACAGTTTCCCCGGGGCCCGGGGTTCTTCGCTTCTTCTCCGCCGTCCCCAGATGAGCAACGCATATCGCTCGATTGGCCTGACTGGGTGGCTCAAATTACTCAGTGCTGACTCGGCATTCCAGCCAATCGGCATCCGCCCTCCTCGAAAGTCCAGCCCCGACTTTAGTAACGCCCGCCCCATAGAAGTCCGTCGCATCTCCTCTCATCATCTCCCAACTTCCGCCTGGAAAGGGAATGCTCTTCTGCCACAACGCGCCCATTCATCCACAATCTTGTTCGTCTTATCCTTCTTACAAGTACCCCCCCAGCCTTTTCAAGCACCTTCATACATACACCCTCAATTCCTTCTTCTCCTCTATCTATTTCAGCAATCAACAAGTTGTTCGTTCGTTAGCCGTTGATAGGCGCTGACTCCGCTTTCTACCTCCAACTCACTTTCCCTACTACCTTTGCTCTCCTCCCCCTCAAACTCGCGCTTAATTATACAAACCTCTTTTTGAATACTCCTCTGACGGCAATCATGTCACCAAACAGCAGTCTCTCCGTCGTTGTCACCACCTCTTGCCGACAATCAACAGGTGTCACTTGACAATCCCTGCCGGCTACCGCGAGCCTTCGTCGACCTCCTACAAAGCTTCTACATGTCCTACATCCCAGTCTAAACTACCAGAGTTTTGACGCCATACTCGCAGCTCTAATCTCTCCACGAATTTAACAACATGGACACATACGCTGGCTACAGAGAGCCGGCCGCTGCGCGATCGCCTCCCGAGAGGACAAACTGGGGTGGACGTGATGATACTTATAGGGACAGAGCTATTGATCGTTCAGATCGTACGGATACTTTTTACCGCGGCCGATCACCGGGTATGTTCACTTATTCTTCGTCTCTTGGTCTCACTCGACGACCTCGTCAGACCCTACTTGTGTAACATTTAGCGAGCGTTAGTGGTTTGTTCAAGGTCATCGACCCAGGCTCAAGGGCCCGGTGTAGTAAGGCTACGGCGCACTGGCTCGGCTCCTTCTTTAAGCTTTTATTATTTATCTGCTGGCCTAGATACTTACATGATTTTTCCGCAGGAGGGGATCGACGTCGGACTCGCGAGACTCGTGATCGCTCTCGATCACCCGTTGCCATTGACCGTTACGAGCCTGGAGGACGTGGTATAAGAGACGATTATGACAGAGCAAGAGAACGGGACCGTGAAACTCGTCGTAGAGCTTCTCCCGGCCCGGCCAACATCGATCGATATGTCCCGGGCCAAGATACGGGTAGCCCCGCCATCACAGTGAATCCTCTACAAGATCCCGCTCAGCTTCCGTTCCAAGTCGGCTTTTCATACTTCGGAGAGTGGTGGCGCACAAATGAGAAGATTAAAGAGGAGAAAGAGTTTGCGAGAACGGGCAAGCGTCAACCCATTCGACCCCGAGACAATCAAGAGGATCGTGAAAAGGAGAAGGCTAAGATACAAGTCGCATATGACGCGTATAAGGAAGAACTTCAGGCGAAGATGGCGCGATCCTTCGTTCAGGAGCACAAAGGCGAGCAGTGGTTCCAGGAGCGATATTTTCCGGAAATCAGAGACAAGCTACGCCAGCAACTGAACGAGTTCCGCAGAGGCAACTACAGTCAGTGGGAGCAAGATCTCGAGTCTGGAACTTTTGATGAATATACCTTAGAGGGTATCCCTAAAAGTGAAAGCAATGGCGCAGGTGGCGTGATTGAAAAGGAAGAGGGCGAAACAACTGCGACCAATGAAGTCCTTGGTGTTGGTGATTTGGTCCCATCGAGAGGCAGTGATATCAGGGATGAGAATGCCTTCCAGCCAACCCTCCTGATCAAAACTATTGCCCCTCACGTGAGCCGCCAGAACCTCGAAGCTTTCTGCAAGGAACATCTTGGTGAAGATGAGGGTGGTTTTAAATGGCTAAGTCTGAGTGATCCCAATCCCAGCAAACGCTATCACCGGATTGGCTGGGTGATGCTTCATCCTGCTCCAGAGACGGTCCCGACTGTCGATCGTCCTGAGCTCAAGGATGGAGATGCCGAGGTGTCGGCGACCCCCGCCGTTCCCATTTCAACTGCTGAGAAGGCCCTAGAGGCCATCAATGGCAAGACTGTTAAAGACGAGGTACGAGGTGACTTCACATGCCACGTTGGTGTTCATGTCCCTCCCAGCCTGCCACGGAAGAAGGCTCTCTGGGATCTGTTCTCTGCTCCCGAGCGCATTGCGAAGGATCTTGAATTGGCACAGCGCCTGGTTCAAAAGCTTGAAGAAGACTTTGGGTCAGATTTCAATGCCGTTCTGAAGATCGAGGAGAGGGTCGAGGATCTCAAGAATCAGGGTCGCCTCCTCCCCCCTGTCACAGCGCCTGTGGTCAAGAAGACGAAGAAATCCAATGATACTCTAGGTCTAGACGAAGCCATGGATGAGGGTGAGGAGGTCGAAGAAGAGGAAGAAGAAGAAGAAGGTGCACTCGATGAGGAAGTTGACGACGAGGATCTACTTGTCAAGAAGAAACAGCTAGATCTTATGGTTGAATATCTTCGGCGCGTTTTCAATTTCTGCTTCTTCTGTGTGTTTGAAAGCGATTCGATTCACGAGCTCACTCGAAAGTGCCCTGGAGGCCATCTACGACGACCACGCAGTACTCTCAGCACTGCTGGAAAGGCTGCTGCGAGGGCTAGTGCGTTGGGTGAGCCTTTCCCTGGCTTGAAGCGCAGTGAACAGACGGAAGATGTAGAAATGGCGGGCGGCTCTTCTTCGCCTGAAGCAGAAAGAAAAACTCCACGCACCAGTACAACTTCAAAAGCAGAGCAACAACTTCAACGTGCTTTCAATTGGGTCAAGACATTCGAGGAGAAGCTCATGCAGATCCTTGAGCCGGACAGTATTGATGTACGAAAGCTCGGTGGGAAACCAATCGATGAGGCTCTAAAGGAAGAACTGGTCAAGTATGTCAAGCAGGAGGATGAACATAAATTCAGATGCCGAGTTCCAGAGTGCCAGAAACTCTTCAAAGAAGAGCATTTCTGGAGAAAACATGTTGAGAAGCGTCACCCTGAGTGGCTAGAGGGTTTGAAGAAGGATGTAAGTTTGATCTACTGAGTATCGGGGAGCTGTATTAATTTGTTGCAGTTTGAGCTCGTTAATACCTACGTCATGGATCCGGCACACATTGCACCTTCGAGATCCGATGCTAATAGCAACGGTCATTTCCCTCCTGCCAATGGCCACATGCCTGCTGGTACTCCTCGGGGGTTCAACCTCCAAGCCTTTGGAGGCTTGAATAGCATGCCTGCTATGCCTGGCTTTGGCCCGCCTGGTGGCTTCCCCGCTTTCTTCGCCGGTCATGCTGTTCAAGCCCCACTAGGTTGGCCTGCCAGCCCTGACAATCGTAGTGGCGGCCCAATCAGGCGAGGCAGACAATACCAGAACACTGGGCGAACAGGTCCCTACGATCGGCGACCAAGAGATCAACGGTGGGGTACGGACTCTGGACGGTTGACTCCACCGGATGGGCATCGTGGCGGAATGGCGGGTGGTGGTAGATGGGGCGATGGAGCAGCTGGCGGTGCGGCAGTTGGGCCAAGGGAAGCGGTCCAGGGACGCAGTCTTAAATCTTATGAGGATCTGGATGCTGTTGCGGGAAGCGGCTCCGGCGAGCTGAACTATTGAAGGGGAATTTGACGTTGCGCGGGCACCACGGAGGATATATTGCTGGCTGCTATTGATGATTGCTTCATTGTCTATTTGGCTGCTCTCTGGCGTCCTTCTCGGGGTGTATGATAGGACTGCATCATGAATGAACACTTTACAGCAGCTTCAGGTATTGCAATAAGGTACCTGATTCTGGCGTGCTGATCAAGCAGCCACGTGACCCACTGCACCGTAAACAAACACGACCTCGGTTGACGTTCAGGGGCTCGAAAAGGCGGTGTGTTGCCCCTCGAGCACGCATGAAGGCGAAGGCCCCACCACACCATCCCAACCCACATCAACCTCTCAACTGCACATTATTGCTTCTTGTGTGTGCTGAGAAAGAGTTCATCCCATCTGCATTGCTCTTCTACACACATTCTCTCGCGCCGAACCATCAACCCCTAACATTGCTCGTTCAAGATGACTCGAGGCGAGGTAAATATCCCCCTTCCATTGCTACTGCGGGCCCGCCCGGGGCGCAGGTCCCCTAATTTCAGCGCGTTGCGAGAGAAGACGACGACAGGGGAGGACATCAATCAGACTTCATAGTAGACGCAGAAAAAAGACGAAGGAGATGCTAATGAAAGCGCAATAGATTCTCCATCTTCACATCGGCCAAGCTGGTACCCAACTCGGGAACAGCGCCTGGGAGCTGTACGTGTCCTCGCGATCTTCTCTTCCCGCACCCTCCCCCCCTAACTGACAACCCACAGCTACCTCCTTGAGCATGGCCTCAAGCACGATGGGCGTCCTGACCCTGACGCGAAAGCGCTCCATGATAGCGGAGAGCTCGATACCGTGTTTACTGAAACCGGCTCTGGCAAATATGTCCCCAGATCCATCTTTGTCGATTTGGACCCTAGTCCCATTGATGAGATCCGCACCGGTGATTACAGACAGCTCTTCCACCCCGAGTTGTTGATTAGTGGCAAGGAGGATGCGGCGAACAACTATGCGCGCGGCCATTACACTATTGGAAAGGAAATCCTGGATGGTACTTTGGACAAGATTAGACGTGTTTTGGTACGTTTTCGCTCCTTCTCCCTGCCTCTTAAAGATTCAGGCCATGATTGATGAGCATGAGCATGGACTGGGCTAATGGCTATGGTACCACTAGGACAACTGCTCTAGTCTTCAGGGATTTCTGATCTTCCACTCCTTCGGTGGTGGAACCGGTTCTGGTTTCGGCTCTCTGTTGCTTGAGCGATTGAGCACCGACTACGGCAAGAAATCAAAACTTGAATTCGCAGTCTACCCTGCTCCTCGCGTTTCCACTGCCGTTGTCGAACCCTACAACGCAGTCCTCTCTACACACAGCACCATTGAGAACTCTGACTGCACATTCCTCGTTGACAATGAAGCCGTCTACGACATCTGCCGTCGCAACCTTGACATCCCTCGTCCTTCCTTCGAACATCTCAACCGACTGATTGCTCAAGTCGTCAGCTCCATTACGAGCTCACTGAGATTTGATGGAGCGTTGAACGTCGACTTGAACGAGTTCCAGACCAACTTGGTTCCATACCCGCGCATCCACTACCCATTGATCAGTTATGCGCCAGTTATCAGCGCGGCAAAGAGTAGCCACGAGAGCTTCAAGACCCAGGATTTGACTCTCCAGTATGTACCCCTCATTCATTACCAGATTCCTCTTCCCTTAAAATTTACCCCCTCTATATCTGGTTACCTTAAACTTCTATAATTGCTCACCAACGGCCCACAGATGCTTCGAGCCCAACAACCAAATGGTTGTCTGCGACCCTCGCAACGGAAAATACATGGCCGTCGCCCTTCTCTACCGTGGTGATGTCGTCCCCCGCGACTGCAATGCCGCTGTTGCCTCCCTGAAAGCCAAGACCTCCTTCAACCTCGTTGAATGGTGCCCCACTGGTTTCAAGCTCGGCATCAACTACCAAAAGCCCGTATCGGTCCCCTCCACCTCGCCCAACGATGGCGCCCTCGCCTCCGTGGACCGCTCCGTGTCCATGCTGAGCAACACCACGGCCATCTCTGAGGCCTGGTCGCGACTCGACCACAAATTCGATCTGATGTACAGCAAGCGCGCCTTCGTGCACTGGTACGTCGGTGAGGGTATGGAGGAGGGCGAGTTCTCCGAGGCCCGTGAGGATCTCGCTGCCCTGGAGAAGGACTACGAGGAAGTCGCAGCCGACAGCTTTGAGCCGGATGAGGTGGAGGCCGAGTACTAATCCCCTCGTCTCTTTCTCATGTTTTCGTTTTTTTCGCCGAGGCCAGTAGTACAGTACATTCTTGATGCAAAGGGGAAACAAATTGGTTCAGCGGATTACAAATGCCTATTGTTTTTTTGTAAAGCGAGAGATATCCGGAGCGCTTTTTGAGGGAGGAGATTCAATCAAGAAAGGAAAGAAGGAAGAGCCCACTGATGGTCTTTCCTTACGAGCGTGCTACTTTCGATCAATGTTGACTGACGGATTACGGGTTATGAATGCTGGGGCAAATAAAGCAGCTAGTAGTGCAATCCAGAGATGTTGAGTTTTTTTGATCCTATGACCGGCCTCAGAATTTGATGTGGTGATGTGATGCAATAGTTGATATGGGTAGAAGATGCATGGAGATGCTTCGTGGTGGGGGCGGTTTGGACTACTTGCATTACTAGGGAGGTCGAAGGTAGGTAAGGAAGTCTGAATCGGTAGGAAAGTCTCAATCACTGGCAGAACCTCAATGACTCCGTGCAATATGCAAGAGAACTTCCCATACTCTAAACTCCTCTCAATTCTCACTTAGTATGAAAGAAGTGAGCACTAAAACATAGATAGAACCGAGATGATGTTGATTTCTAGATCCTACTAAGAAGAGGAGCTGGGTTACAGATTCCAGGATGACGATGAAGATGATGGGGAATTATTAGGCGCACGATGGAAAGAAAGATGAGGACGAGTTCATGACCTTGATGAGCATTGCTACACGATCTAATTTACAATCATGTGTGTCCATTCCACCCTTCCTTCCCCTCCTCCTGTTAAGATTATCTTGATAATGCAATGTCATCTATGTGGATGTTAGCTTCTGATTCTTTTTTTTTTCTTGGGATGTTTAAGAGAGAAGGATACGAACCTATACGCAAGATCATCTTCACTGTCTCAGCGGCCAACTCCACCGCACTCGTGCTCACCAGCAGGGGCTGGAGGACATTCTCATCCGCGATATCGACCTTGACACCGCCGCTCTTGATACTGACACCTGCGTTCTTCTCGCCGAACTCGTGCTTATGTCTCAATTCCGTGACGACCTTGATGGCGTTCAAGCCGGCATTCTCGGCCAGGGTCGTAGGGATGACTTCCATGGCGTCCGCAAACGCCTTCCAGCAGATAGCTTCCGTGCCTGTCAGGCCTCTTGATTGTTTGCTCAGCTGGGATGCGATCTCGATCTCGGGCGCTCCACCACCGGCAATCAGAGCCTTCTTCTTCACAAGGCAGCGGATGACACAGAGGGCATCGTGGAGGGAGCGCTCCGCCTCATCGAGGATGAGGGCGTTGGCGCCTCGGCAGACGATGGAGACCGTCTTGCCTGCGCTCTTGGTGCCAGTGACCTTCACAACCCTGCTACCTGAACTCTGGGACTCTTCAATAAGGTCTGCGCTTCCGAGCTTGTCCTCTGTGAAGGAATCGATATCCGCAATTGGTTTGCAGCCGGTCGATTTGCAGATGAATTCGACCTCGTCTCTTTCGATGTCTTTGACGCATAGAATGTTGAGTTTGGCGAGGAAGTGTAGGGAAAGGTCGTTGACTGCATCGCGGAGGATGGACTTTTGGATGAACAAAACATTACATTTTGCTTTCTTGATTTTCTTCACCATGTTTAAGAGGTAGGTTCGTTCTTCTTTGAGGATCTTGTCCATTTGACGGTAATCATTCACCACAATTTGGTTTTCCATCTACAAGCTGTTAGTGGAATCATAACAAGTGAGGAAGAGACGTACGTCTGGCTTGGGAGGCGAGAGTTGGAATTGGATGAGTCCTATTCTGGCCTTCTCCATTCTAACTGGGCCGCCACCGCTCTTAACAACCCCCTGTGACAACACCAGACCCTCTACCATCTCACTATCTTCAATGGTGCCTCCGACTTTCTTTAATATTCTGATGTTCTTCAGGTCCACGTTTTCTGCGGTCTTGATGTCGATTGTCTTTGTGACAGCATTGACTGCCATAGGAGCAAGGAGATTTGAATGTTGTGAAACGATCTTAGAGGAAAGAGATGTAGTTGCGGCTTGGAGGAGAGTAGTTGTGTCGGTGAGGGAGACAGGTTGTGACATGTTATGGAGGACCTTGACAGCTGCTGCTGCTGCTCTCTGGAAGGACTCGGCAATGACTGAGGGATGTATCCCCTTTCCAAGTAGTCGATCTGCAGCCCCTAATAAACTTCCTGCAATCACTACAACTGAAGTAGTTCCATCTCCTGCCTCGACATCTTGTGCTGCTGATAGGTCGACGAGCATCTTAGCAGAGGGATGCATGACAGCCATACTCTTGAGCATAGTATTTCCATCGTTTGTAACTGCGCTCAAAGTTAGAGCGTCGTTGGAAGGCAATAGAACATGAAAACCTACTTATGGTCTCTCCCTTGCCCGTCTGTATCATCTTATCCATCCCACGAGGTCCCAAGGAAGTTCTGATGGCATCGGAAACAGCTAGATAGCATCAGCAGTGCTCTTGTTAAGCTGGTCCTGTAGGCCACAAATCCCAGCATTTTAAGAGATCTATGGCTCCGCTATATGATGTTGGGCATACCTCTTGCAGCAACAATATTCGCCGTTCTTACGGCCATCGGCTTCTCTTTATCCTGCATGGCTTTAGTTATTGAGATCGCTTCCAAGCTCCAGATATCGTACCTTGAAGGCAGCATTGCCAGAATTTCCGGCAGGTTGCGCGACAGCCATGCTGACGTTGTATAATATGATCTAGACGAAAGGAATGTAGTTACGTCGTTGATCTCTGAAATAGGGGAATCGTCGCGCTCACCACCTCATGAACCGCGTCCAGATGATTTTTTGGCAAGGCGATTTTGAATATGGGGCTAGCCTCTTTCGGTAGCTTGCCGAGAGCCTTCTATGGGAATTCGTCAGATAGCTTGCCTTCCACCCCATCAAGACAACAACACCGCGAACCTCACCTCCTGTACTTCAACACGATTCGGGGACTCTTGGATTTACACGGGCGATTCTTTATACTACGTTGATACTTAGAATACATCGATACTCGATAATATTTAACTTGTAGCCCTGGCGCATAAACATCAAGATGCCCTCTGCCACAGGTTCGAATCTCCCATTCAAGGAGCTCTGATCTTTCAGCTAACATCGTGATAGGTTCTAACTGGGAGAAGTACAAGAAGAATGAAAGCATACCCTGGTCCAGTATATAGATGAAAACTAACTTGGTGTTCAGTTCGCGGACGATGAGATTGAGGAGAAGAAGATCACGCCTCTTTCCGACGAGTTAGTGGTTCGATAGATTGGATATATCAGTTGCTGACTATCACCTCAAGGGATATCCAAGTTTTAAAGACCTATGGCGCAGCGCCATACGGAGCAGCCCTCAAGAAACTCGAGCAACAGATCAAAGAGAAGCAGACGAGCGTCAACGAGAAGATCGGAGTGAAGGAGTCAGATACCGGGTTAGCACCACCACATCTCTGGGATGTTGCCGCAGACCGACAGAGAATGGCCGAAGAGCAACCTTTACAGGTGGCAAGGTGTACGAAGATCATTCAGGATGAGAAGGATGCCGAGAAGAGCAAATATGTGATCAACGTCAAGCAAATAGCGAAGTTCGTGGTGAACCTCGGAGACCGTGTCAGTCCTACGGATATTGAGGAAGGAATGAGAGTTGGGTAAGGAAGTCTGGATACCGTATGGATATCAAGCTGACTCGTTACAGTGTCGACCGAAACAAGTATCAAATCCTACTTCCCCTACCACCGAAGATCGATGCAAGCGTTACGATGATGACAGTTGAGGAGAAGCCTGATGTCACATATGGTGATGTTGGAGGATGCAAGGAACAGGTGGAGAAGCTGCGGGAGGTGGTTGAGATGCCACTGTTATCACCTGAACGATTTGTCAACCTGGGTATCGATCCACCTAAGGGTGCCCTCCTCTACGGACCTCCAGGAACTGGAAAGACACTGTGTGCCCGAGCAGTAGCAAATCGAACAGATGCTACATTCATCAGAGTCATTGGAAGTGAGTTGGTACAAAAGTACGTTGGAGAGGGTGCAAGAATGGTTCGAGAACTGTTTGAGATGGCCCGGACGAAGAAGGCTTGCATTATCTTCTTTGATGAAATCGATGCTATTGGAGGCGCGCGTTTCGATGATGGTGCTGGAGGAGATAACGAGGTCCAAAGAACTATGCTGGAGTTAATCACTCAGTTGGATGGTTTTGATGCCCGAGGAAACATCAAAGTCATGTTTGCCACGAATAGACCTTCAACTCTCGACCCCGCTCTGATGAGACCCGGTCGTATCGACCGAAAGATCGAATTCTCTCTTCCGGATCTAGAGGGCCGAGCAAACATTCTCCGAATCCACGCAAAGAGTATGTCCGTTGAGCGTGACATTAGATGGGAACTTATCTCACGTCTCTGCCCCAACTCTACCGGTGCTGAGCTGAGAAGTGTTTGCACGGAAGCTGGCATGTTCGCCATCCGTGCGCGAAGAAAGGTTGCTACAGAGAAGGATTTCTTGAGTGCCGTTGACAAGGTGATCAAGGGGAACCTGAAGTTCAACTCCACAGCCACTTATATGCAGTACAACTAGATATCTGGGAAGACTGGCGGGTGTATACTAGCTGGCGTAGGTGTTTCAGGTAGCATTAATGGATATAGACGCGAGTTAGCCGTCTGTTCTTCATTACAATAGCAAAGTGAAGGGCAATAAATAGTGAAGACCGTGCCTCAAGGTCGGTGTTATAAGACATAGTCAAGGTTCTGAACCCGTATTTTATATATTATATTTTATATTTTATATTATGATACCAGATAAATGAACATAAATTTGCCTTTCTCAGCACGTAAGTCTACTCGTTGGAGGCGGGGGCCGTTCGATTGAACGGGACCTCGCTCGCTGTCATTGGTGGCCTGCACGTGTTGATAAAGGCAAGGTTTCGGAGAAGGCTGGGCTCGAGCCAAACCTCGCATTCAGTCTTCACAATGCGACTATCTACCTCAGAACTAAATGGAGCTCTCTAAGATGTTACCTATACCCGCAGAGCTCTGAATAACATCAGATCTGTCTCTCTACGCCTACGACTTTTGCACTCCGGCAGACATTAACGCCATGTTTACTCCCCAGAAGCGCAGTGGCGCTTTCACCTTCAACAGCGCTTCCAAGAAAGTACCGCTCAACGGTCTATTTAAGGATGGGATCTGGCATTGCAAGTTAATCGCATAGCTCATGGAACAAAATATTAATAGTTATTAGGCAATTGCAGCCCTAGACTTCCAGCCTCACACTTCCTGGTCAAAAAAGAAGGCCCAAATAAAGGCCGGGGCTTCTACACTTGTCAAGAACCAAAAGAAAACAGCTGCGGTTTCTTCCTATGGGATGACAAAGCGGTTGGAAGAGAAATGCGGGCGGTTATAAACAATACGCGGTCGGAGCCAGATCCGTCGGAGGCTCCAGCGGATGCTTCTGCAGATAAGGGAGCAAGCAATAAATCACAGGATCTTAGCAAGGAGGCTGGGGACGAGGAGGGGGATGAATTTGGTGATTGGCCATTAACAAAAGAGGATGAGGAGAAGGTTGCCCAAGTTGCAGGATGTAATATTCCTGTGCCATACCCAGAGACACCTCGAAAGGCCGTCAAAACCGACCATTTCTCAACTCCCGGCAGCAAGAGGAAAAGGGAGGAGGATTATCTCCCAACACCTCTCACAGGCAGCAAAGGCGATATCTTCGGCGCACCCTCAACAGCAAAACTAAATGGCGGTATGTGGGATGGCAATGAATCAGTCGGTCTACGAAGTCCGGCTCCAACGCCAACACCAAGTCGTTCTACTGATCTTGGCCTTCACGAAGCGCGTGGTGAAAGCAATCCTCATGGTTACGATATCACGGAAGAAGTTATGGAGTTATTGAAAGATAAACAGATCGACGAGGATACGATATCCAACCTCCGACAGCTTCTCAACAGGCACGCCCTGAGGATTTCTGGCATCGCCAAAGGCCGAGACATCACTCGTATCTCTCTGAAGGCAAAGGACGCCAAAATCGCTGAGCTCAAACAGAAGATTTCTTCTTTGGAAGCCGAGCGCGAAATGGATAAAACTGTCATTAGACATTTCAAAAGCGATATGGCACAGAGTATGGGCTCCAGAGGTGGTCGAGGTCGGGGTCGGGGCCGAACCTAGCAAGTGGAATCTTGATATGTGGCTCATTTTGCCAAAAGATCCTAAGGAACCCCAACTTTCTTGTCAGACACATAGCGAATACCTCTGTGGAAGCTCGGCTTTTACGACTTCGGTTGAATACGTCTTTGGAGAAGGTTAAGTTGCTCGCAACAGCAGGATGTGGTTCCGACTCCATCCCTTATTGGTAACACTATGCCAATAACGTCATATGCAATGTCATCAGTTGCTATCCTCCTCACAAAGATGTGGTACCAATAGGCCTTACTGGTGCTCCAGAATTGCAGCTCACAAGAGACAGTCTCTCGCAAGCTTTCCACCACTACCACCCCTTGTCAGCCAGGAGACCTACGTCAATAAAGCACTTTGTGACTCTGGCAATAACCAGTTCCTTTGCGAACACAAATGGATACCTGAGTGTTCAAGATGCAAGGAAATTTCCAGGTGCGGCTGGGCAGAGCGCTTTAGAACAGACTAGTGCGAGAATCGGAAGTGAAAATTGGAGAGAAAGGCGAATTCTTGCATGGACGAATGCATCTTGAAGATTTGAATGAGGCCGATCTGCATTATTAGTAGGTGTTTGGTCTTAATATTGGCAATAGGGTTAGGGGAGTGGGAGGGGTTGAAGTAAAATACTTCCCGAGATTGCAAATATTGATGTCAAAGAAACAGAAATGTAGCTGTTGGAGAGATGAATTGCGGAATCAGATAGACGAGACAATGATGAATACGATGCGACGAGCTTGGACAATGCAAACTCTATACCTCTAGAATAAGATGATGCTCTCCTCTTCATCTAAATACCGAAGCGGAAGCAAGTCGCACAAGGAGGAATTGAGGATCAAGAAGAAGCTCATTAAGCGCAAGGGATCGCCAACAGTAGGAAAGCGTAGTCTGACTATTCTTCTATTTCTTCATGCAATAGTTGGGTTGCGGGAGGTTGGAAAGCCCTGTTTGGCAATACAGCTCAACCAGGCTGTCTCTTCGCCTCTGATGAAATGATTCTTCGCGAATTGAGAATTCCCCTCTAAATTGTATCGTACTTGGGAAATTGATTGTTGGTACAGTGAGTATCTGTGTATGATGAAAAATTATAGGGTATGCAAAGTATATCAAATTTATCCAAAAAAATTTATCCAAAAATTCCTTACTGTAAAGGGACCCCCCCCCCCAACCCGAAACAGAAAATAATTGAACTCGCCCAAGAGGTTGTTAGAATGCGGGAACACATTACAGTTGTATATTTGACTAACTACAGAATTCGCCTTTTATTTAACACAGTGAAAGCCACAAATTACTGGGACTGTAATAACAACGTATCAATTCGACAAGAATCATCACTTATAGGTAGGTTATAGGTAGGTAACGTTCAAAGAACTATGGGGTCCAAAGTGCAGCCCTGATAAGCTCCTCCTGCTCTAACTCCTGCAGCATATGTGTTCTCTCTCACATCATGACTTCAACCCATTCATCCTCCGCCGACCTTTTCCTCTTCCACTCCGCCTCATCAAGCCTAGATCTCCACTCTGCTGCTTTAACATCACTCTCATGCCCCCGCTTCAACAGCGCCATCTCCCTTGTCTCCCCTTCCCTTAGATCATGTAACTGTTTCCGTCGATACGTATCCCAGGGTATATGTTGCTTCCGGTGTTCTCGTCTCAACTCATTCCTCGCGTGCCGGACTCGATCCTGGGCTTCTCCATCATCATCCCCAGTAGCCATGCAGTTGCCTCACGTATTCCCCCTCGATGCGGCGTTCCTCCGCGAGCCGGCTTTGGTACTCCTGCGCGAACCTGCGTTCTGCGTCGGCGATTCGCCCTTGCGATTTGGCGGACAGACGTTGGATCGCAGAGAGATGGCGCATAGAGAGACTGGCGAGGGCGCCCTCGAGATCTTTCGTTAGGAGTCTGGTCTCAGATTCGTAGCGCTCGGATATGATAGCGCGTTGCGCATCGTGCAATGATGAGAGCTCTGCTGTGAGTTGATGGAAGCGGAGGCTCACGGCCGTGATACGTTCTTCTTGACGCCGTTGTTCCTCTTCTTCTCTCCCTCGCTCCTCTTCTCGGCGCCGTTCCTCTTCCGCTGTCCTTTGTTCACCTTCCACATCGGTTTCTTCCCTTTCAGCCTCTTGCGGCTCGAAGTCCGTAACCATTTGGAGAGCAAGGTTCTCTTCATCAGCCTCAGTCTCCGCTTCAGCGTTTATAGCGTACTCAAGTTGGCCGGTCTCTGCTACCTCTTCAATAGCCACAAGCTCCGATGGCTCCGTGCAATCACATGTTAGCCACCTCCGTCCACAAATGTAACAGAATTGGGCCTTACACCGACATGTCATATGTCGGCATCCTGTCTTACGCTCCACGAAGGCATGACAGTCTAAACATCTCATCCATCCTTCGAGGCGTGCGAGTCTTGACGTCGCCCTGAGGTCTGGATCTTCCGGGCAGTCTTTACCATGATGATATACTCCTCGACAGGTTGTGCATGTTCTGCGTGCACATTCTGGACATTTTGCTGAGCGGTCTGATTTGCGGATATATTTTGGTGCAATCCAAGCACCACATTTTCGCCGTGCACAGTAGATTCTGTCTCTGGATGGTACCGACCATTCAGCTTCACGTTTTTGGTATTTCTTCCTCATTCGACGACTAATATGGGGGAGTATATTCTCGGAGGGTATCGGGTCGAGACAGCATTTTGCGGGCCACTGTGTTTCAGATTCGAGGGCAGTACTGCTTGTTGTTAATTGTGCCGCTCGAAGTAGAAAATTTATCTCACCTCATCAGTCTTATGAAGCATTCCCCACAGTAGTTATGGCAGGTTGTTGTTATCATATCCGCCAGGGGGAACTCGTCGAGGCATGACACGCATTCCCTAGATGAATTAGAAGGCGTTTAGTTCACTTATCTATGATCATCCTTACTGATTTGAGATCTCTGAGACACGAGTCTTCCTGGCTGTCGAATCCAAATTGTTCGTTGTATCGAGATCCTGACTGTTCGGTTTATACATCCGTCTGAAGAAGACTGCACTCAACCCTCTAAATGACCTTCTGGGCGGAGATTGGGGACTGGTTGAGACTCCTGGCCCTGATGACATTGAGCCGTACGCGGAGTCGCTTGACGATGATGTGGTCTCATTCACGGTCGGTAATGGAGAAGCTTGGGAAGACTGAGGCTGCAAAGAATGAAGCTGTCCACTATTCAAAAGCTACACCAGATTAATGGCCGCTATGGAAGATACCTAGAGCTGGAGCACTCACCAGACTCGGTTTGGTTGGTACTCCTCTCGCTCTTGCCAATGGCCTTCTCGCGCGCGAGGCAGCAGCTCGGACTTCTTCTTCAGTATGTTGTACTCTGATCCTTTCCGCCGAAGACTCAAGAATGTTCCGGATATCAGCTGAGGTACTGTCTTGCGAATCTAGTAACTCCCTTGGAGGATCATACCTCCTCCAATCTAGGTTCTCAAAATTAGGTTCTTCCGGGACCACAAGTCCAGAATAGAGGTAAGAGAGGGAGCTTTGTGCTGCGCTATGACTGGAGGCCGAGAGCTGGTCAGGCAAAGAGTTGTCAGGAAGCCTCGCATACGTGTTATGTATCTGCGACGGGGGCGAACTCGTGTGGTGATTAGAGTGTACTTCATCTCCGACATCTGAGTTTAATGTTGGACCATGAAACTTGGGTAGTTGTCTTGGAGATAATTCGGCAATCTGATTTTGCGCTACCTGATCCATGGCTGGCACCTCCAATCCGGGGATCATTAACTCGATAGGAGTAAGTGTCAAATTTGATGGCCTGGCTTGGATTTGTTCGTCTTCCTCTCTCGTCCTTTGAAATGAATCGGGAATGTCACGATCGTTCTGATGGTGTGGCGGTGGAGGGTGTATCGATTCCTGGTTGGGTTGCATCTCATTTATGCCTAATAATCTTAACCTAGGCAGAACTATATCGCCCACCAGCGCGTAGTCATCTCTCAAAGACCAATCCTCCGGTTTCGCAGAAACTTTAGCCATAATGCGAGCTTGATTAGAAGAATTGTATAATTGAGAATCGAAAAGAGTAAAATCGAATGAAGGTGGAAAATAGGTTGAATGATGACAACTTATCATCGAGACCCTTTCGTGACTTGGTATTTATGAGGCAATCAAAACTCATGAATCCGAAAACATGCACCAGAAGGCTTTCACAAGGCTTTCAGAAGGCATAAGCCACAGAAACGTGCCTCAAGTGAGGTTGAACGGCTTCAGCGCCACTTGCTACTCCTCACCTTGCGATTTAACACTGGTATACCCCATCTGGTCATGTGTGCTTGTAGCCAACATCATGCCGAAAGCACAAGACCAATCATATTGGTGATACGGTATTCTGCGGCTGACGTTTGATAATGCCATTTGACATCTCAGAGTAGCCCGAGGTTCGCCTGGTCGCTCAGACGAGGGGCTGAGCGCGAGACGGAACGGTAAGGCTCTTCAAGCAGGCCGCCTGGGTGGGCGGAGGATGAGTGGATGGCCAAATTGCAGTTATCTGCCTATGTGGTCCCAGCACTGAAGTTAGTAGGGCAATAAAAATGTATAGAAGGAATCATTCTGCGCATAGAAACTTTTGTTGTGCCGCTGGGGTCTTCACATCAAGCACAACAGATTCGGAGAATCGTAGAGCCTTGCACTTCGCCCTCTCTGATAAATTATTCATCGTTGGATGTTGGAAGACACTGCCTTATGGGTGGTTAAGAAATCGACACTAATCGATGACATTGAAGAGGTATGTCGAGACAAATGATGCAAAACGTAGGTTTGAGGTCGGGTGGAGAGGCGCGTTTTACGCTTGCATCGGTTGACGATAACCTCACCTCGTCACAGCCGACAGAATGTCAACTTCACATCCTCCAACACATCCTCCAGGATAACGCCAAAACGCTGACACCCCCGACCTTAGACTGGAAGAAAGAAACTTGGGCTTGGGGCTTGACGAATGCCTCTGATTTTGAGGTGTACAGCCAGAATATCCTTGATCAAAAGCAACGACGATGGCTTCGTCACAAACTTGAGTTCCTTGTCTTCTCTGACCATTCCTTCTCCTCCTCTCCCCTTCTTGACGCTCTTTCCCCTATCTTTCCAATTACCCTCTTCCCATTCCATTTCCATTTTATGTTGTCACCTTTCCTTTCGTCCTTCTTTTCTCCTCTTCCTCTTCCCCATCATTTTGTGCTAGTCTTCCTCAAGCAGTACTGGTGTTTCTTTTCCTGCCAGAACAATGATATCAATATCTATACAAAATGGCAAAACCTAGCACATACGACCACAGACTGAGGACAACAGGCCATCCCGTCCGCTCTGGCATTCTTAAGCCTCAGATCGGTAGATTAGTAGTTGAGTCGGTGACGATCAGCGAATCCCTACTGTTGTATGTTTCATTTTTCTTTTTGGTGCCTTCTCTTTTGCCCTTGCTATCATAACCTCGTTATTAACCCAGCGAGTAGCAATTATTGGATATCTGCTGCTATATGTCTTTTCCTTGGTTCTAATTTGCGCTTTTGACTCTTTTCTTATCTTTGTTTATTCTCACAACCACGTCAATATCTGCTCAGTTAGGTAAGAATCTATCACATACAACCAGAGGACAAACTAGGGCATTCAATCCGCTCTGTCATACTCAAGCTTCAGATAAGCAGGTTAGTACCGGGTGGGTGTCCACCAGCGAATGTTTGTTGTTGCCCGCTGTGTGGTGAAATTATGGTCGACCTCGATAGGTAGACTTCATGGTCTCCAGGGTGCGACGCGAAGACTCGTGCCGTTGCGTAGGGAGAGGGGATACTGCGGGGGTCAAGGAGCCACTCTTTAAGAACACACTCTACCTTCCAAAGCAAACCCTTAGAGCCAGACGGCTCTGGTACGTTTCTTGGGTATGTGTTCAGCGGGATGGCTTTCATGCCCAATTATACGTAGGTAGGTAGGGTGAGTACAATACTCTGTATAGCGAACGAGATCAGGGAGTTTGAAGTTGAGTGCTTGTTTTATGTATAGAGATGAATAAGATGGATGGCTAGGTAGGTAGGTATGCAAGAGCTGTACGATCTAGAAGGAAGAATATAGAAGATCCCTGGGGGATTTTGTAGGTAGGGAAGGAAAGAAAAGAGACATGATAGTAAGATTTCAAATATCCTCTTTTCCCATTCCTGATCTTTTGGAAACGAATGTTTAAACTCGCGATACTATCTATGATACTCATGAACATCTCGTTCATCCCTTTGAATTCACCACACATCTCTACTGCCTCTATCATCAACACTGAGTCCTCCTCTCCGATAGGGATTAGCTTAAGCCTCTTTTTGGATGTCAAACGGAGGTCGATATAGTCCTGAGAATCACCCCTACCCACACGTGTCGATGCCCGTGGGCATACTAGGTAAGTAGGGTATGATATTGATCTGACCTGGATGATTGATGGTATTTCAATAATTCGAGCCTGATCTCCTGGCATGAGTGTCTTCTTTTGAGATGCATTTTGCAGCTATGTATAGAGAGATTATTGGCCTGATCTGAGTGAATGATGGGATCTCAATAACTCAAGCTTGGGAGGAGGGGGTCCTCGCTTAGCCTCGTGGTCTTCGAAAAGGGGTGCGGTTGTTGATCGATTCACTTTGCGAACGTCGCGGTATATAAACACCAGCTTCTTCACAGGAGCTACCTCAACCTTTAAATTACAACTCCAACATCAACATCGACCTTTCGTACAACTCTGACATCGATATCAAGACCTCTAACCAATTCGTGACAACAGTGCTTCCTCCCCTGCCATGGACTTCACAGAGTTTGACGAAAAGAAGTTCAGCGATGTTGTTAGTGGAAGCTGGGATGAAGACACCGCTGCCTTTGTCAAGTTGTTAAAGCAAGCTTCCCTAGATGTGTACAAAGAGCTACTTGCTGCTGTTAGTATGGAGCCTCTTGTACTCTCTACAAAGAACAACTTCTCAATCCCATCGTCTATGCCAGCTGAGGTACTCGCCGCGATCAAGGCAATAACAATTAAATTTGCGTAAGTTCGAACTATTTCCTTCCCAGCTCCACAAATCGATCGACTAACCCTCAAACCTTAGTGATGTGGTGTCTGCCTCTGGATACAATAAGATCTATCCCACGATACACCAAGGCGCCGCAGGGTCTAACATCATCGATGTTCTTCGCAAGTTCCCGAACCTAGCCTCTCTAAACTTAGACACAACCTCCGTCACTGACGGAAGTAATGCATGGTGCCCCATCATTGCCGCCTACCTTAAAGATTACCACAAGCTACAGACACTTCGCGTCAAGCGGATCAAGAAGTACCCCCTTTCCACAGACGAACTCGTCCAAATGCTCCGGGACCTGCCTCTTACATACTCTATCCCACCTCTAATTCCACGCGCCCCTATCGCCCCAGCCATGGGCCAGGCCGACGACCCGCAGTTCTACGGCAACGGCAGCGAGGACGAACGGGAGGGTGAGATCAAGCGACGCTCCGAGATGAACGCCGACGAGCTCAACATCGAGAAGGTGAGCCGATCGCTTGGGGTGCGCGGGGTGCTCGAGCGGGTCAGCACCGCGGGTGACGAAGATTGGGTCTGGGTCTTCCAGCAGGGCAAATGGGTCGGGGAGGACACAGGGCTCCAATGGGTCGTGATGCCATTGGATTCACTGCATGGCATTGCGCGCCTGGCGTACATCCCGAGGGGATATATGCGCGTCAACATGGAGCTCGAGCTAGGAACCATGGTTATTATGCCGTTTGGGTACGTCGTGATGTCTTTTTCCAGGGAGGAGATCAAGGGGATGGATAGGGAGGAGGTTGAAAAATGGCGTCGAACTGCCTTTGCGAGACATGCCACTTAGATCATGTGGAGAACGAGGATATCAATCGGAGTTGATGATCTCATTCCTAGGTTTGCTGTGGAGAGCGGGATGGATACTAGACACAAGGCATAATGAGACACGACTTCAGAAGAACTCCATTCAGCGATGCATTTCTAGTGATTAGAACTGTAACGTTCCGAATTCTATAAAAGGCGATTAGCGATCTGAATCTAAACAGTCGCGTTGCCCATTATGTTCAGGGCTATATATCATTGGAGACCTACATTCGCTTTTATCCTCCTTCTGCTCTCCGCGTCACCGACCTCTCTATCGTTCGACGATTCGGGATTGATATCGTAAGCTATGCCTGGAAGATATTGGGGAATACTTGGGACGCCTAGCTGCTTCAAAGATTCAGTGGCAGGAAAGGGACATTTCAAGGGAAGCCGCGTTACTCAGATGTAGTGTAGTAAGCCCTTACTCCTCTCAACCCTTCCAGGTAGAAGAAGATAAAATCTGAGAGGGAGCAATTAAATGTGGGCTGAGTTTAGAGACCATGCGTAGATCGGCTTTGCTCAAGAAGGGTTCCTGCTCACTTGATTGCAGGAAGCAAGACTGAAAATCAGTAACTGACTGCAGTTTCTTGAAAGCATATCTTAGACGATTAATAAAGAGGGCATTCGATTCCTACACTCGACCATTATAACTTTTGTAAACTAGCCATAGAGTCAAGAACTACCAGACTCTTAAGTCAAGTATCAATCGGACACCTTGAAACATATTTGCGTGGACAAATAGGGAATTGAGTTCACGTTGACAAAGACAACACCAGTCTGTAGACAAAGAGATAAAGATTTAGCTCTGAACCCATCAAAAAGCATGGGGCGCGAATTCAGTCATGGGGCTTGGCAATGATTGGATTTTTCGCTGTCACATTCCTCCTCATTGGCGGCGGTCATACACTCTTTTTCATGCAACCGAACAACTCGATCCAGGAATCGGTATAGGGAAGCCTATATATTCGAAAACATCCAGTAAATCACCATTCAGCGTAAGGACACCCTGAGCTCGTAATTCGTAGGCGGTGAAATACAGCGTTGTTTAGCTCGTTATTCGACTAATGCTATGCCATGTTATAACCCCATCCCGACCCGGAGACGCAGAAGAACCGTTTAAAATCCTGGAGGGTATGTTAGCTGCGTGGAGGGTGACAATATCCAACGGGTACGTACTCAGAGGAGTGAAGAACCATCTGTTCTTTCCTGACGTGTATCTCTCCTCCAATGCCTTCTTGACGGTCTTCTTCGCATCCTCCCGTTGAGAAACCTCCTTGAATGTGTCCGCGGTAACAGCTCCCTTCAATCCCTCCAGCTCGAGGGTGTAACGTGTAGGCATCAAGTGGTTGTAGTTGATGACCTTGATGAATGGCTTGACCTTGCTGCGCTTGGTTTGGCGGGCCTTCGACATACGGCGGGTGATTTGCGATGGGTAACGCTCAATACCGGCGACAATTGCGTGAGGGTATGGGTGGGACTTGTTTCCGCTGTCTTGAGGCTGGATGATCACAACCTATATACCTCCATCAGCACTTCCTTCCCTCATCCCGTTTCCAAACGGCACCGCGACCGAGTCGTGTGAGTCGTCTCTTGAATGCTCTGGCCGTGCAAGGTGAGATTTACCTTCTTTCCGGCATATCTGCCCCGGGTGATGATGGCAACACGGCCGACCTTGAGGACTAGAGACCAGAGTTAGCATCGCTGAACGATTGTACACTCTTCAATCCCAGATCAGACATACACTTCATCTCGGCTGTCGTTGGGCGATTGTCGTGTGGTTGGTGCTGCTCTGAAGTTGCTCTGGATTTCTTCAAAATTGTCGTGCGCTGCCTCTCGCTTAGCAAGCCCTCCAAAATTTCGGGCGGTCACGTGAACGAAGAAATATCAAGCTAATCTGTTTCTAGCCGAGGCGCCAGATCTCGACTCAAGGACGAGTGGGGTTTGCCCAACGCAGGACACCTGTACCTTAGTCATGAAATATCTTCGTGTAAAGTTGAGTTGGACAATGGATTTATTTGATGATCGTTTTGTTTCTATTCATCCGCAACCACTTAAGAGTTCGCTCAAGGAAAAGAAACTTTATGTTGTTGCACAGCTCTTGAAATGTTTCCATGGCATACGGAGGTACTCGCGTGGGGCGCTTTTCATTGGTATCTTGTAGCAGCTCTGTTCTCTGCATCACTAGCTATGCTTCCTGGCATGTAAAAGCAATATCTACTTCTGCTGTTCTTGGTCACGGGAAAGTATACCGACCATCTTTACCTAACCATGTCCTTTCTCAGAGGCTCAACAAAAATCACAGCCTGTCCTATATTTCTCGTATAGCTTCTGGGTGATCGGTACTCATCGTGCTTCGATTTTCCACACCACTGAGAACTGTCGGGTTTTCTACAGAAGAACAAGTCCGAAGATTGATGCAATTTCTCTTCTTTCTCGTCAAATAGTCTTTCTAATTCTGTGTCAATGGACCCTTCTCTTGTCGTTCTCTTCGCTAGTAAGCCTATTGCATGCCAGAAATCTGTCGCAATGATTCTTCCTGTTATTCTACTGCTCCATGTGGCCTTGGCGTCTTTCTGCTTAATTAACCCTCAAAAGGCTGAAATTCTAGAATGTCGAACCGATAACTCTTATTGGTATCTCCACTCACTCTCATGGCAATGAATTCTCATGGCATTTACAAATCACCTTTCGGAAGGCTTTACGGGCTTCAAGAATGCCGCGGTGGATGTTAATGGCAGATTACTGGAGGTTTCATTGATCAAGATCCCAAATTTCTCGACGTTGTTGGCAGCCAATGGAGAAAATGCCACCTTTCTCCCCAGGTGACTAAGTCATGATGGCTCCTATCAACGCAGTGGTGATATGGCAGGCAGATATGAGAGTGTGTTGACTCGATTGGCGCCGATATACGGTGGACTATCGCGCCAATACGAACTTCTGATGGGTTCACCAATGCAAAGCTACAGTCACGGTTTGAACGAATATCAACAAAGATCTGACCGGATTCATGACCAAGCTGCGTCCATAGTCCTTCACTGCCAGAAGTGTCTCGGGATCCGACCTGCACTGGTGAAGCAGGAGTAGCAGGTGTCCTCGTGGCCAATAAGGTATTGCTTCTAGTAAGCCACGTCAACTTATTCTCCATTTCTCCGCTGACAACTTGATGGCTACTTATCCTTTTGGAGGAGATGTTTCTGCAGATGACCAGCTCTACTACTACCAAGTTTGCCAGTTCTCAAGGCCTAGATCATTACAGCATACACCATTGTTTTAGTTCGATATATCTCTTACCCGGAGCTCTATAAAACCAGATTGAAACCAGAAGGATAAGCACAGTCCAGCTGCCCGACAACTCGGTGCAGAATGGGGATCCCAAATGTTTATTGCACGGTCCGTAAATATTTTATACCCTCCTCATATACGGTTGTAACTCAAAGCTAAATGTATCAGGTTTGACTTAGTAAATTACCAGGGCCCAGGATAATGCTTATAAGGCTTGGGATGTGACGGCTAGAATTGAAGCTGTGGGTTAATGAGCTTAGTACTTGATTGATGGCTTGGATATAGAAGCAAAGTAAAGCTCACCTTCCGGCCCAGTGACTGTTGATAGGAGGGATTTGAAAGCACAGGATAGGTTGGACTTGGCACATTGAAGATAGACCGATTGAAAGCGTAACTGCGTGTTACCAAACGGTACATAAGGTAAGGTATAGATGATAATGATATTTACTTTTATCTATGTTTACATTTATTTACACAGACCCATAGAGGAACCCACAGCCATTTCCAAGTCAAAGAGCATACAGACTTGAACGAATCACTAATGAGACTATACAACAGAAAGCAAACTCACCTACAGTAGGTGCCTAAGATTGGTGTAGACATTTATCTTGCACCCCTAGGGAATTTTGGGTCCCACTAGGAGATTTACAAGAATGCCCTGCCTTCTATTTATTATTTCCGATTCCATTTAGGGCCCGCAGTGGGTATAGTAACAAAGGTTTACTGGGTTTACCTCCGTCCGGAGTTACTAAAAGTAAGTAGGGCGTGTTTATCAAACAAGTTATCGGTCAACCAGGGGATCAATGTCCTAGTCAGGACTCAACATTCATGAATCCAGATTATTTATGTTTATTACATGCCAGATAAAGGCACAGAGGGACAGCTAGATAGGTACAATACTGTAACAGGAACATGTGGTGGTGTGATGCGCGGTGTGTGATGCGCGGTACCAATCGCTGTGCTGCGACGCTAATCGTTTTGGGTTAAATGTCAACAAACACCATCAACAATGCTTTCCACTCCTTATACTCCTTATCTACTTAGAGCCTTGCCATCGCATTCGCAGAACACCTCCATCGCGAACTCCCATAATTTCTTATTCTCCTGATAATTTCCTAATTACTGAGGGTCTTAGCCCTCCGCGTGGCTGAAGCTACCTTTGGCACTCTCCCCACGTCAAGATTGCATTCTACCTCCATTCCACATCTACTCCCACAACGATGTCTTCAATAGACCGAGACGCCTCGCGGGAAAGCGAGAGGCGCTTAAAACACCAGAGCTCTTCGTCGCTGGATTGTGGACGAGCTATTGTTCCTATGTATGATGGTCTATTACTTGAAATCGAAACGGGCATGCTGATTTTGAGGGCAGGTGGGACAGCTCTGATCCAGAACGCGCACCACCACCGTTACCTATGAATCCTTCATCACCAGGTGTTGCTTCACGACCCAATACATCAAGCGCGATACAGTCTGCGCATGCGGCCTTGGCAGAAAAGGCGAGGGAACCTACCTATATCACGAACGCGGCGAAACGCATCGAAGCATCTCCCGAGCGATCTTTGATCAAGGGGGCAACTCATAAGCGCATGCAGTCACTTCAGACAGGCAGTGTCAGGGATTTAAGTAACCTCCTCGAGGGAGGTTCATCGTTCGGTACGCCCAAATCACCAGAGAAGACCAAACCGGTAACTCCACACGCAAGCAAAGAGTTTATGATAGAGGGAAGATCGCCCGAGAAAGAGACAAATTGCTCTGAGACCCCAACACCTAATAATCGAGATACCCCAAACCGCGACACCCCAACATTACGGCCTTCGTTAAGAAGACCTCCACAGAGCATACTCGGAGAGAATACACCACCACAGTCAGCGACAATGCTGGCTCTACAAAATATGGCGAGCAGAGATCTGGACACGCCTCTCTTGAATGTCACAAATAAGTCTACTGCGCTGGTTCGCACACCACAGACATTCGATGCAATATCAGGCCAAATCCTCAGTCTCACTAGCATCGCCACAAATCTTCAAAAAGAAATGGCCCAATTAAATAGGCGAAGCAGAGACAATGCCACGGATTTGGTCAGTTTGAAGGAGGCGACGAAAGCTAGAGATGAGGATATTCGGAGGAGTCTTAGAGAGCTTGTCAGTAACTTATCCGAACCTGCGGCGCATTTGCCCAGCAGTGTTCAGGGTGGTTGTGGGCTATACTTGGACAACAAAGCACATAACAACTCCCCAGGATCGAGAAGCGTCAAGCCGTTCAGCCTCCCTCGGATACCTAGCCCAGCAAGCTTTGCTGCCTCCCTAGACAGAGAAACAATGATTACTCCATCCACCTATAATTCAGATGGGGTAGCAAGCATTGCCATTCTCGAAAAGATTCTGCGAGATATGGGGACAAAGGAGGGCCAGGATCTACTTGTTTTACGCCTAACCGAAGTATCCGATCGAATTGCCCAGGATAGTATGTCTACAGCCAAGAAACTTGACGATCTGATAGAATTCGTCAAGAACAACAGCGCCTCACAGGCCATCGTGACACATGATGGCGGAGGAGGAAACCACACTAGACCTCGAAACTTTAGCTTTGAACAAACTTCTAGACCGGAATTGGAATACGACCATCGAACATCAGGACCTGCGCCAGCACGAGTGGAGGCACTTCTCAGCCAGGAAACAAACAAGGATAACATTGCAACTTCTGGACCGACTCGTGCGGCTGAAATCATCAACGAGGATGTTTTGAAGATCATTCGTACCGTGAAGGACAGCGTTGCCCAAGGTGGCGGATTAACCGCAGAAGTGAAAGCTCTCGTTCGTGAGCTTCGCGGTGAAGTACTAGGAATGGGTCGAGAAATTGGGCGCAAGTTGGATGAGGCGAACAGCAAGAACGACACTGCTAAAGACGGTGACGAGGAGAACCATGTGGCTCGAATAGTACAAGATGGCCTGGAAGAATTAAAAGAGCACATGGACCGTATAATGCAGGAAAATCGGCGACAATCGTCCTCGTCCTCAGTTTCACGCAACGCCGTCGATTATCGGGAGATATACAATGCAGTCCGTAGTGCGGTCAACGAGAATCCACGAGAGCCCGGCTTAGAGAAAGAAGATATTATCGAAGCGGTGAAAGAGGCATGGGAAAACTATAAGCCTGATATTGAACTTCAGCATTTCGGTTTGGAACGCGAGGAGCTCTTAGCATGCTTGAAGGAAGGCATTCAAGAGTACGCTCCCCGAAATGACCCTAGGGCAATTGGTGGAGCTACCCGTGACGAAGTGTTTACCGCGGTTGTCGAAGGTCTGAAGCATTTCGCACCTCCACGAGTCGAGATGGAGCCAAGCCTCTCCCGGGAGGAGATACTTGATGCTGTCCGAGAATGCTTGGAGGAATTTGAGTTTCCATCGGCACCCTTGCCAGAACCAAGAGAACCCAACATTACGAGGGAGGATATGCTTGATGCTGTCAAGGAAGGTCTCCACACGTTCGATTTCGCTGCCAATACGACTGCTGTGAGTCGTGAGGTTGGCGGAGGCCTTACTCGGGATGACTTATTCGATGCAATGGCAAATCGAGAACCTGATATTACGAGGGAGGATATGCTTGATGCCGTTAAGGAAGGTCTCCACACATTCGATTTCGCTGCCAATACAACCGCTGTGAGTCGTGAGGTTGGCGGAGGCCTCACTCGGGATGACTTATTCGATGCAATCAAAGCAAGTCGAGGAGAAGTATCAATTCAGGGTGATGCATTTGGGCAACAAGTCTTCGAGCGACTTCAAGAAATAACGGAAACTTTGAAAACGGAATTCAAAGCTGTATCAGACGAAGCCAAACAGAATGTGGCAGCCCACGGAAGAGATACAGAGCAAGTTCTGGACGCAACAAAGGACGGGTTTGACAGGCTTCGAGCTGACATTGAAGCCTACGTTGACCGAGTTGCTGATATCTCTGTGAAGGATGAGATACTAGACAGCGTGCATGAAAGTTTCAATGGGCTTCGCGAGGAGCTAGAACAGCTTCTTTCTAAAGGCTCGGATAGTTCGATAGAGTCGGTTAGAAACGAGCTCGAACTTCTCCGAGAATCGATGGCCTCATCTCTGGTTCCTGGAGGTGGCAGCCCCGACAAGGAAGAGATCATCCAAGCTCTCAGATATGGTCTTGATGGACTGCGTGCTGATATCCAACATAGCCGCGCCAGCGCTGACAGTGAAGTGATCGTCGAAGCTCTAAGGTATGGCCTTGATGGATTGCGTGCGGATATCGAACGTATCGGTGGGAGTGTGGACAAAGATGAGATCATCGACATTCTCAGAGATGGTCTCGACGGACTGCGTGCGGATATCCAAAACAGCAGCGCCAGCGCCGACAAGGAAGAGATCATCGAAACCTTGAGAGATTGCCTCGAAGGACTGCGTGCAGATATTGAACGTGGTGGTCGCAGCGCCGACAAGGAAGAGATCATCGAAGCTCTCAAAGTTGGTCTCGATGGACTGCGTGCAGATATTGAACGACCTAGAGGTGGCAATGAGAGCATTCTCTCAGGTACGGGCGAGATCCTGGATGCTCTTCATGACGGACTGAATGGTCTACGTTCTGAGGTCGAAAAAATTGGCAACAAGCCAGTGGATATGACTGTAAACTATGAGATCCTGGATACTTTGAAAGCTGGCCTTGAAGAGGTCCGAGCTGATATTGACAGGCTTCGTGAAGGGGGCTACAACGAACGTGCCGTAGCCGCTATAACCGATGGAGCCGTCATACCTGCAGAGGGCTTGAAGAGGAACGATATCGAGAACCTCGAAGTATTGATTACCCAACTCCGAATCAAGGTTGAAGCACTTGAATCAATGCCGCCGCCCCCTGCGCAGCCTGTTCCTGGATCGTTGTTGAAATCCGACCTGGCGGCTGTAGAGGAGATGCTTCGAAGTGTACACGAATCCGTTGCTGGCATGTCTAACCGCGATCTGTCCGACGATGGAGACGCGGTGAAGAAGGAAGACGTAGTAGCCATTGAAACTCTTTTAAGAAATACGAAGGCCAAGATCGACGAGATGGATCCAGAACAAGCCGTCAAGAAAGACCATCTTGATTCTGTAGCGACCATTATCGGTGAGACACGGGAGAGCGTCAATGAGTTGACATCTCACTTACACGACGTCTCGAAGAAAGATGATATGAGCATAATCGAATCTCTGGTACGGGACGTCATATTAGCTTTGGAGGAAATGAAGGTGCACGCAGCCAAGGATGCCGATGATGCTGAGAAAGTTACCAAAACCGACGTGGAGGCAGTCGAGGCTCTGTGTCTCGACGTCAAATCTGCGATTGAGCAGATGGTCTCGGCTGATATTGCAGCCCTAGCATCAAAAGAAGATGTGAAGAACCTGGAAGAGTTGGTTAAGGAATTCAAAGACCGAATCGAGACTCATGCGGAAACCAACGCCAAGGCATTCGATGACCGACAGACGGAGACTATCGAAGTTGGTGAACGTGTAACGGAGGTCAAAACATTCTTGGAAGAATTTAAGGAGGCTATTAAAGAAAAGCTGGACGAAGGCGCCACAAGTGTCGAAGCTCTAGGTAAATTCCTTGAGGGCATCGGAGAAACGATCGGACAAAACGCGAACATCACAGACGACATTAAGGAAATGTTCGAGGCTATGAAGGTGGAATTTGAAAAGTCCAACGCTGGAGTAGTTGGATCAAAGCTTGAGACCGATGAGAAGTTTCAACAGACTTGGGACAAGTTCGATGCCAAGCTTGATGAAAAGTTCAATGAGCTAATGACCAAATACGATGATGCTCAGCTTTCAGCAGAGGCTAGAGAAAAACTTGGGCAAGAGAAAATCGCCGGAGTAGAAGCTGCGGCGTTGGGAACTAAAGCCATTGCAGATGATTTGAAGCTGCTTGTTGATACTCTGAGTACTACTCTGACCGAATCAGTCGAGAAGATGGATGAAGGCTCAAAGACCGTCTTCAACCGAGTCGAGGATACATTCACGCGGGTTGAAGAGACTCATTCCGACGCCAAGGAGGAGCACCAACTGACAAGGGAGCAAGTCTCCAAAACACTCGGTGCTATTGAAGGAGTGCAGGCCCATGTCACGGAGTATAATCCTAAGATTCTCGAGTCCATCAAGGACGTTCTCCTCATTGTTGGCCAGCATTATGAGCACTCAAAATCAGCAACTACAACACTCGAGGAGAAGATCGCTGAAAGGCCACCACCCGTCGAGACACCGCTTCTTAGCGATATTCTTCGCGAGATTCCTGTTCCAGAGAAGTACGACGATACACAGGTACACGAAAAACTGGACAAGCTCGTCGATCACATGCATGAGGCTGGAAAGTCGTTTGCTCAGCTAGACACATTGGACAAAATCCATCAAAAGGTCATCCAGACGGCAGCCGAAGTATCTGAATTTGTATCTGCACAAACTCGACGCATTGCTAATGATCACGAGGACAAGGAGAAAGCTGCTGAAGCCGCTGCTATTGCTCTTGAAAAAAGCCTTACACAGAAGGAGCACGTTGATGCCACTGTACTCGGCCTTCGCGAGGAGGAGGATCGCTTAAAAGAGTCTGTAGCGATCCTCAAGGCTGAACAAGAGAACCTCACACAGCAGAAGATGCGGCTTTCCGCGGATGTCTCGAGTCTCGAGACAGCTTTGAAGCTTCGCCGCGAGGAACTTCACTCAATGGAAGCACGGGCCGAGGGGCTGGAGCGTCGTATCCTCGAGAGCGTTATTGACCACTCTCGTGTCCTCTTAATGTCGAAGACCAACAAAGGCCGAGAAGCCATGAGTAGGAAGCGCGTGCCGAGCCATGCAACATCCAAGACTGGACCAGGGATCTCTAATCCCGCGTCTAGAACAACTTCATTCTCTACCAATGCTACACAGAGCGCTCTCAGCATGGCTATGGGTGGCAATCGAGCCTTGGTAAAAGTTCCGAACAATAATTCGGGGGGTGCATCCAGGCGTATCCTTTCACTGAATCAAATTAACAACAACGTTCCAACAGGAGGCTTGACACGCAGCCATAGCGTTAAGGGCACTGGACGTTCTGGATCATTGCGGAAAGCGAGTTGGGGGGGATCACTGAGTCGGGGATATGGTGATCTGAATAAGGAGAATTTGGAGCTGAAGGAGAGCGAGGAAGAAGATGGTCGGAGCGAGGATGGAGAGGGGAGTGACGACGAGACAATGCGGAGAACTAGTCGAGGCACAACGATACTAACAAGCACGGGAGTCAGCGAGAGTATCGATGACGGCACAGACTGGACCGGCAGTGTTGATGGCGAGAGTCATGTGGGAGAGGAGTCTATGGAACTGGCGTTGTATGAACCAAGCGGCGATGTCGTATAGGCATCAGGAACAGAGATATCCCTATTTCAGCTGGGTGGCTTGTCTATTGTATTTATTTGTGGAGTCGGGCCTGGAATGTTTAGCGTAGCGATGACGTTCTGATGATGACTTGAATAGCGTTTTAGCGTAATAATTTTCCATTCAAAAGCGTTCACACCGTGACACACAGCAGCAATATAGCGCAGAGGAAGCGCGCCGGGCTCATAACCCGGAGGTCCCCTGATCGAAACAGGGTATTGCTAAGATTCAAACATTTTTTGTCTCTTTTTTTAATCATTTTATTTTATTTTTCGAGCCTCCCTAAGTTTCAAGGCCTTGAGCTTGACAAAGGTGAACAAAAGAGCAGAAATATTCTGTGACGTGAAAAGGAACATTCTGCACTGGGAAACTTAGAATTGCATATATATTATTTACAGAGTAATGCAAGACAAAGCATGAACAAGCTCTCAATATTTCTGCTTCACATAGTTTTGGCAAACTAAGTTTTATACAATACCTAGGTAATCATACAGCAGAGAGGTATCACTGCATTGACCTCAACCGCTCCTTTGGCCCAATAACCTTTGCTCCATCCATCCAAGGCCACAATACCTCGGGAATCCTAACTTCTGTTCTCCGTTCATCCCACCCATTCTCCAGGATTGCAGCCAATACTCTCGGGACCGCCATGGCAGTTCCATTCACGGTGTACGGGAACACAGTTTTACCCCCCTGGCTCCTCATATCAACCCGTGTTGCCAATCTCCTACTCTGATAATCGGTACAGGTACTAACGGACGTGACCTCTCCCCAGCCATCATCCTTCGGCCGCCTAGATGGGATGAAAGCCTCTATGTCACATTTCCGTGTGGCAGAGGCTCCTAGATCTGTGCTTGGCATCTCCAAAATACGGCAATGGAGGCCCAGTGACTGCAGGATCTCGGTCTGGATGGAGAGCATTTCGTTGAAGACTTCAGTAGAAGCGGGCGTAGAAGGTAGTGTCCAGGCGAACATCTCTACTTTTGTGAATTCGTGGACTCTGTATAGACCTTTGGTATCCACCCCACGAGCACCTGCCTCCGCACGATAGCACCGTGACACACCCACACGTTTCATGGGAAGATCTGCTTCCTCAAGAGTAGTATTCGCTTTCATCCCAGCTAGAGGAATCTCAGCCGTCCCTGCGAGGCTGAGCTCTGGTTTTCGCCCCACATCACTGGCACTTTGTTGGATATTGTAGATTTGACTCTCGCCGTTTTGATCCCGTGGTTGAAATCCACAGGCAGCTGCAATATGACTGTATACCATGCTAGGTGGACTTGCTATTCCCCATCCGCGCTTCCTTGCTATGCTGAGGGCATACTGCACCAGTGCCTGCTCGAGTTGTGCTGCTTCGTTCAGCAGGAAATACCACCCCCAACCACTTGTTGTAGCTGCTCCGGCGAAATCAAATAAATTGAGTTCGCTCCCAATGTGTACGTGAGAACGCCAGACTCGATCGGAGGCAGAGGGATCAGGTTCGGGGTGGTCATTGATGTAGCCAAGGACCTTGGGCACATCACCCCGCGGTGTCTCGTCGCTCGTGAGATTGGGAATTGAAGCTGCGAGGGAATCGATCTCGGATGTGAGAGCAGACTCTTTCGCCCCAATCGCAGAGATCTTCTCTTTTAGTACTCGTGCTTCTTCGATTAATTGCTCCTTTGTCATCCCCTTCAACTCCCGCGCCTCTTCGGAGTCCTCATTTCGGAGAGTGGTCGGGTTCGCAAGCTGGAGCTTGAGACGGTTGTTCCGCTCTCGCAACGTTCGCGCCTCGCGCTGATATATGTGCCATTCATCGAAGAGACTGTTTATTCGTGCTGGATATGTGGCCTGTACTTTGTAGTTACGCTCGAGGCAGTTCTGCTCGTAAAGTGCTGCGTTTTGTCGGATATGCTTGATGTCGATGGTGACCTTGGGAGCTATCGAGGGCCGCGGCGCGTCAGCTCGTAGACGTGGTGATGCATGGTAGAGACGTCGCGGAGGCCGTGCGATGCCTTGTAGCCGGCACTGGAGGCACGTAAAGGATCGTTGTGAGACCGGCATGTTCTTGACGAGCTGCTGTTGATTTGCGGAGAGCTCCAGGATTTTGAGGTTAACAACCGCGATCATCAGTCAGGCCACCCTCTGAACGACCAGCTTATTTTGTGGACAATACCATCATTGATACAGCTACTATACTCGTTTACAATTGTAGTCGGAATTAAGATTATTCACGCGAGCGACTCCTATAACTTGAAAATATTCATTTTTCTGGGTATCTAAACTCTTCACGAAGCTTCTAATTATCACATGTCACCACAAAACCTGCTCTAGAGCAGGTAATAAATACCATATCGACAATATGAATCCTATGGTATGCAGCCCATAAGTTTGCATATTCTCGAATATAGAGAGAGCAGTAAAACCTCAATGCATCCAACAATGTTCTCTCAACCCCAAGGACCCAAAGTCCAGCTTGTTCTATCTGCGGTCCCAGATTTGAATGCAGCCGGGCCCATGCTTTGCCGTTTGGCGTTGGCACTCAAGTCAATCTCTTTCGATGCGCCTGCAATTCCATGCTGGTGCCATTGCTCGCGGTCGATGACTGAGACTGTAGGGATCTTCAGGTGTGAAAGCAGACTACCACCAGACCAGGCTCCAAGTGATTCGACAGCGCGAAGGAATCCGAGCTCAACCGGTTTACTCCCTTTGCTTGCTTCACGCTTTATCTGATCTTCGATAGGATCAGGCTCCTGTTCAGTAAATGCGGCGGCAGTTCTGGGGTGCAATGGGTCACTGATTCCCTGTAGAACTTCGGTTGGGCCGCTTCTGGCTTGTCTCGTTCGATGGCGCAGAAGGTTCGGGTTGGAGCGGAGTTGTTCAACCGCCTTCCCCCTTACTGGATCCCAACCTAGCTTCTCTATAAGAGCCTTCACTTCATCCATAATACGCTCTTTCAGGCCTAGAATATTTGATCCTCCTCCAACGAAGATAATCCGTGACATACACATGGACCGAAGATCGACTGGAAGTCGTAGAAGAGCTCGATACACTAACAGATGAAGTGGTAGTTCTTCATCATCAAAGTCCTCTGGCAGTCTGCCAGCTGCAAACAGTGCAGTTTCACAAGGCTCTGCGAACTTGGAAAAGGGAATTCGTAGTGTCCTTGGCGGATTTGTCGAATGCAGAGGGATTGATATAATTGGATCCGCCTCCCTTTCCTCATTGATATTTAGTGACCTCATACTTGATCTGAGTTCGTCCTCTTCTTTCACAGGAGTGAGCCCTAGGGACGTCGTTTTAGGTTCCATTCTTTTCGAGGATTTGCACCACGCCATTCGAGTAATGATGTCCTCACACTCCTCAAAACTAAGAACCTGTCGTATCTCATCATTGGCTTTTGTTTCCGAGGATTCTTCTCGCAGCGCGGTAGGATCGATAGCCTCTGCTAGCATCTTGAACATCTCTTCTCCGTGTAGCTTGGTACCCCTTATGGACCGCGTGCATTGCACCTCCCGATATTCATATATACCACTCACAACTGTCTCCGCCCAGCCAAGATCTACTACCAGAGCAGAACGAACACCAGCAGCGACAGTTGTGAGGACAGGGGCTGACATCAGCGATATTGTTGGTGGTTGAAAATTGGTGAACAGGCTGTCAAGTATTGTAGATAGGAGTGGGAGAGGCAATACAGAGGGTATCACCAAAGCCATTCGTCTTGCTCGAGAATCAATAAGGAGATATCTGGTATGATCATCAGTCAGAAATGTCTCTCAGAAAATGATCTGCACCCACTGACTTCGTGAAAGCCTCTCGTATTGCCCTCTCAATCTTTTCTCCCACTAAATCCAGATCCACACCTCTCAAGTCGAGCTTCCATAGCTCATATGCATCTCCCCAACTGTTTCCTTGTATTCTCTTCCTCCAGTCTTTGTCATAACCTACTTCCCATTCCCTGTAATCTCCAGCCCTCCTCTGTTGTTCCGGGCCATAGTCAATCAGCGCTTTTGGCACAGCATGTCCCGCAAACCCTGCCCTGAGATATCGACTTCCTATTTCAACAACAATGCAGTCTTCTTCCGCGCGTAATGCAGAAGGGGACCCGAAACTCGAGGAGATTGTTCGTAGAGGTGTATGAGGGGCTGCAGGGGGCGTTGGATTCCCGGCTGGTTGAGGGCGGATGTTCGACACGCTGCGATGAGGGGGACCGCTAATAGTAGACATTGCTACATTTGCTCAGGATAAATGTTGCCTCCAGCTGGGCAATCTGAATCCAGGTCATCACCGTTTGTTGGCTTCTCAGGAGCTCGCGAAATGGATGTCAGGTTGAACCGCGTTTCCCAGCCGACGCTAAAATATATCTGAACAAAACATCGACCACAACTCCTTCTTTAATCTTCAACTCACGTGCATTTCTCTGTGATTTTGATATCTTTACTTCTGATTCTCCCTTGTAGCACTAGTGTGTAATTATGGATTCATTGTGGAAAATACCTAAGCTTCTGTGATTAAGCATCAATTCGGGATTTTGACATCATGGGTATCAAAGGGTGTGTAGCGCCACCACAAACCCTTTCTATTCGATATACCTAACTCTCAGAAGAATTTACGGAGAGATTGGGCCAGGCGAAAGAATTGCTCTGTCAAAATTAGCCATACAGAAATACGAAGAGACTGGGCGGCCACTTAGAATTGCAATCGACGTATCTATATGGCAGTTTCAAATACAGTCAGGACAAGGTAAGGCAACTGATCTCAAACTTTGATGATTTGCTAAAAGATTCTAGGTGGCTCAAACCCTGCTATTCGGACATTATACTACCGTCTTCTTCGCCTTCTTTCCGTCTCCGTCCAACCTTTATTCGTTTTCGATGGACCCCACAAGCCTCCTTTCAAGAGGAACAAGCGTAGTGGCCACTATGGAGGGTCGCTTTCGAACGTTTTGACTAAGCAGCTACTAAGATTATTTGGTTTTCCTTTCCACATTGCTCCTGGGGAAGCCGAGGCAGAATGTGCTCTCTTACAAAGGGAGGGCATTGTTGATGCTGTCCTCAGTGAAGACGTTGACACGTTGATGTTTGGGTGTGGAATAACGCTCCGAAATTGGTCCTCTGAAGACTCCAGAGGCAATCATTCTCCCACTCATGTCTCGTTATATGACGCCCAGGTAACCAAGAATGGAAAATCAGGACTCGATCGTGAAGGTATGATTTTGGTGGCGTTGATGAGCGGTGGCGACTATATCACGGAAGGTATCCCTGGCTGTGGTATTAAAGTCGCCAGTCAAGCTGCCAGAGCCGGCTTTGGGAAGTCATTATGTCAACTGTCACGGTCAGATGCTGCCGGGTTGGAAGCCTGGAGAAATAACTTGTCGCATGAGCTTCGAACAAACGAGAGCAAGTATTTCAGGACGAAACATAAAGCTCTCGAGGTCCCCGACAATTTTCCAAACAAAGAAGTCCTGGGCTATTACACTCATCCAGTTGTTTCATCTGCTTCCAAGATTGACAAGTTGAAGCGAGATATTCTATGGGATGGAGAAATTGACATTCCAGGGCTTCGATCGTTTGTTGCGGAAACTTTTGAGTGGACGTACAAGACTGGAGCAAAGAAATTCATTAGAGGCTTAGCCCCAGCATTATTAGTTCACAAACTACGACTACGAGGAGAACGCCGAGCATCTGGTTATGGCGATCTTATTCTCACAGCTATGAATGAGATGGAATTGGTGAGGGATATATGTGGAAAGAGGACCCATTTCAGTACAGATGGAACGCCAGAACTCAGAGTCATATACCACCCTGCCGATATCGTGGGCCTCGATCTTGATGCCGAAGAGGATTTCAGCGAAGATTACGGAAGAGATGGGCTGGCCCCTGTCAACGACGATGACCAGATAGAAGGTTACGTTTCGGATGAACCTACAGCGAGTTCAAGATCAGTGAGTCCCAGCAAACGTCCAGCATCTGCGTACGACCCTACTCAACCAGAGAGGCTATGGATCCTCGAAACTATCGCTAAAGTTGGTATACCATTGAAAGTAGAGGATTATGAAGAATCACTACGGAATCCTAGAAAATTAATTGCAGCCAAAGCTGCGGCGAAGAAAGCAGCAACCAAAGGCGGGATGGCAAAAGGAGCTATGGATAAATTCGTCAAGGTTTCGAAGCCAGGGGTAGGAGTTGCAAAAGCCTCAAAACCATCCAGTGAGATGTTGAACGTCTCCAGTCAACCTACTTTGCCTCCAGTATATCTGGCACCCTCTTTGGAGAGGCCTACGTCTTCACAATCAGCTCCCGCCCTGTCCAGGTCCACGTCGAGTAAAAGAGCTCCATCAGCGAGATCCTCTACTCGTACAAGTACTAAAGGTACTACCACAGATGGAAAGGCAACACGTAAACCAAGGACAAGAAAACAAGCTCAAATAGAGAGACCGAAGCCGAATACAAATCCTTGGACTTTGGCTCAATCGTCGCCTTCTTCACAACGCCTTCCGGTAACAAGCAAGCCCCTGGATCAACCGGATAAATTAAACCGTCCAACAGCTTCCAAGCGTTCCGAATATATAGATCTATGTTCGAGTCTCATCGCATCGCCTCCCTCCTCTCCACCAGTATCTCCGACAAGGATCCCACGGAAACATACGCATTCCCCTCAACTGGAGGACGACCCCGAAGCTCAACTTCCAGCTTCCCCTTTTGGCGAAGAAAATATCGATCTACCCCTCACTCCCTCAAGCAAAGAGAAAGCTTCAGACAAGCCGTCTCCAAGGAAGAAGCGTCTCTCCGACTCTCCATCCAAGATTACATCCCCCAAACTACCTCAATACCAGCGTGGCAGAACAGAGCCCTTGACTCCACAGCCAGTCAACCGCAAACTCGATTTTCTATCCTCCAGCCCTAGAGCCCGCTCCTCATCTCCTGCTCTCCCATCTTTAGAAGAGCTTCTATCACCCTCATCTAAGCCCCATGAAAAGGACAAGGATTCCCCCGAAATCTCAAGAAGGGCACTCGAGATATCCGAGACCCTTGAACGGTTCGAGAGGGCTGTAAGTCGCATACGAGAAACAAGTCATGATAGAGACGAGAGGGACATTACAACCATCCCGTCCTCTCCCGACGTTCCTCGCTCGCCCATCAACATGTCTCCCCGACGTCGCAAGATCACCCCCAAAGGCGACTCAAGTGCCGTGCTACCCGAGCCGAAAGCTAAAGAGAAGAAGAAGAAGGAATACATCATGCCGCGCGACAGCCTGCCCGGTTCGTGGAAAGAGGTCGATGAGCATGAGATAAAAGGCCGGAGAAGCCGCGCTTGGAGACTGTCGCAGATTGAAATCTTGGATATGACTGCGGACTGAGCACTTACTCCTATTTTCGTTATAGACAGGAACAGGAGGAGCTTGCGCTTCTTGTATATTTTTGTCTCTGGCTATCCAGACGTTGTAGAAACATGAACATGAACATGAACATTATACTTCGTATTTCTCATCTATCTCTGCTGAAATTCCCCAACTCTGGAAAGATATCTTCCCCCAACCCGCAAAACCATACCTCGGGACAAAAAGAGCCTGCAAAAGTACCTACCTTACCAATAAAGTAAAAAAAGGAAGAATTAGAGATCACCCCCCCTCTCATCCCCCTTTCCATAACCCGACCCTACCTTAACATACCGGAAGCTACCTTATTCCTTAAACCCCACGATCTTTCGCTTCCGACCCTAAATTTCCAGTGAGTAACTCTGTTGCACGTCGCAACTGCGGTATGATGCAAGATTGCCACGGATGACGGGTAGATGACCCGTTATGACCCGTGGCACGTGATCGTGATGTTATTACGATGGGGGTTGGTGATGATGGAAAGCTAAGCGGCTAAATGCTTCCGAATGGTTATAGTGGTTGGAAAAATTGTCATCTTTTTGTGTTAGAGGAATGGACCGGTTTATTAAAGAGGAATTGAAATTGTATACGCTAAGTTGACTATTTCCAGACATTAATTATATTCCAAACTCCGTCGGAAGGCGTGGGTATCGTTAACATCGCTCAATCTTATCATAGCATTCGTTATTGGAACGGAAAAAGGAGAAAAGGAAAGGAAAGGGAAGCCCTAATTGAATCATCCAGTGACCTTTAAAAGACCTCCCAGTATGTACTCTATGTGCAATTACTGTCCACCCCCTTGAACCTTACTCGCGTAACCTATCGCTATTCGTTCAGCCAGGGAAAGTCCCTCGGATCGTCTATCACGCTGCAGGTTAGGGACGTGGTGCCTGTGGCGTCGCCGAGAAGGCTGCTCCTCAATAGCGGCTTCACGATCTCTCTTGCCATTGCTTTCATCTCGTCAAGCCTCTTCTCGAACTTCTTCAAACTCTCTCTTGAATAGATCTCCGGGCTCATCTTCAAGAATTTCTTGCATTCATCATGGTTCAGGTAATTGCTTGGAGAGGTACCTAGGGTGCGGTATATGCGGCCCAGATTTGCATTTGCAGACTGAGACGGGGCTGCCGAGGGGGGAGGTAATGGAGACGGTCCTTGAGGATTTTGGGTGGTGCTTGTGTTGTTTCGAGGTTGTTGACTTGCTCGGCCCCTGGATTGGACGACAGTCTGAGGCAAAGGAGGAAGCGGAGGAGGCGGAGATGTATTGTCTGCTAGCCATTGTCGAAATAACGACACGGCAAGCCAATCCAGATAGGAGTTTTGTGGCGTAACTCTCTCCCCCTTTGATGTTGTAAGCGTGAGTCGAAACAATTTCCCCTCGACCTTCCCCACCATATCTCCTAGCTCTTCAACTTTATCCTCGATGATATCAATAACTGATTCTGGGAGTTGGTTTCGGATGTGCCGCTCTCCCATAGGCCACGCTCCTACCACGTGTATTAACGCCTCTTGAAATATGGCTTTGGATTGTGCGAGGTAGCCGAGTTTAAGGTATGAGGAAGGGTATTTGGCAACTTGTTTCCAGAGACGAGAATGGAACTGAAGGAGGTGGTGATCTACGCGTGGGCCTACGACTGCCAGAGCATCGTATAAGTCCGCAAGTGTCAGGAGAGATTTGCACTGGACGTATGCCGTTGCTATATCGATGGGGTCGAGGACAGGAGGGTAGTTGTAGAAAATTCGGAAGAGGTTATCGTAGTCATCCAAGAGATCCTGGTCTTCTGGACTAATTGTCGGCGCTGCTGGAGGTGCGGTTGGGAGTGTGAGATTGGCGACCGAGCGGAAGAATGAGGGATTGGCAATGGGTGGTTTGTTGCGAACTGGTGGAGGTCTTGCATCATTTGTGCCAAAGAGCGACGCTGTCGTATTCTCCTTTTGTACCAGCATAGGAATATCGTCGCCGTCTGCCCCAGTGTCGAGCTCGTATCTCCATTTCTTCTTCACCTCTTTCACTTCCCTCCTACCCGATTCACTCCCCGACTCCTCCCGTATTCTCGACAGCTCTGTACCCCCTTCATTCGCTGCGCGGGACCATTCTTGACTTGTGCTCGCTTCGAAGAACCCGGAACATTGCGTGAGAATTAGTCGGTGCAGAAGATAGCGATTTGTATGCGAGCCAGCTTTGATCAGGATTTCAACGTCGCCAGTGTGTGTGAAGACTGGGAACTCATTCTGCGGGATGTAGGACGAGCCCCCAGCGTGCGATCTTACCCTCCCGTGCCGACGACTGTGTCGCGATGAAGATACCACGGATGAGGGACCGCGCACAGGGAGGTCGCCGGCGTATGAGGGTTGCGACACCATTGCTAGAACTCATATAATGCTGTGGTTCAAGTCAGTATCTCCACATCAACTCGCAAAGGGAACTCCCACAAATACAGCAGCTCCGCGCAAAGATGGATAGAGGGTCCTTTCCGGAGCCTTGTGGCGCACAGCACGAGATCCAGCTCTTTCTTAGTACTTTGCGCAGTACAAATACTCATACAAGCAGCCACGTCCCTTCCAGACGCCCGAGTCTCCACGAACTCTCTCCTTCCTTTGAAAAAATACACGAAGCACGGCGAAGCTTCCGGGATATTGGAACAGCAAACAAAGGGAATCAGGGATCGATTTTCTTCTTCACTCCGCACAGTCACGATTCAGCAGCGCAATCGCATTGAACCGCGCGAAAGGGATGGACAGGGTCCTGTGCCTTAGCCACTCCCGGCGAATGGTCTTGCATTCCGTAGAGTCAAGTGCTCGAGGACGCCATCGAATCATTCCTCTTCATCCGGGTTTGCCTGCAAGTGCCTGGAAGACTCTGCATGTCTTGGTCTTGAATTCAGCAGCCATCGCTGGCCAATCCTTACACGGCAAAGCAGGACCTGAAAGATATGAACGAAGCTGAGCAAGTGCTGAGTGGGTCTTGAGCGCCCCTACGGAGTAGTCCGCCACTGCCGCCAGTAACCGTTCGCAGGTTCTCTTTCTTCTGGCTTTTTACAATTCGCGCATTTTCGGCTCACGACCATTGAGAGCGTGCTGTGTCACATGATCTTGGGAGTGTTGTGAATGGTTTGAATGTATTTTTCATTTGAGCACAATAATGATGATGCAAAGACAAGTCAGCTTTGCCAAAGACCCAAAGCCATCCCCTTATAGCCTACCCCCCATTCTATGATACACGGACGCTGGTCCCGTCCAGGATGCGATCCCACCATCCGATTCCGACGCAGAACCCGGCGAGCCTAACGCAAATCCATAACCAAGCCAGATAACTCCTTTTTATAGACCCCGTCCCATGATTGAAAGAAATGGTCTCTAGCTCATGTCCATCTCGAGCTCAAGAGTCTGGCCCCCAAGGCTATGACCGCCGTTGGCAGCAGCTCCATCAACTCCATTCATTGCCATCCCTTGGCCGTGTGCTCCATTAACCATGGGCGACAGTCCGCCATTCGTCTTTGGTGTCTCTCCAGCCTCCATCACATTCTCTCCATCGAAGACAGGAACAGGGCCACGAAGATTCTCCCAAGTCTTCTCTAGGCTCGTGCTCACCAATCTTCCTTGCTTCAGATCTTCACTGAACAAGAAGTACCCCTCATTCGCCTCGACGAGGTAACTCGCCAGACCCCTGCTTTGCAGTCTTATCTTCGCGTCTGTGACCGGAAAATGATTATCGATGAATTTCGACCAGCCCCGCGCGGCAGCTTGGATGTCGCTGTCCGCGCTGATCAATGACCAGCCGATACCCAAATGTCGCGTAAAGTCATCAACCGTTGGCTCTGTGTGTTCATTTGATGGCCAGGCGGAAGGGGAGACAGGCGCATACTGGGCCTGCTCCCCAGCTGAATGCGATGGCGTGTAATCTAGCCTTTGGCTCTTGGCGGAGCGATGGGCTGGCATTTCAGGATTCGGGATAGTGGTAGATTTTATTTCTTCCTCGACTTTCTCTTCGGCCCATGTCCCTGTCTGGCTGCCGGCAGAGATGATGTAGCCGCTGCCGCTGGGTTTAATCAGCGTCATACCCTCACCATATTCCCACTCGTCTTCGTTCTCAGGTGGCGCAGGGGTCTGGGTATAGCGTTGAACATCTTCCTCAAGGTTGGGCGCTGCCTCATCGCGCGAGCGTTTGCGCCCTGCGGCTGAAGCTGACACGGGAGAAGGTGTGAGATTCGCCCAAGACGATGAGTGTGGAGAAGCAGTGATGCTATTGGCAAAAGGCGGGTTGAAAGTTGGCCTATTTGAAGCAATATTGTAGGAAGGCTGTGGCGGGCTTTGCGGCTGGAGGACGAAGATAGGTGAGGATGTTTGGTCAAAGGATCTCATGGTGGAAGAAGAAGGATTGACAGTGGTAGAGAATGAGGTAAGGTAATTGAAGGGAGCAGGATGTGTCAATTAATTCAATTGGAGACACACAACGAAGAAGGGGAAAGAAAGAAAGAGAGGTTCGGGTGTAAGGTAGTGAGAGGAAAGCTTTTGTATTGGAGGAAGGATGGTTGGCAAAAGGGAAGTTATGGGACGGAACGTGAGAGGACGGGGAACAAAGGTGCTGGAGCAACTGGTAAACAAGGATCATGATTGGCCGGAGAAGTGCATCGTAGTGCGATTTCAGTCAACGTCAACGAGGGATGGTTGCGCAAGGACTTGGGCCGAAGAGGCTTAGCGCAATCGGATAGATGTGCATTAGGTAAGCGAATATAGGCAAGGAGCAGCGGCTAAACCTAATTGAGCGAAACGGCGGGGAAAAGCTCGGGGTCAAGGCTGTCGGCAAGCCAGCCACCTGAATTTTAGGCCTGAGGCAGGAAGGCCGGGAGTACGGACCATCTACGGACGGCGTAGGAGGCTAGGAAAGTACCGAGTCGTACCTTGTATTTCAGGCCTAAATACCTCAATCACGTGCACCCAATGGAAGATAGAATTTTCTCGTAGTGTCGATCTATTAGTATTGAACATACGCCTATCAATAGACGTCACATTACATATTCTTACCTCAGGCAGCAAGGTGTGTTGTTGTTGTCATCACGTGATATTTACATCTGATGTTCTTTTATTTATTTAGAACCCCTCCATAAGAGGATTGGGTTTCAAAATTCTCAACGAGAGTATTATTAGGTTGATCTCTGCATCCCAACCTCCAAAAATACTTGAAACCAGAGCTTAAGTACGGCGTTAGGGTCTGTCAGCGTGCTGATCACGGGAAATTGAACTGTGCCGTGTTCCATTTGCCGCCGGAAGTCAAGACGCCTGCCACGCAATGCAGTTCTGGTAGTACTAGTACTAATCTCTCCCCCCGCCGCAGCTGCAGTCGCAATCGCATATCGTTCTGCCAAAAGTTGTACACATCTCCTCATCATCCACAACCATGGCTTCCGTTTCATCTCTAGATCAGGACATGCGCAGACTGCGCATGGAACGCGTTACAAGTGAAGCTGAAAACGAAGTACGGACTTTCATCGAACAATCCCTTAAGACGCGACTCCCAGGAGGCAGTCTTTTCGATTCCCTCAAAAATGGAATAATACTTTGCGAGTATGTCTCTTTCTAATGGTTATACCGTTGAAATTATTGACAGAGCCTTTAGACTCGTCAATCTCGCAATACGTCACCCTGTGAAGCCAAATCTCAACCCTACACATTCAGCCCAGGAAAGGGAAAACATCTCGTTATTCCTCACGGCATGCCAGGGGCCCGAACTCCACCTCCCATCCCACGATATGTTCCTCACCGTCGACCTCTACGATTTAAAGGATCCAGCACAAGTTCTGCAATGTCTTGTGGCATTCAGCAGGGCAGCGCATTTTGTCGACCCTTCAAGATTTCCAAACCCGATAGGCGGAAAGTCGCGCAGTGGAACTGTGACCCCACAGAGAACTGGGACGCCTACAGCTAGGGGACGAGGTGTCTCCAATGCTAATAATTCATCGTCTGTAAACAATCCCAGCTCCTCAACACCAGCTAGAACTGACGCGATTGCTGATAGATGGGGTCCTACAAAAACCAGCACTACTTCGCCAAAGTCCGTTAGTAGCTGGAGTAAGAAGTCTGACGAAGGTGCCACCGCGCCGGCCTGGAACATTGCACAATACGGTTACATGGGGGGTGCAAGTCAAGGGAATCTGGGTGTTTCATTTGGTAGTCGACGGCAAATCACAAGCGCTGGCCCGCATGTGCCGAGCTTGGCTGAGAAAGAGAAGATGAGGAGAGAAAAAGAGGCGGAAGAGGAACGAGTCAGAATACAAAATGAGCGTTTGAGGCTCGAGGAACAGGAAGCAGAAGAAAAGAGAGCGCGCATTGCAGAGGAACAGAGATGGGCTGAGGAGACGAGGAAACTCAGAGAGGAAGAGAGACTGAAGGCCGAAGAAGAAAAGCGAAGATGGGAAGACGAAGAGCGCAGCTGGCGATTAGAGGAAGAGAGAAGGCAGAAAGAAGAACGGGAAGCTGAAGCTAGATTAGACGAAGAGAGAAGAAGGGTCAGAGGGAAAAGCGACGCTCGACTTCAGGGACAATTCTTAAGTCAGTATCAAGCAGAAAATGGTATCTCAAGAGGAAACAGCGGAGGACCAGAAAGCAACCGGATCAAAGAGTTGGAGCGAGAACTCGAATTGGCCCGGGAACGTGAACGTCAGTATGAGCGAGAGAGGCAAGCGAAGCTGAATCAGGGCAGTCGCCAAGCTGTTGAAGACCATGACTTGACTGTCCGGATGAAAGAGGAAACTGCAAAGACGCGCTCTCGTTCACGCAGTCGGCCACGAGCATCCTCGAGGAAGGATAGCGATGAGGTCTGGAGGGAAGACGAGAGAGATTACATCCGACGAAATTGGGAGGCCTGGAATCAGAACGGGGGTTTGAGTGTGGCCCAACAACCACCACCCAAACCACCTCGCCCTCTGCCGGAACCTACACTCCCAGTGCGCGTGAAGACCAACAATACAGGGCCTTCATCAAGACCGCTTCCAGACCCGGCAAAATATGCATCACCAAATGAACCTCCCCAGTCAATGTCGTCACAACAAAATCGCACAGATCGCTATCTATCTTCCAACCCCGCTCCTCAACCAGTTCAACCTAGAACGACATACTCAAACGAAATCGGTGGCTTCGATAGTGCTGCTGAGCGAGATGCTGAGGACAAACGTCGGCTTGCGTCTCAAACTAAAACCAAGGCCGGAGGCTGGGCATCGAAATCCCTACTTGAGAGGGAGATGGAGATGGAGAGACAACGGCAGCAAGAATGGGAAGAAAGGCAGAAGGAGATCAAGGATAAGGTTCCCACCGGTACTGGGGTGGACGGCATTGGTGGAGGTATCGATGGGAAATGGGACGTCAACCAGTGGACTGGATACACCGGTGGTGACGGACAAAATCGGGGTAGTCAGGGGATTGGGGCCGGGCGAAGGCAAATCGTCGGACCTAGGCCGCCGCCTGGAAGATAAGGATTATAGCCACGTCTGGTTTGATTAATGATGGATTTGAGAGAACGAGACAGTAGGAAAGAAATATTACAGGAGGGTTACAATAGGACGACCGCGACTCGAATTGATTCCTAGCCTCCCAACCCTTGTGGAAACAAGTCTTGGAAACAACGAGGACTTATTATGCGAGCAATGACATTTGCCTTTCCGTTGGTATATCTGGTGTGAGTCCCGGAACAAACCGAGCGATTGCCTTTATCAGACGTTCTCTCCTTCCGGTTTTGTCACTTCGCTTTCCTAGGTAGTTCCTATTCCCTTCTCCCTTTGTAATGTCCCCTCTTCCCTATTGATATGGGCGATAAAAAGGCCAATATGTAGTCCTTCATCATTTCTTCTGCAGCCATCTCCTCCATTCAAATATGTGTTCGAGTAATTGCGCAAACTTGCCATCTGGCATTGTAGTAGACTCCTGTTTCTGGCTGCGCTATCCTGGTTGTTATGCTACGACTGCTCAATAGTGGATGACGTTGGTCCATCAGTGAACGCGATCAAAATGGAATGTCTGTTGGCTCCTATTTGATGTCTTCCGCAACTTTGGCACGGTCCGATCCTTGCTGCTTAGTTTGTAGCCCAGTGGTGCAGTCAAGTTTGGCTGACCGGGGACATGTTGTAGGATGTTCTAAACGATTGGAGAGGAAGCATTGTGTTTCTGCTTTGTAACAGTTGGATTACAGCTCAGCCTTGCAAGGCTGTTTCACTAGGCGCCCTTCAAACTCCTCATGCTTCAGGCCTTGACATGTCTTCTTCTAGGCACATACAGTTTTATCTCCGTCATTGCCACCGATATAAAGTACGATTATGTTATTTGTTTATTGCTTTTCGATTTGCAACTCCTGATAATGGAAGGTCTGGCTGCCGCCGCCAGCTGTATCGGCGTTGTATCTCTTGCCATCCAGCTTGTAGATACTGTTGAAAGGATCCATCATTTTTTTCAAAAGGTGATAGAGACTCCAAAGGAACTACAGAGACTGAAAGATCTCCTCGAGCAGCTTGAGCTGATACTCCAGAGTGTTTGGGTCGTATTCAAGGAAGAACATAGCAAGGGTCACGGGGTGACTGTGTTCTCCAAAAGTATCTTCAAAGCATTGGTGACTTGCCAAAAGGATTTAAAGATACTGGAAGGTTTTATTCAAAATGCCAAGTCGGTCGACAAAGGAAAAGGGAAGGTTTCAAGAGCCTTGGGCTCCTTGAAATTTGCGACTAAAGAAGAAGATATCAAAGAGTTTGAGCTCCATCTTCAGCATGCTTTGACTACTTTGAATCTCACCATGACTGCAAATATGAGGTACGCAGCATGAAAGACGATATGGATGTTACTAACAGTGGCAGCCATGTCCAAAATCGAAACACCAATAGGATTATCAGCACGCTGGAAAGTATCGTCACCAAACAAATTGCTCTTCTCCGATGTGACATAACGTCGACAACGAAAGACCTAGAAATCTACCCTAGAGTGAACGATAGAATGGAGGCCACCAAAAGGTATAATCCGGGCTCGAGAAGCACCTCATTACAGGTTTCGCGTCGTCAATCAACGGCGACCAGCAGCTATGAGACTCCCCTAGGCACGATTTACGTTCGTCAAAGGAATGCAGCTATCTCATTCAACCAAGATTATGAGTGTTCGACAAACAATACATTCACCCGAACCGAGAGGACCTGGAGCTTCTTTCCCACTTTCCTTTCATACTGCATTAGGCTGCAACATCGCTCATACGAATCAATCCTTCCGAGTTTGCAAACTCTCCCCCGGATCATGGAAAGTTCTCATCCCATCTATTCTATATGCGGCCGTGGGGACTGTGTGGCGTTTCAGGCTTACTTGAGTAGTAACCCAGGATTCTCCCCATTCGCAGTTGATCCGAGTGGGCACGGTTTACTGCATGTAAGCATAAACATCAATGCGGAAAGTCAACACAACTAATAATACCTGCTACAGCTTGCTGTCATATGCGAGCAATATGACCTCTGCAAATTGCTCCTAGATCTCGGCCTGAGATCTACTTCTGCTATCGATTGTGATGGGAAGTAAGTGATGATACTTTAATATTTCGACAATGTTAATGCTAACATGGCATGGTCGATACAGTGAAGCTTTGTGGGCTCTTCGTTTCCAGAACCCAAAGGTGTGGAGGTCACCAAAATCAATCCTTCGACTCTTTGTCTCTCGCGATCCTGACTCGGTTGAAAGGAGTGGCCTCCTTTTCTGGACAGAGTACAGAGTTGATGAGTTTGAGTATATTGTAGAAGATTGGGTAACACGGGATAATGTCAACCTTTTCGAAGACTCCCCTCTTCTTTGTGCGTTGAGGTCGATCAAAGCGGACGAGGATTATCTGAACTGGCAGTATTATCTGGATCGGAAGTATGGACCAGACCCACAGTATTGTCTGGACAGGGGATACCCTCTTGATGGGGTGTATCCCCTGAATCGGCAGTATCATCTGGAATGGGAAAAACTTTTGGAACAGTGGAAAATGGCCATTCGGAGACTCGTCAGATTGGGTGCGGATATTCATCAACAGGCAGATACAAGTAGGCTTCGCCTACTGTATGAGATATTGGCCACAGCGAGGACTCCATTTGATTCACAGGACTTGTTTGAAATCTGGCTCGATGTCCTTTCGTCATCCGATATAGACGTTGCTCACTATCTCAAGATCGAATTGGATTTCCATCACAAGGCGAGCCCTTTCATAGAGGATCTTGAAACTCGCCCGCGGCGCATAATATTCGACATCACTGGAAGGCCTCGTTTATATTGGGACTGGTGGATAGACCCTCAAAGCCCGGCCTACGAAGTACTTGAGGAGTTCAAGTATTTCGGACCAACCGCTCATAACCCTTGTGAGAATTCTTGGCTTGCGACGGGAGGGTACGAGGAGAATGCACCGTTTGTCTACTATCAATTTTATGAGAAGATGGTATCAAAGGATGCGACCATCTACTATGTAGAAAAGCCCGAACATATTGTCGCCCAGCGGCGGTTTGAAAAGCGTATGCATAAGAAAGCAGTCAAGCTTGCTAAAGCTCAGGGATTGTGTATGAAAGTCCCACGACTACCGGGGGCTTGGATCGAGTGATAAAGCAGGGGGAATCTAGTATGTCTATCTAAAGGTGGAAATCTATCAGTTGGAAAGATTTATATAGTAAATTCTGGGCTATTTCTATTCTCGAAAATATATCTTTCGTCTTACACGGAGTCGCCCAAGCAGTCACGAGTCATTTCTGAAAAAGATAAGTTGGTAAAAGGATAAGTTGGTCTCTACTGTGCTGCTCGCTCAAGTTGATTTTTTTGAGGTTTTTGCGGGTAGTGTGTGCTGTTGTTCTTTCTTTTGTCCCATAGCTATCCTCCCCCCCCCCCCCCTCCATCTCCCACCTGCTGCTTCATCAGAGCAAGCTAGCTAGTGGATATTGTACCTAGATTGCGAGATCTTTAGGTGGTTTTGGGTGTGGGGGGAAGGAGGGAAGGAGGGAAGGAGGGGAGTCGGGGAAGATGATTTATATTACTTTAGCTTTCGAAGAGCTTTTGTTTGGAGGGGGTTTTGGGAGGGAGGTGGGTATTGAATCTGTTAATTATATATATAATTCTTTGTCAAAGTCTTTCTTAACTGATACCCTTTTATCTCAACCTCTCGCTCGACCTCATCAAGCCCCCTATACTATTAGCAAACAAACAAACACAGACATCCTTCCTTTCCTCTCCTCTCCTCTTCTCTCCCCCTTCTCTTCTTTATCTAGACTCCACCACACTCATCTCACCTCATCTTCGTTTCTTAAACCTTCCCTTCCCCCATTTTTTTATTCTTTCTTTCTTTTCATATTTTATATTTCGTATTTCCAACTTCTGAAAACCTTTGATATCCTAGAAAGATGTTTCTGCACGCGAGACCTTGCCGGATGGGATGAGATAGGATAGGATTAGATTAGATTCAAGGGGAATAGATACGTATAACGAGTAAAGAGGAGTTATGGGATGTTCTTTCCTTGACACCAGCGAAGAAAGTCAAGTATATCATCGACTCTCGGAAGGTTATTATTCTACAGAGCAGAAATGCAAGGTAATTCATCTTCTAGCGCTGTAGCTAACAACGAACGATCTTTTCTTTCTTATTTATTTGGACACGGGTATGCTAGAAAGTATAGAAGCACGAGCGGATGTTTAAAACTACCTAGGTAATCAATGTCGCGATTTCAAGCCCGATCCTTTATTAAGCTTTGAGCCCGCTTTTCTGAGGAGGGATTTGTTTGTATATGTCTAACATAGCCTAGCCTCTCTCTTCGTAGGATCTAAAGTATCCTTCCATCCCCCCCTCTTACACAAACTCTCGTCGGTTCTTATATCCTTCCTTTCTTTCTTGTATACACCCGAGGAGTTTATGATAAGAGGAGGTAGATAGGTAGGTAGACGTCTAGGTGTGCCACGTGATGACTTCCCCTATCCCCCCTTTTTATGCTCGCTTCTTTTCATATACATCTAGTATGTATGTGCCCACGTATCATTGTGCGACGAAGGGTAAGAGTACGATATCTATGAACTACCTACCTACCTGCCAACTAGCCAGGTAGTTAGGTACCACAGAAAATTCTGCACTGCAGACGACAAGACCGTGTGACATGACAGAGAATCAACTTTCATCCCAGATGGCCGATCCTGCAGACTATTCTCGCGATCAGTTCCCGGAAGGGTACTGTACAGAATACAGGATATCGCACGGTGTGCAGGTGAAGAATTGGTGAGGAAGAGAAGAGGAGAGAGGAGAGAGGAGAGATGGTTCTGCTTTGCTGGTCCTGGGAATGGGCATTGGAGCACAGCGTACTGTACAAGCAACCATCCAAAAACGAAAGAAAAGGGGTTGAACAACATGCAAACGATGCATGTTTCTCGCAGCTCGAGACGAGGAAGCAAGGAGTGGGACGGGAATGGCGCCATCGGGGTTGTGATTCAGTCGAGTGGTGCGATTTGCACGGCAGCGGCCGTCCCGCTGTTGTATCGAGGGTCTCGTGTCCACCTGAGGATGACAGGAGTGGATTGTACGGATCTTCTATTCATTAACGCTGTGCGGGGGTGGGGGGAGAGGAAGACTGGGTCGGGTAAGGCAGCGCGGGTACGCAAGACATTGATGATCGATGATACTGTACATACATATCAAACACACCGTACCGTAGAGAGAGGATTTGCGGGGTGAGCGATGATTGATGGCCTGAGAAGGGAAGAGGAGGGAGGTGCGGCTGAACGATGACTGCATCGAGGGTCGTGCCAACGCGATGCAGTGAGAGGGCCCGGAGGCAGCATCGAATAAGAGAGGAACACATATATCGCGGTGCTCAGCTGCGGCGTGGGGAACCTTGGTTCGCAACGTGGTGCTGCATGGGCGTTGGACGAGGGGCGCGCGATCATTGCAATATCCGGAATCGCCCATGTGGCTCGTCTGACCCGTCTGGCCGTGGGCAACGACGTATCAGATTGATCTGCTGGACGAGTTCTGCATTGCGCTTGGTTTGCATGAGCGATGAGGAGGTGAGTCAAGCGGTGGGAGTTGGGGATTGGATTTGGAATGTATGGGGTTTTGAATGCATGGGGAGAGAGAGTGCATTATGGAGACTGGGGATGAAGATGGAGATGGAGATGAGATGGAGAGGGGAAGGGGAAGAAGAGATGCAGATAGATGCACGTGGCGGCCCGACCGGGATCATCTAGCCACTCGGGATCCGATCGACGCGCGCGCCGACCCGACACGAGATCCCGTGCATGCGGTGCCGAACATCGGCCCGGTCGGCTGGATGCATGCCGCTGGCATTGTTCCACGACTGAGCGCAGGACCAGTCTTGTCTTGAGAGGAAGCGCGGAGCAGGGAGACTTTCCCCGAATGGCTGAGCGGCCCGAGAGAGAGAGAGGGAAAGGGGGGCAGGCTGACAATGAATGATGTTGTGCGAGGGAAGGCGTAGAGATGAGAGGACAAGATCCATCATCCAACGAGACAGACAACACAGGGCCAAGAACAGGAAGAAAACAAGGCAGCGAGCAAATGGGCCGATGAGGCATAATCAATCGGGATGGCCGGGATGCGTATGGATGGGAGAGGCATCATGTGAGTCATGGAGTTGTTGTCCATCATCTCGGGGGATTGATTCTGTTTGGCTCTTCATTGTCCATACAACACATCCTGCTTGTTTCCCTGCATCACATACCGTCCACTACTCTCTCCTGCACACCGAGTATCCATCCATCCACGATAATCCACCCATCCATCCATCCATCCATCCATCTCTCGCATGTGGTCTACAAGGATCAACCCCTTCGATCGCATTTTTCTCGAAGGATTCGCTGCAGCGGTGTGCTCTGTTTTGAACCAATTGCCTGCAATAATGACGCACATACCTCGCAATCCCACAGCTGCGGACTCAGATAAGGCGCAGCCACCCCCCCCTTTTTTTCCCCCAAAAAATAAAAAAGAAAAAAACAGGAAAAAGAAAAAGAGATATAAGAATTCCAAATCCGGTCAATACATGTATGTATATGTACATATGTATTATATTATTGTATTGACGATAATGCTTCGGGCGCAGGATGCCGTTGGATGTGCGTGCTGCGTCTTGGATACTCGATACGTGTAGAGCGAAAGTTGACTTTGACGTTTTACCGCCTGTCGGCGCAGGGTCACCGGCAACCACGGCGATGGATTGATGGATGGATGGATGGATGAGTCCTCGGAAGAATACTGCAGCGAGAGAGAAGTAGGTACGTAGCTATTGTAAACTAATAATCAAGCATACATTTTACTCTCTGCCTATCTACCTATCTATCCTCTCCCTTCCCAAATCCCCTCCCATCTCATCCCATCCCATCTCACCACCTACCTATCCACTGTCCCACTATTCGCACCACCCAATTTTACTCCTCCCCATTCCCCATTATTCACCCCCTTTCCATTCCACCCTTCCACCCTTCTTCCCGTTTCAACTCACACACCCCCCTAACCCCTAAACCCTGCCCATCCCATCCCATCGGCGTCCTCCGCGCCGCCGCCTTCGACGTATCCCGCTTCAAAGCGCTCGGCGCTCGCTCGCTCCCAACGGCACGGGCTGTCCCAGTTACTTACTTCTGTCTTGCCGTTGCCGTCATTTTTTTTTTTTCCAACTGGATGGTTCTGTTGCAAGGATGTGGTGGCCCTCTACCCCAGCGCGCGCTGTGAGATGCCGCTACTTGTTTTGTATCACAGAAATAGGAAAATAAATAAAAATAAAAGAATAGAATAAATAAAATAAAATAAAGAAAGAAAGAAATTCTTGGGATTTTTTTCTTTTTTTATGATTTTTGGAAAGGAATGGAAGTGCAAATTGGAAAGGAGGGATGGAATGATAGAGCTAGGCTGATATGTTATGTTGTATGAGGTGTATAGGATTCACATGTTGAACATCCATATACATACATCCCTCTACCCAAGCACAAGCACAAGCACAACAACAACAACAGCCCAACCCCTCCATCCATCCATCCATCCAATTCATCCCCAACTCCCCTCCCCTCCCCTCCCCCCAAACCTACCTACCTTACCCATCACACCACCCTCCCCTCCCCTCCCCTACCCTACCCTACCCGCCCTACTCTACCCCTCACAATTCCGAAACGTCTTCCCAGTCGATCCCTCTTTCCCTCTTTTCCGCGCGTGACGATATCATTCATCTCTGGATATTAGGATTGACCCGCGCGCGCGAGTCGTGTGCATCATGCATGCATGCATGCATGCCTTCTTTGTTTTTTCAAATCGAAAAAATTGAAAAATGAAAATTGGAGAATTGGAGAGAAAAAAGGATTTGAGATTTGGGGATTTGGGGATGCGGAAGTGAGGTGATACCCCCTTTTTTCGCCTGACTGAGTCAGAAATCAGCTCGGTAAAGCATTTCCTTGGGGCCTTGGGCGGCCCTGAGATGGAGAGCGTCATGATCTTCGGCTTCAATCATAGCATCATCATCAGTGGGGGTTTGAGGTTTGAGGTTTGAAGAGGCTCTTTTTTGAAATTTCTTTCTTTTCCTGCCTTCAGCTACCCAAGATTGCTTTCCTTTACTTTACTTTGAAGATCGCAAATATACTTCCTGATGAAGTGCGTGAGTGCGTGAGGATGTTGTTGATATTAAGGGGCTTGATGTATTATTTGATATCTACGGAATATATTCTACACTATTCTCCAGGAAATGAAATCATCATGCATGCATGCATTCCATCATCATCATCATCATCATCATCATCATCAAGCATACATAAACATAACATGGTACTCACCAATGCATGTATGTCTCTGCCCGAAACCAAAGACAAGACAAGACAAGACAGACCCTTTGGAAATGAAAATCCCACAACACAGGATATCGGTACCTACCCTACCTTACCTTAGGTATCCAGGGAACCCCCTCCCCCTCTCCCAATCTAAGCCACGAAATAACTTTATTTAAAGGATTATAACGTGGCTGTACCGCGAATCCTGAGGAGAGGCGGGAGAACCGACAAGGCCAATCCGAGACGCACGTGCGCGAGTAAGGCGGGTAAGGATGGAAGCGCAATGTTTACTCCGTTGAGGTTACGTCCGTACGTACCTTAGCTACGGTATGTAAATATTTTATTTTATGGAGAAGAAATAAAAAAAAGCCCCTTAAAAAAAACGAAGCACGCAAAAAATATTAATAATTGAAAAAAATAAAATAAAAATTAAAAATAAAGTGCTACCCCGGTCCTCAGGACGCGGGACCGCCCGGTGGCGCTCTGGATACCACGGTGTTGTGAGGAAGGAGCAGAGAGATGAAGTATCTCGAAGTTTCGAAGCGTGATGCATGTGTTGATTTTTGTGTATATGTTTATCTATTTTCTTGGGCGGTGGCTTGATGGCTTGGAGAAGAGATGAATACCTTGATGGTTCTGATTGGCTGGTTCGACGAGGGGGGAGTGTGAGCACGGCGAAGTGAAAGTGAAGAAAAGGGAGGGACCGAAAATAGGGCAGGGCCCCCCCCCCCCGCTCTCCTTTGTTTCTCGTAGACGTCACACCTCGTTAAACCCTGCCGGCCCGCGCGCGCCTGTCCCTGGCGTAGCGTAGTGCGCGGTCGGGTCGCGAGGCGTGCGATTATACGAGCGTTTTTTTGTTCCGGGAATTTCTTTGTTGGTTGTTTAGCTATTTATAGGTTAGTTGACCTTTTGTGTGTTTGAATGACTTCCTTTTTGGCATTTGATCGCTGACTTGAAACAGATTGTGCTCTGGAGAAACGACAGGCGGTACCGTCGGAGGAGAGGATGCGGAACCGTTGGGTAGGACATGCGCGCGGCGATAAGAACAGCAAGAGATCTCCCGCAGAGAGGGGCCGAGGGGACATGCCGCTAGGAGCGAGCCATGACGCTGCTCCCCAGAAGCCGGGACGCGAGTGTCTTGCGCCGTGGGCGGCACTCGAGGAACGTGTGCGGCGCCATGATGAGAGGATAATAACTTAAGATGATTATTATTCTTGAAGAATACGAGTGGCCTTCCTGCCAGAGCATCCACTTACATTCTCCCCAGCTTCTTCGTGCTTCTCCCGCCCGCCGCCTAGTCGCGCACCATGGCCGAAGCATGATGCGCCGTCGCCCAGCTGCCCAAGAGGGCGCGCGCAGAGGAGAGAGGAGTGAGAGCAGAGCAAGAGAAGCGCCGGTTGGGCAGCGCGCAGAGTCGCAGCGTGTGTGCCGTATCGCATCGTATCGCATCCTAGCCCTGCCCATCCGATGATGATCGGGTGTCGCATCGTCAAGTGCGGTCCTTGTGTGTAATGACGGGCAGGACTTGGCCAGCACCAGCACCTCGTACCTGTCGACTACTCGCCATGGCCTGCCCCTGTGTGCCAGATGTGTCCACGAGACCGCGCGCGTCAACACGGCATCAGTATTCATGGATTGGCGGGGGGGGGGGAATATGTCGGGGCTGCACAAAGGATAAAGGGACCCGGCGACGGCGGTGAGACGACGAGGAGATGGGGGAGGGGAGAGATGACCATCTCCCGGAGTAGCGGGTGTATAGAAACTATCCTCCCTTACCAAGTAGTAGTTACCTCTGACCGCGAACTTGGATAGATTAATCCCCAAGGCACGCTAGTCTTAGTATCAAAGCTAACAGTAATATATATCATTTATTCTGCGTGTTAATTAATCTGCTGCGTTTATTACGAGGGACGACAGGATATTACGATCTCTGGTGCTCTGAGATTTGTTTCTACGCGCATTCCCACTTCTCTCCCTCCGGACCCAGGATCGACCCCTACGTCAATCCTATTGAGCACGCAGCCACCCGCCCTGCGGGACCTGACGGCGGTGGCAGATGGATGGATCATGGGCCTGGGAGTGCAGGACAGGATAGAGATACCCGTCCATCTCATTCATACCTCCTGCCCAAGGTCCTCGAGCCCTAGGACCAGGGAGACGTGCACGCAGCGTAACTGCACGCGACGGGCGCCTGCCAACTGTCAGCTTCCCAACGGTCGACTGTCAGGCAGGACCTGGCATCTCGCCATCGCCGGCGTGATTGGTGCACCGTTGACTGCTCCATATTCCATTGTCCTTGCCGGTCTACTCGGCCTGCCGTACCCGGCTCGCGGTTCTTGGTTCTTGACTCTTGACTCTTGACTCTTCTCTCGACTTGACTTGACTGTGACCCTTGACTCTCTCTCGTCTCTCGTCTTGCGTCTCGCTCTTCTTACTCTTTTGCCAAGCGCCCCAGGGTGCCCGACTCCCTGGCCCGCGCTAGCCGCTCTCCCTGGCCGCTGGAGCGACGTGGTGAGGTGAGCGTGGGAGCTTGATCAGCCTAATCAGCCTAATCGGGCTAATCGGGCTAATCGAGAGCTAATCTCTCCAAACCCACGCTGGCTCCCCGGCCGCTGCACACAGACGCGAGACGAGCAAAGACGGAAGACGAAAGACTCATCTCTTCAACTATTATCCCCCCCCCCTTCTCCCCCTTCTTCAACCACCACCACCACCCATCAATCATCTCTGTCTTCTCTTCAACCCCTCCCTCTTCACTCTTCACTCTTCTCTCTTCTCTCTTCACGCTTCTCTCCTCCCCGCTTCACGCTTCACGTTCAACGCTTCAATCTATATATCTTCCTGCTTCCTGGCCACGCCAAAACTTCATTCCTTGTAATCTTTACCCCCATCCAGGCTGCGTCCTACCTTACCTACCACTTCCTCCTCCTGCGCTTCCCTTCTCGTCCCTTGTCACATTTTCCTCCCCCCGACGAAAAAACTGCCTCTCCACCCACCAACCACCCCTCCCACCCCCGGAAAATCATACGCCCTCGCAATTCCTGAACTGGCCAGCTGCATCTGCCCCATTGCTACGATCGATGCACGACTATCCAAAATAGACTCGGCGACACCACATGACTTGACTGCCCCAGCATTCCCGAAACGGCTCTTCTCTTGTCGGCGCGCGCCTTTCCTCCAGCAGCATCGTCATCCTCCTCCTCTCCTCCTCTCCGGGCGCCCTCTTCTCCCTTGACTTGCCGTGTCGACGGACAACCGCACGAGGAGAGATGCGTCCAGCCACTACGCTTCGTCGTTTATTATAAACTCCTCTTCTCCCACAAGCCTGCGTGCAAGGCTGCGTCGGCTGGGCAGTCCATCATCCATTGCTGAATCGGATTCCTTTCTACGAGCAACATGTCGAATTCGCCCTCTCCTCCTCTCCGCCCTATAACCTCCACCATGCCGACCTCTACCGCAACCTCGACCTCCTCGATTTCCACCACCTCCTCCTCAAACCCCACCACACAACTCTCACACTCCTCCTCGACCCGGCGCGCTCTGCAGCCGAGCCATGTTCAGACCTCCTTCCTCCCGCCCGTCTCCTCGACGTCCTCCGTGCCCGCCTCGGCCATCAGTGCCTCGTCGGCGGCCACCTCGAGCTCTCTGCAGGCCTCCCCCATCATGTCTCCCGAGACCACGCAGCTCATCACCAGCAATTCCTCCGTCCAGGCCTCCCCCGATGGCTTCCATGGCCGCGACGGCGACTTCCCTCCCCCCTTCGAGCTCCCGGAATCCATCGTGTCGCGCAAGTCGAGTCATAGTGCCATGAGCGAGGCTGTCGCCATCAACAAATCGCCAGGCTTGATTCGGAGGCTGTCGAACAGGGCCACGCAGTTCGCCGGCCGGCGGCGGCAGTCCTCTACAACGGCGATGAGTCGGGATCACAGCACCGGTCCGGTCATCGTGCGCCGGAGGAGTGATAGCACGAATACGGCCCCCGAGTTTGTTCGGGGGGCCCCTTTCTCCGACTCGGATGACGATGCCTACGAATCCTATCGAGAAGAGCCCGGGATGATGCTGCTGCCCACCATGGGGACGAGTTTGGAAGGGATCCGGGACTTGCCAAGCACGACCGCCTCCCTCTCCTCGAGCCCCGTCACCAGCGGCCCCGGGCCGGGCCCCGTCATCCCCTCCATCTTGCTCCAAGGAACGACCATGACGAAGGTTACGAAGAAGAAGAAGAAACTCCTGACGTTCGTGCTGGAGAAGGAGGCTGCCAAGGTGTCGTGGGACAAGAATCGACCCTCGAAATCATTCTATATCGATGACATCAAAGACATCAGAGTTGGCCGGGATGCCGAGAACTACCGTCGCGAGTTTGGGGTGCCTGATTCGGATGAGCCGCGCTTCTTTTCCATCCTCTATGCCGTCCCGGACAAGTCGAAAGGTCGGTCGCAGAAGATGATGCATCTGATCGCCCGGGACGAGCAGTCCTTCGACCTGTGGACCACCACGCTCGACGCCATCTCCAAGCACCGTCAGGATCTCATGGCTTCCCTGTCGTCCTTCCACGACAAAGCCGTCCGCGCTTACTGGCGCACCGAGATGAACAAGCAGTTTCAGGACCGGCCTCATTCCGAGGACGAGGAGGAGATTGATATCACGGGTGTGGAGCGGCTATGCCGATCTCTCCACATCCATGGCTCTTCGAACTACTTCCGCTCCAAGTTCAACGAGGCGGACGTGACCGGTACCGAACGCTTAAATCTTGCTGAATTCCAGGACTTTGTCAAACTCATGAAGAGACGGGAAGATATCGGAGCGATCTTCCGGGAGCTGGTATCCGATTCGGAAAAGGGTCTGACCTTGGAGCAGTTCCTCACCTTCCTCCGAGACGTCCAGGGTGAGGACGTCGACAGCGATCGAGCTCACTGGGAGAGCGTCTTTGCCAAATTTGTCCGCCGATCGAAGTCGAAGGAACAATCGTTGCAGGATGCTGCTGACGGCGAAGTTGCACGGATGGATGAAGCAGCATTGACCAGCTATCTCATCTCCACCTTCAATGTCCCCTTGCGCAGTGCGCCTGCCCGGTATACCCTTGACCGCCCCCTACACGAATATTTCATCTCTAGTTCTCACAACACGTACCTACTGGGTCGTCAGGTGGCCGGGCAGTCGAGTGTCGAGGCCTACATCTCCGCCCTGAGCAGGGGATGCAGATGCGTGGAGGTAGATTGCTGGAATGGCAGCGATGGCCCTGTTGTGATGCACGGCAGGACGCTCACCAGCCAGGTATCGTTCGCTGATGTTATGTCCACGATAAGCAAGTATGCCTTCGTCAAGTCCCCCTATCCTCTGTGGGTCTCGTTGGAGGTCCACTGCAACCCGCAGCAGCAAGCCATGATGGCCCAGATCATCAAGGACACCTGTGGCTCGAAGCTCGTCACGGAACCGCTGGATTCATCGGCCGAGCAGCTCCCATCGCCTTCACAGTTGCTACATCGGATTCTGATCAAGGTCAAGAAGCCGCGAGTGTTTGAGGATGTGGGAGTCGTAGAACCACCGACTGGCCGCAGTCGAGGGAGCAGTCTCAGCTCACCATACATCCGGCCGACGCCTCTCGACAACTCAACCCTCCCAGGTGGGGTGCTGCCCCCAGGCCCCTATGCGCGGGCGACTCGAATCATCCGCCGCAACACAACCAAGACGATCGGGAGCGATGGGCAGGAGAGCCTCAGCAGCAGCACCAGCGATAGCGAGAGTCTTCTTGACGATGTCGCCAAGGCGAACCAGAGCCGCCGGAAGAACAAGACCAGCAATATCATCAAGGTCCTCGGGGAACTTGGCGTCTACAGTGCCGGCCTCAAATTCCACGGGTTCGATGATCCGGAGAGCAAGACCTACAATCACATCTTCTCCTTCATGGAACAGACATTCGACAAGAACAGCAGGACTCAAGAGGACAAACGCGCCGTCGCCAGACACAACATGCGGTACATGATGCGTGTGTACCCGAACGGATGGCGAGTCGCATCAACCAACTTCGACCCACTCAAGTATTGGAGAAGGGGCGTCCAGATGGTCGCGTTGAACTGGCAAACCTACGATCTGGGAATGCAGATGAACGATGCCATGTTTGCAGCTGGCACCGATCAGTCTGGGTACGTTCTGAAGCCGAGCGACCTTCGCGAGATCAAGATGATTCCCACTGTCCCAGAAGAAGCGGGTGCTGGTCATATCAAGCGGGAGCGCAAGAACGTCAACTTCTCGATCGATATTATCTCTGCTCAGCAACTCATGCGGCCTAAAGGGCTCCCTCCGAACCGGAGTGTTGACCCATATGTCGAAGTGGAAGTCTACCACGCAGACGACAAGTCCAAGGAGAGTAAAGGGGTCGTTGGCGAGGGGGGTCTGGACGCTTCTGGTAAAGACGGCCTGTCTGGACTCGGCGTGCCTCACAAACGACGCACCCAGATCGTCCAGGAGAACGGCTTCAACCCCATCTTTAACAAGAAGTTCAACTTTGACCTCACGACCAAGTTCCCCGACCTCGTCTTCGTCCGTTGGACGGTGAGGTGCTCCTCGGACGGCCAGAGCTATAGCGATCGGGGACTTCCCCTTGCTACCTACACCGCCAAACTCAGCAGTCTCAAACAGGGTTATCGCACACTGCCTCTGTACGATACGAACGGCGACCAATTCCTCTTCTCCACGCTATTCTGCCGCATCAAGATCGAACCTGCAACGAGCATCTACGTCAACCCCGACGCCTCGGAGAGCGTCGGTGTTCTCAAGACCATCGGCCGCACGGTCTTCAACCGCACTCCACTATCACCCAAAGTCTCCGCCGACAGCAGCTTTGAGAAATAGATCGGGCGGCGTCACCACATTCGATTCTACTGTATAAAGTTCGACCCTGTACTTTCTCACACCATTGTACTCATATCACGTTTTGGATTCTTCGTTTCAAGCAAGCGTTGCTGGGCCATGATTCTGGCCGCGTCTCGTCGCATCTGCATCTCTTTACATCACCATTTTGGCATCACATTTTTCGGCATCAGAAGGACTCATCGGGATCATCGGGAAATCGTCATATATAAATAGGAGGGAACACAAAAGTGGCTCGCGCTGCGTCTGCATATCGGTTTTAGCATCAGCATCATCGGAGTGTTCCAACACTCGTTAGAATCTTCTTTGTCACGGCTATCTTTGTTCTATTCGACGGGGCTGGTTTCCTTCTTATATTCCCTTACAGCTGCGCTGCTTGGTTGCGATTTCCTCGCGGATCTGCGGGACTGGTTCTCTCGCAACGCGATTTCTTTTCAGGCGTTCTTGCGTTATGGGATCCGGACGGGAATGGGCATCAGGATTGCTTGCCCATGCATGCATGGCCTCTTGGATCAGGGGTATCTTGTTTCTACGTATGACGGACGGCTCTTACTTCCCTTTTCTCTTCTTTTACTCCTGTTTAAAGCTGGATGGCCCAATCCTTGCATGAGCGCGGACTCACTGGAGAGGATGGGCCGATGATTAGTAGATTTGGGGGCTTGCATTGTAATGTGGAGAAAGATGGTTGTGTGTAAGAGGGAGAGGGGGAGACAGAATACAATGCAATGTTTAGCTCCTACCAGCCGCCTTTTTCGTCTGTGCTTGTGAGTGATGATCTTATGTCTTCAAGATTCTATCCACTACTACATCGGTAGGTCGGTAGGTCGGTAGATACTACAGGCATACCTAGACCTTCTCACCCATTAATTAATCTCCCATCCATCCCACCCCCTTCCCTCTATAATTCTAATCAATCCTTATCATTTATACCCCCCACCCAATACCCCCCCCCCCCCCCCTTTTTTTTTCCCCCTTCTCCTCACCCTCTAAAACACCCCACCCCACCTCACCCCAGCCAGCCATCCCTATCTATGTCAGAAACCAGAAAACAGGATCCCTTACTTTATAGCAGAGTTAAGATTAACTAGCTAGTACGGCAGAGAAGACATAGCGTGCGGTATTGTCTTCTGCAGTGCAGGATGTTGAGTGTGGTACCTAACTAGGTAGATAGAATGGGGGGGGGCATTATGTGGTACGGTTATACCTAGCCTCTGAGCTAAGATAGAGGAGCTAAGATAGAGAGAGAGAGAGAGAGAGGAGGAGGAGGAGAGGAGGAGGAGGAGAGAGGAGGAGAGAGAGAGAGGGAGAAAGGAAGGAAGGAAGGAAGG